CAAAAAGGCGCCCATGTCCAGCTTAGGTGGACAGGCAGACCGTGGTATATAAGCACCATTCTATGTCATGATTTCGCCTGTTCATGACAGGAATGGTCTGGACATGTCGGGCATCATAAGAACAGGTTCTTCGCAGAAGCGTTTCTTCAGAGTGTCGAAGGCTTCTTGACATTCGTCAGTCCACTTGAATGCTTGGTTCTCCTTGAGGAGTTCGTTAAGCGGTCGAGCGATGTCGGAGTATTTCCGTATGAACTTCCTGTAGAAGTTTCCAAAGCCGAGGAAGGATCTGACTTGCTTGATGGTTTGTGGTGCAGGCCAGTCTTGGAGTCCTTTAACCTTTGCTGGGTCCATGGAGATTCGGTCTTGTTCAATGATGAATCCGAGGTAAGCAATCTTTTCCTTGGTGAATTCACATTTCTCGGGTTTGACGTAGAGATCGTTATCGCGGAGGATCCGAAGGACTTCCTTGGTGTGTCGTTCATGTTCCTCCTTGGTCTTGGAGAAGATAAGAATGTCGTCCATGTAGATGATGACGAAATTCCCTTCAATCTGCAAAGAGAATATGTGGTCCATCATTGCTTTGAAAGGTTGCTGGGGAGTTGCACATGCCGAAGAACATGACCGTAGGTTCGTGTAAGCCAAATTTTGTTTTGAATGCAGCTTTCCACTGATCTCCATCGCGTATACGGATATTGTTGTAACCTTTCAGGACATCGAGCTTGGTGAAGTATTTGGCTCCTTTCAGTTTGTCCATAAGGGTCCGTAACCCAGGGGAAGGGGATAGGCGTTCTTGACGGTGCCATTCGTTCCAGGTAGCGATAGTCTTGACATGGGCGCTTCTTTCCGTCTTTCTTGGGGACAAAGAAGAATCCCGATGCTTGTGGAGAGTCCGACGGTCGAATGTATCCTTTGGCCAGGTTGTCATCGATGAATTCCTTGACGAGTTTCTCTTCCTCCGGTGTAAGCGGGTAGACCTTGGATGACCTTGGTTTGAATCCTGGTTTCAGATCTATCCTGTGGTCCCAGGGCCGAGATTCGGGGAATCGGGAGGCCGCTTTCTCGTCAAAGACAGAGAGGTATTCGTGATATTCCGGCGGTACATGTTGCCTGATGTCCTTGATTTCTTCTTGCTGATTGTACTGTGAGTTCGAAGGCCTGTGAGTGGGTGAGGGTGGTGTTGATCCAGATGTCCTCCGTTTCGTCGGAAAGTTCTCCATTGATGAATGAGATCACCAGGTCGTCAGTCAAGAGAGATCCCTCGTCATTATCCCAATGGAAGTTCCCTTCTATCAGCTCGTTGACGTAGGTTTCGAAGGTGTCAAAGTGATCCTTGGGTATCATAGGAGAGGTGGTTGGGTACCAATCAGGCAGTGAGTCGAGGTTCTGAGGTTCGGTGTCTGGGATTTCTTCGATGGTGGTTTTGAAGATCTGGGTGTATGGCTTGGTAGGAGTGATCGGCAGTGTTGACGGAGGGCTCTGTCGCCATTCGAGGGTACCCTTCCTCCAGTCGATGATGGGGTTGGCTTCCTCAAGCCAGGGAAAACCCATGATGACTTTCTGTTTTCCAAGGCCGGTGATGTAGAAGGTAATAGGTTGTGTGTGTCCGTGGATAGTGACAGTCATGGTGGTCGAGTATCGGATGGTTCCTTGTTTATTCAGGGTTCCGTCTACGTTGTAGACTTTCAGAGGGGTTGGAAGGAGTTGGAGCGGGAGTCTCTTGTTTCGGGCGAAATTTTGGTCGATGAACTTTCCTCCAGCTCCAGAATCTATCATTCCTTCGGTGTCGACGATTATCTTTCCACTCTCCGTTTCGCCCTCAAGATGCATTGGAATAAATAAGCATTTATTGTTCTTTCGGGCTACTAAGGCAGAATGAATCGATAAATAGGGAGACACTGACGTCGATGCAGGTCTCCATTCTAAAAACCCTGATTGGTTTCGAGTTCCTTGTAAAATTCTTCAACGACTTCCTCTCCTGCTTCTTGGATTGCGGCCCGGATGTTGGTGTAGAGATCCTTGCCATTCTTTGGGCGGAAAGACCAGTTTTTGACGGTTACTGGTGTTCTGGTTGCTGGTCCCTGCAGAGCGATTGTTGGTGGTGTTATTGGGGCATTCCCAGGAGCGATGTCCGTCCTTTCGGCAACGGAAGCATCCTCCTCTCTTGATCAGGGTCGGCTCTCTCTTGGGGGGAGATGCTTTCCAAGGCCGATTGCCCTGATGTGTTGTTCTAAAGCAGTCCCTGCAGACTGGTCTAAGCCCTTGACTTTGGAGATGATGGTGTCGATGTCCATGGCCATAGGGTCCTTGGCAAGGAGCGGGGCAACTGAAGTTCCACTGCCTGGTTGAGGTCGAAGTTTTGGTCGAGGCCTTGTTGGTTAGGGCAAAGTAGCGACGGTAATTGTTGTCCTTTTCAATGGCCTTTTCTGTCCACTCCTTGAAGGTTCGAGGGGGTTTCTCAAGGTCGAAGAGCTTCTTTCGAAGCGGATCGTTCAGACTGGCTTGGAAGTAGTCTCGGGCTACAGTGTCTCCAGCGTCTGCAACTCTTTGATCTTCGGTTTTGTTGGCGTGGTCTTTGGAGAGAAGGTTGGTTTTTGATAGGACAATTTTGAAGTCGGCTACATGTTCTTCGGCCGTCTTCTTCCCTTGGGTCATCGTCTTCAAGCGCTGTAAGGCGTCTTCTTGTTCGTTGATCGGGGTGAACGCCTGTTTCAAGATGGCGACAAAGTCCTTCCAGGTGCCTAATTCGATATCGGAATCGGTCTCCTTGGAACGTAGCCATGCTTCTTTCCAAGCGGAGGCTTCGTCTCCTTTGAGGAATGAAAGGAGATAGGTGATTTTGCTGTCGTCATCGGTGTAGATATGCTTGTTGACCTTCAAGTAGAGTTTCACATCTTTGAGGAAGGTGCTTGAGGTCTTCCTTCTTGCCTGTGAAGGGAGATGGCGGATTTATTCGCCTTTCGGGGATCTTCTGGTTGGTTTCGTCGCTCATTACGACGTCTCGGGTTCCGTTGTCTGGGTTGGTTGGGTTGACCATGGTGACTGGTTGTTCAAGGGTGATTGGCATAAAGGGTTCTTCCTCTTCACGTTCTGGAATCAAGGGTCCTTCCTCTTGATGCTGTGGCTCGGTGCTGGGTTCTTCTTGGGCGTCTTGGAATTCTGCAGAAGGCTCTTCTTCAAAAGAAACTTCTGACTGTTCTTGTTTGCTTGGTTGATGTCTTGGGTCTTCTGGGTAATTGGGGCAAGGTTGGTTTTCGCAGTTGAACCAGTCGTTAAGATTTAGTGTCGTAGTGTTCGCTGGTGAGTCGATGTTGGAAGTTACTGCAGTCAAAGTCGTCGTCTTCTGAGTCTTCTTGGGTTCCTTGTGCTTCGTTGTCTTCTTCTTCTTCAGGGAGCGATTGGTTAGCCGCTAATAAAGATGGTGTTGATGGTCTGGTCGAGCTTGGGGTAAGCCCTCGGAGACGTCCTCTGGGTGTGGTGGACTGGGATCCGGGTGTTGAGGCAATTAGGGTAGCTACTGGGTCGACAAATGGCGGTGGTGTAGGGAGTCGTTCCGGGGGATCAGATGCCGAGTATGTGGGAATTCTGTGTGGTCGATGGGGTCGTCACCCGTAGGTACGGATGACGATGTGTTGGAGCTAGTTCTTCTGTTACGGTCAAGGGACGCGAACTCAAATGAGCATGCACGTCGACCGTAGAGTCGTGGTTCTGAGGCGAGTTCGAGGAGATAGGCGTCTAAGAATGCCTCACAAGAGGTATTGTCTTAAGACGACTAGAGCAAGTTAGAGGGAAGGGTAGAAGAGGGTATGATTCACGAGAACTAGCTAAGGAACAAGAGAGGTATCTACAGAGCTTATATACCTATCTAGCTACGTGAATATGAGTCAAGAGAAGTCAGAGAAGAAGGCTGCGCGAGCACAGGTTACTGCGGAGCGCAGCAGAGATAACTTAGAGAACAATAGAGAGTGGCTGCGCCGCAGCAAGAAGAAGTCATAAAGAGTCAACGAAGGCTGTGCCGCAGCAATAAGAAGAATTAACTGATAAAACAGTCACGAGATAAAGAAAGGGATCATGTGAACAAGAAAGTGAGTCATGTGATAGAGAAAGGACGCGAAGAGAAAAGATAGGGGCGGAATTTGTAACACCCTCAGTTCGAATAAAATTGATGAACTACTGATTGATGATGGCGGAGAACAAAAAGGGTGAGGGTACCGAACCGACTGGTCAGAACGGGGACGTTTTTGGCGGGAGGGGCCCGTGAGAGAATCGACTTAGGAATTTGTCGCGTTTCGAGGTGGGGCCTCTGAGGTACCAGCGGGAGTAGGTCTCTCAATCACTTAGGTACGAACACAAAAGCATGTTTAATTATTTCGATTATACTGTACATTGCATGTAGCACCAGAATATGACCACCCATCATGGAGAAATCGAACCTGAGAGTGATTTTGTGGTGCATGATACAGGGCTGGGGGAGGAAGGGAGCCGGAGTGGTAGAATCCCCAACCAGGGGAAGGTGGGGGAGGAAAGGGTGTATCAACCAAATGAGGTTGATGAGGGGTAGCCCTGGGAGTGGGCAAATGTCCGTTTCCTGCGACGCGACTATGTTCGTGTGCCCGATTCTGGGCGGGCGTTCCTTGGATTGGAGGAGAGTCATAGCTCGTCGGCGTTGAATAAAAGTTGAAATGGTGGTGTCGGTCGACGGATTGGGGCTGTTGATGGATCGCGGAATGGTCGTAATACAGCGAAGCTGGCGATGCAGCGAGCGTTCATGGCCAAAATTGGGCTGGTAGGGCTGTCCGTTGTAGCCTTAGGGTGTTTGGGCGCTGGACGAGCGTGGCGTCTGATAAACAGGACTACCATACTGAGCGGTGTTTCCACGAGCCGGGGTTGAGGGGTGGGTCCAATGCGTTTGGGAGCGGTAGGCAGGTGGAGGCCAATCGATCGGATATTGGTATTTGGTCTGGCGCTGGCTCGGGTTTGGTTCAAAGGTTGGGAACGGATGGCTACGCGTTGTTTGGACGTCGTCGTTGTTGACAGAGTGGGTGGTCGTGGGGCATGGAGGTAAATCCTGGAAGTCGGTTTGATGGGGCGTGATCGAGTCTTCCTCTCTTCCCTCGACCGCTCTCCAGCCTCTCCTCGACAACGACGACCCCGGCGTAACCGACACCGTCATCTGCCTTCCGTTTTCCAGCGTTCCCTACTTGCAAAGGCGCTGGTGTTGGCTGTGTCACTCCCAAAGTGGAGACAGGTTCGATGGGGGCTGGGTTGGGGAATCTAGCGTGACTGCCCGCTGATTCCGATTCTGGAAGAGGAGGGTGCGGGATAGAGGTGGTAGTCGAAGGAAGGACTGGTGTGGGCTGTGAAGGATCGGACAATGCACGAAGCTCCAGCGTGAGTTCTTCCCATACGGTCCATAGCTCGGATCCGTACGTCTCTTGCCATGACCATTGGTGCGTAACTCCCCTCAGGTCCTGTAATGTGCTGATGCCTTCTGCCGTAGCAAGGAGTTCGATTTCTGCGTCCGATATAATATTGCGGCCGGGCTGATCATAGCGAAAGGCCAGTCGCGTTCGTGTATTTCGACACGCCATTCCTCTAACCGCTTCACAATAGCCGGCGTCATCACTTGGTCATCACTTCTCGTCTTTTCACTGCGTTTCGACGATCTTTGGCTGGCGGCTTTCCAGAATCCAGATCGTACACGGTCCATTAGCTTGGGGTTACACTATTACAGAGGTCGCAGCATAGTAACGGCGGGACAGGGTCTGCACGGGAGTAGGTACAGGTGAGTACGCCTCGTTTTATCCAACGAGAATTCTACTTACCCGCATCCTCGTTTCCGTACACAGACTGTAGAACCTTCCTTCGACACAATGTAGTTTGGATAAATGCGAATAAACCCTCGTTTGCGTGTTCAATATCGATGCGAGGCTCCTTTCGCTCCGTGGGCAGTTGGTCGGATGCGGACTCATGCGGCAGTTGGCGCGTATTTTCCTCGATTGACCCCGCAAGCTGATGCATATTGCTGTACTTCCTTCTTCTTTCGTTTGTCTGTTGCCGTATGAGTTGTCTGGGCGCCGTTCGGTTGGGGGGTTTGGGTGCTGGATGCCGGATTTTCGCGGGATGGTGGAATTTCGTCCAAGTTAACGTTGTATGCTGACTTTTCAACCAACAGAACCGCCAATCCTCTCAGGTGAGGGGACCTTGCAGCACGACCGGCACGCTGAACAAATGTCGAAATCGAATCAGGCATTTTCCACTGCACGACCACCTCCACCTTCGGCAAATTACACCCCTGTGCGAGGTCAATATTGGCGTCACGAACGACAACGGCAGGCAAGTGAATGACCATCCCAGCAGCATCAGTACACACAAGTACCCTCACTATACCGAGTTTGAACAGCTTCAACACGGCCTCTCTATACTCCTGACTATACGCTGCACTGAAAGGGCGAACTAGGCCCTGGCCCCGCAAGTGTTCTGGAAGGGTGTCGTCCAAGTGGTCGGCTATTTCAGGGCATTCTTGGATGTTGTCCATATACACCATTGTCGAAGGTATGTCTTCCCCAACTTGAACATTGCTTGGGATGAGGAAGTCGAGATCTGAATAACTTTTCATAGTGTTGTGGATTGCTCGAACGACGATCGATACGTTTGGGCGGTCGTTGCCAATATTGATGAACACATAGCCATCCGACGCGAATTCAAGCTTCTTCAAGACGTCACGACGTACACGAAGGGGCAGGGTTGCCGACATCGCAACTACAGGTGTTGCCTTTGGCAGGAACGCTCGAATTATCCCCAACTCTCCGTACTTCTTGCGGAATCCTGACCGCTCCATTACACGAATACAATGCAACATTTAAACGACTACAAAAGCGCCGCAAAATGAAGCCCGCAGTCGACGTATACAGGGAAGTTACATCTGGTAGTCCAACTACCACCTCTCCAATCGACAACCCTCGCCAAACGTCACAAACTGGACCAGGAGCATCTCAGAAACCGGCCGTACATCTAGGGGCGTCTTCTTCTGCAGTCGCGATAGGGGAGGATGCTGAAAATGTCATCGAAGGCGAAGGCGACGAGGAAGACGAGGAAGAGGACGAGTGTCCGTTGACTGAGTCGGCCTTTCCGGGTGTGGACGAGGTTGAAGCAACCCTAGAAAGGGTCGGACTTGAAGATATTGCGTTCGATATGGATGTCGAAGAGGTCGAGGTCGAGGTCGATGAGGTGGAGGAAGGATTGGAGGGCATATCGTTGGAAGATGTGTTGGCGAGCTAGGCGAAGCGATACTGTTTGGACTTGTTTGTCAAAGGCCCCCGAGGCCAGAAAGCACAAGATCCCTTGCTCAGGTGCGTATATACCATATTTCGTATGTGAAAATGATTGTCTGACATGCCCTCAGTCATCTACTCGCTTCTTTCCACATCACGCAGCCTTTCTCTGGCGCAATTGCGATTATTCCAACTTTGACACTCTTTGTTACCTGAAATTCGTGGATCTCTTATCCCAAACACCTCTATTATCCGTTTTTTTGTGCTACCTCCAATGTGACACATTTCCCCAGTCAGGTTGCCAAGTTATAGGACGCACCGCAAAGATTAGACGAAGGGACAGCGAAAGTTGCTTTTCAGGTCGCCAAAGAAATGCGTTCTTTTTCCCTCTTTCGTCAGAACCAAGCTGATTCACGAGCCTACCGCTATCTATCTACCCAGTTGTTCATTGACAATGATTAATGAGGTCGCCCAAATGAGATAACGATAAGATTAATGAGATTAAGATTTCAGGCGCTTGGCGCATCCCAAACTGGGGCAGACTGGGGCCCGCGGTTGGTGGGGCCATCAGCCCCTAACCCGGATTTGGCCCTACCCGCCTAGTCACGTTACACTTGGGAGTGGGCAAAATTGAGCACTGGTATGGATCAGCGGCGGATGTTGAACCAGACTAGCCGAGACGAAACATCAACAAAATTCGCCCGCGCTGCCCCTCCCCACTTAAGTAGTCTCCTCCATCATCTTGCCTCACCCATCTTGCCTCCAGTCTATCATGTCTGCTCCTATCGATCACAATGTACCTCACCCCAACTGTAAGTACCTTCTTTCATTTCTTTTTGTTTGCTCTTCCGCTGTGCCAATTCACTTTCTCTCTTTCTTCAGTGGACGACGTTGATGTTCCGGTCGAGCCCAACCTCGACGAGTACGTCCGCACGGCCGACTTCGACAACGAGTGTCACAAAAAGGCTCGCATTCTCGCCAACTCATCCTCTGAAGAGGGCAGTAGCTCCGGGGATGACCTCTGTCCTAGCGACGACAGTGTCTCGAGTGCCACCACTTCCTCGTCCTGCCCATACGATGTTTCCAAACTCGAAGCCCTTCTTTACTACGCTGGCTTGGGACCCAAGGGACACGGACCCAAGCTCATCTACAGAACGTCTGATGACGTTTTCGAAGCACCCTCTGGCCCTGAGGCGTACAACCGTCTTATGAGGATTGTCGCAGTTCCTGATACCTTCGAGTTCGGTACGGATGTTACATGGGATAAGGTTCGGGATCAGGTGCGTGGCGTTCTCTTTATGCAACAATTTCTTTGCTCATGTTTCGTCCTTAGGTTGTGATGCTGCTCGACCGGAGGAACATCAAAGTTACGCTCGTCGATTTCGTCCGATTCACTTGGTTGAAGAAGCCAGTAGACCGGGAGATCGACGACGACGACGACGACGACGATGCGAAGGAAGAGGAAGAGTTGAACTATGACGACATCCCCCGCATCCAGACCGTCGAGTACGGAGACCGCCATTACACAAACCCGACAATCTGGATCGGGGTCTTGCCCGACACACTCACCGGTAGTGTTGCTCATGAGTCCTCCCTCGACATCCGTGCCTACCTCGACTCGCTCCACATCCAGAACGTCGACATCGCTTACAGGGTGTCGCGAAGAGCGAACACTAAACCAAACCAAAGACCAGTAATGCGGAGCAGATAAGAGCGGCGAGTAAGATAAGAGCGATGAGCGACGAATGCAGATGAAGGCGGAAGCGATGTATTGACGAAGAGGTCAAGCTGAGGAAATACAGAGCAGACTACCTAGCTTATATACCTATTCTACAGTCTACATAGCCGCGATGAGTCAGAATGACAAACAAATGGCGAAACGTCGAAGAACAATAAGAAAGGTCATGAGGCTGCGCGAAGGCTGCGCGAAGAACAAGGATGAAACAATAATGGAACAAGAGAGTGTCAGAATGAGTCAAGAGGCAGTGCGTAACAATAAGAACAATGGAAGTGGGGCGAAGGGTAATACGAGGCAGTGTTCCAAGAGTGAAAGAGTCCATAGAGGGAATAAAGGAGCGAAGGAATAGGGGCAAGCGAAACGATAAGATGCGAGACAGATCAGATAAGATAAAGTGAAAAATAGGGGCTGTACCGGCTGTTCACGACATTACCCCCCTTCTAACCCTCATCGTCCTCGATGACCAACGGTAGGCGGCGTCCCAGTTCCCAGTCAAAGTCGGTAGGCGGGGCGTCGGTGAAATTCTCGAGTGGGCGCCATGGGAGAGAGCTGAAGATGTATAGCGGAAATTCGGCGTGGTGCAGAGGGGTGTCGCTGGTGGAACTCCTTCACGATCTCGGGCGCGTGCTCCAAGTTCTCCTCCGGTTCCCAAGTGTCGTCCGTCGACCCATAACCCTTCCAACTGACCAAATACTCCAGTTTGCGATTCTTTCCTCGACCTCTCCAACGGCTGTCCAGGATGTCGTGAACCTCGTATTCAAGCTCCCCCTCCAGTTCGACAGGCTCAGGCGGGGGTGGCAAAATGCCATTGACATCATTGCCTTTCCAGGGGGAGAGCTTGTCGACGTGGAACACAGGATGAATGCGGGAGAGGGACGGGGGAAGTTCGAGGCGGTAGTCGAGGTCGCCGATGCGTTCGGTAATCTTGTACGGGCCGAGTTGGAGGTCGCCGAGTTTGCGGGACGGAACCTTGATCTGGATGTCCTTCGCGTTAAGCCAAACGTAGTCGCCAACCTTGAATTGATGAGCCGTTCGCTTGCCGGACTCGTACGCATCCTTCTGCTGGGCCTTCTCGAGACGTAAGGCAGCTTCCACATCCTTGCGGGCTTCTTGTAGCTGCTGAACACGTTCATCAACGGGGCGAAGGTCGGTCTGTTTGCCAATGGGGATGTTGAAGTGGGGAATATACCCATAGAGAACTTCGAAAGGTGAACGATCATGGGCAGAGTGGACGCGGGGAGTTGATCACGAATTCAGCCATCGGTAGGTGCTTGTCCCAGTCATCCTGTCGGCGAGAGACGTAAAGACGGAGATACTTCTCGATTTCCTGGTTGGCCCGTTCGGTTTGTCCATTGGCTTGAGGGTGATAGGCGGTGGTGAGGTTGGACTCGATTCCGAGACGCTTGAGGAGGGTGCGCATGACCTTAGAAGCGAACTGAGGGCCTCGATCACTGATGAACCGGAGTGGGAGACCATGGAGACGGAATACTTCACGGTAGTAGATGTCTGCAACGCCTTCGGTGGTGATGTCGGATGTACAGGGGAGAGCATGAAGAACCTTGCTGTAGTGATCGGTGAAGACGATGATCGCGTCGTGTCCATGGGCTTCCGGTAACTGGGTGATGAGATCGACTCCTACTGTCTCCCAAGGCCCTTCGGGAACGTCCAAAGGCCGGGTGGCAGCCCGCGGGTGCTGGGTATGCTTTCTCCGGGCGCAGACATCGCAACCGTCGACGTACTTCTTGACGAAAGCCCGCATCGTGGGCCACCAGTACTGTCGTTCAACTCGCTCGAGGGTTCCGTGCACTCCGGGGTGTCCGGACGTGGGGTCGTCATGACACTGCTTGAGGACATCGCGCCTGAGTTCGTCGTCCGGGGGTACGTACACACGGCCCTTGTAGTACACAAGGCCGTTGTCCTCTTCCCCATTCGGGAAGTCCAGATGTGAGACGGCGAGGTCCTGACTTACGGAGCTGGGCGAGTCCGTCTAAGACCTGAGATTCACGGGCGCTGGCTCGACGCAGTCGGTCTTCGAGGGGGTTGGCAAGGACGGTGTGGGCGGCTGCGAGCTTGGCAAACAATTCTGGTTTGAGAACGACTTGTTGTTTGTTATCCTCTGCGTCTGCGACCTGATGAATGTCGAGGCGGGACAGGGGATCGGCTTGGGTGTTGGCCTTTCCGGGACGATGGGTGAGCGTGAAGTTAAAACGGGAAAGATAGAGGGACCACCGGGCCTGTCGTCGACTAAGGTCTTGTGCCGTGCGCCAGTATTCCAGGTTGGAATGATCGGTGACGATCTCGAACGGTTTGGGGAGTCCTTCCAGGAAATGTCGCCAGTCCTTGAGTGCTTCGATGATAGCCAGCATTTCTCGGATCGTAGATTTCGTAGTTGCGTTTCGGCTGGTTGCATGGGAGGCGGAGCGGAAGGCAACAGGATGCCAGAGTCCATCGTCGAGCTTCTGAAGGAGGGCTCCTCCAGTAGCAAAGCCAGAGGCGTCTACTTCAACGCGGGTTGGACGGTCAGGGTCCCATAGTGTCAGTATTGGAGCGGAGGTGAACGCGTTTCGGAGGGTATCGAAGGCTTGTTGTTGCGGTTCGTTCCACTGCCAAGGGATGTCCTTCTTGGTGAGATCGTTGAGAGGCCGGGCGATGGTAGCAAAGTCCTTGATAAAACGGCGATAGAAGTTGGCGAAACCCAAAAATCCACGGACGGCGCGAAGGTTGCGGGGAACAGGCCAGTTGCGAACAGCTTCTACCTTGGCAGGGTCCATACGGACTTCTCCCTCCCTGATGACCAGACCGAGGTACTCGATCTCCTCCCGCTCAAACTCGCATTTCTCCGGACGAAGGTAGAGGTCGTGTTTCTTGAGCCCGATGGAGGACCTCGTGCACGACTTGGCGGTGTTCGTCAAGGGTGGCCGTGAAGATGAGAATGTCGTCCAAATAAACAGCGACCTTTCCTGAAGCGATGAGGTCCGAGAATATCGAGTTCATGAGGGCCTGGAACGTTGCTGGGGAATTGGTGAGGCCGAAAAACATGACCAGGGGCTCAAAGAGTCCTTGGTTGGTGGCGAACGCGGCCTTCCATTCATCTCCTTCTTTGATGCGGATGTTGTTGTAGCCCCATCAAACGTCGAACTTGGTGAAATACTTGGCACCACGGAGTCGGTTGACGATGTCAGAGACGAGGGGAAGTGGATATCGGTTCTTCACCGTGATCTCGTTGAGCCTTCGATAATCCTGGACGAAGCGGAGTTTGCCATCTTTCTTCTTAACGAAGAAGACCGGGGAGGCGAGGGGCGATTTAGACGGTCGTATGTAGCCTTTCTTGAGATTCTCCTCGAGGAATCGGTTCAGCTCCTCCTGCTCGTTCTGCGACATGGGGTAGACCTTGGTGCGCATGGTGGCCGGTGCTCCTGCAACGAGGTCGATGGCATGATCCCAAGGCTTGTGTTCGGGGAGGCGATGGGACTCGGATTCGGAGAAGACGGAGGCGTGCTGTCGGTACTGGGGAGGAACCATCTCTTCGAACGACTTCTGGGGCTTGGCCTTCTGGGACTTCTCGGCGATCTGTTGGGAATAGGTGAAACCAGCGGCGCACCAAAGTTCGTCGCCTGTGTCTTCCATCAACCCCTTACGAACCCATCTCCGCCGGGTCATTCGGTTAGCGCGGATGCGGCAGAGAGGAGGCGCGCTTGAATCAAAGTCGGGGTCGGGCGCCGGGAACTCGTTGGTAGGAACAGGCGGATCAGGGTCGTTGTAGATCTGTTCGATAATAGCATTGCCGGAGGGTGATTCCTTTCGAGGGGGCTGTGCATCTTCGTCGGGGATTTCTTCGATGGTAACACTGGAGACACGAGGTGGGGGAATCTCCAAGGTGCCCTTGCGCCAATCAATCTGGGGGTTGATCTTGCGAAGCCAAGGAAGACCCAAGATGACATCCTCTCCCCCGAGATCGGCGATGAGGAAGTCCGTCCATTCGGAGTAACCGTTCAACCGTGAGTTCCAAGCGAGCGAAGTGAGTGATGTGTCCAGCCTGATTTGGGGTCCCATCAATATTGAGGGAGCCGAATGGGGTGTCGGAGTGGGTACGTGGTGATCCGATGCTTTTCCACAAAAGGCTTGTCCAAGAATTTGCCAGTAGCGCCACAGTCGATCATTGCTGCGGGGTCCGCCGTACGGTTTCTGCCTCTGAGTCTGATGCGAATGCGAAAATGCGAGGAACCGGGGTGTATTTCGCGCACAGAGCTAATAGTACAGGAGTAAATCGAGTCATATTCAGAAACAGCGTACGACGGTGAAAAGGGTGCATGCTTTGCAGCACGAACAAGCACCCGCTTCAAAAACCCTGTTGTTGGATCTTCTCGAGGCGCTCCAGGATGTCCTGTTGGTTCTTCTGAGCAACCAAGAGATCGGCGAGTGAAACGTTAGACGAGGTGGCAGCAGGTGGGGCAGGCGAAGTGGCAGCAATGGTGGCGGCGGGTGTGGAAGAGTCATCGAAGAGCGAGAAGGGAACCTCCTGGGGTGGCAGCAACGCGACGACGTTGGGTGAGTCCTCGACCGGGCGGATAGCCCATGAACTTGTCTTGGCAGACGTTAGCGGAGTGGCCGAGACGCTGACAGTGGTTGCAACGAAGTGAGCCGTGGTTGCCGTCCTTCTTGATGTGGGCGGAGGATCCGCAACCAAAGCATCGTCCACGCATTGCTTGGAGGAAATCCTCACGGGAACGGCCACTAGGTCCAACACGGGTCGCGTCGATGTCCATCGCATAGGGGTCACGGGCAGGGGCAGAGCGAGACGAGGCAGTCGGGGTCAAGAAGGAGGCGCTGCTTCCGTGAAACGTAAAATCGTTCTGGTTGACGATGTCGCAGTAGTCTTGAAGGGTCTTGGGCTTGGCATCGTCCGGTTTGGTGATGGCGATAAGATCCAGCATGAGGCGATCGTTGGAACTGAGTTTGCGACGAAAACGTGCCATACCATCCTTCTGGGATAGACCGGTGCGGGGAAATATCTCCATGAACTTGGCTGCGAACTGGGAAGCAGATTGTTTACCCTGGGTAAGGGCCTCGAGCTGGGCTTCAGCTGCTTTCTCCTGGTCGGCGGGTTGGAAGCGTTTCTTGAAGGCAGCCACAAAAGTGGACCAATCGCCACTGAAGGGCCAGGGGTGGGCGGCCTTCTGAGCAGCGTCGGCAGCAGCCTCGTGGGCGGCAATCTGATCCAGGTATTGGACAGCCCAGGAGGCAGCAGCACCCTGAAGGTACGAGAGGGCAGCTGAGATCCACTTCTTGTCATCTCCTTTGAGTTCGGACTCGGCGGAGGCCCAGTTGGTGAAATAGCGGAGGAATCGCTGGGTATCACCAGAGTCACCCTTGAAGGGCTCAGGCGCTTTGACGGGGCTTCTAGTGGAAGCGGTCTTAGCAGCCGTGAGCTTATCCAGGGATTGCTGGATACGCCTGGTAGTCTCTTGTTGCTCGGCAAGCAACTTGAGAAGAGTGGTGTCGGACATACTGAGATCGGGGATAGGCTTTGCGGGGTTTGGTAACGGGGTCTTGTTGGACGAGCGGCAGAGAAGTGGGTGGGGATAATAAAGATGGTGATAAGGTGGAAGTGGGAGGTTCGTTATCTGAGCGTTGGGCAACAGACGTGTCCTCCGACTCCCTGGGGATGGGAAGTGGTGTGAGGGCGCGGCGAGGAGTGAGGGTAAGGGCTGTGGTGGGGGTGGAGTGTCCGGAGCGGCGGAGACTTGTTACTGCGGGAAGGGCTTCTGCTAACGCGGCGTAGGTAACGTGAAAGGGGACGGGTGTTTCGGAGTCTTCTTCTTCGGTTTCGTCTTCCTTGTCGTTGTTGTCCTCTTCCTCACTGTCTTCTTCAGATGATGTTGACGGAGGGCGAAAGGACTTTGGTGCGGTGCTGGTGGTTGCTGTTACTGGGGCAGGGGTAGAGTTGGCGGAATGGAAAGACTGGGGAGAATCCTCTGGTAAGAGCTGTGTGACGGTTGGCGGCGGAGTTACTGGTGGGGATTTCTTCTTCGATTCTTCTTTCCTGGATTCGGCAAATTCGCGGGCTTTTACGGCGTTGTCGGAGGTGCAAACAGCAGCGTAGAAGCTGGCTGTCTGGAGGCGTCGTAACTGGTGAAAGGTGGGCCGGAGACTGAGGCGGTAGGGGCAGGGGGAACTGTCACACTCTACAACCTCTTCCTTGCTATCGAGGTGGCAGTCGATGCCAAACCACTTGTCAGGGTTGAGGTCTTTACTAGAGGCGAAGAAGTGTGGGTATCCTGCGCAGCTAATCTTGACGGTGTCGGAAAACCAGAGTTGCCAGAGTAAGACCTGATCGGCAGGTCAACCAGAGTGCCAGGGGGTCCGGAATGCAGGGACAACGATCGGCGTTGCCAGTGCACGGGGGTAGCTTGACCTAATGTCGCGAAGAGCGAACACTAAACCAAACCAAAGACCAGTAATGCGGAGCAGATAAGAGCGGCGAGTAAGATAAGAGCGATGAGCGACGAATGCAGATGAAGGCGGAAGCGATGTATTGACGAAGAGGTCAAGCTGAGGAAATACAGAGCAGACTACCTAGCTTATATACCTATTCTACAGTCTACATAGCCGCGATGAGTCAGAATGACAAACAAATGGCGAAACGTCGAAGAACAATAAGAAAGGTCATGAGGCTGCGCGAAGGCTGCGCGAAGAACAAGGATGAAACAATAATGGAACAAGAGAGTGTCAGAATGAGTCAAGAGGCAGTGCGTAACAATAAGAACAATGGAAGTGGGGCGAAGGGTAATACGAGGCAGTGTTCCAAGAGTGAAAGAGTCCATAGAGGGAATAAAGGAGCGAAGGAATAGGGGCAAGCGAAACGATAAGATGCGAGACAGATCAGATAAGATAAAGTGAAAAATAGGGGCTGTACCGGCTGTTCACGACACAGGGAGTCGACCTACAAGCCGTCGGCCATCTGCATCCCAGCCCTTTACCCCCCCGTCGAAGACGGTCACTCTCTCAAAGACATCATGCCATGAATGAGTAAAAAAGTAGTGTTTGCGTTTCTCACAAGTCGAGATGTACATACAGCATGTAAATTAGTCTGTGTGTATAGTAGTCTGTACCAGTGGTCCCGAGTGTCTCGACGAATCCCATCTTAAAATTCAGTACTGCAAGACCACTAGAAGTTATTCAAGACTTGGTCGAAGAACAAAGATAGATAGATAGATATAAACGTCCTCAGAGGAGAACATGCACAAAACGTCGCACCGACAATCCTAAACCAGGAGCCACAGCCGGTGCTGCCCATGCGCTTTGGATTTCAAGACTGAGCAAGCAGAGGAAGGTGAGTGGGGAGGTTAGGCCTAGGGTATTGCTTTGGCGATTTCGGAGGGGGAGGGTGATGGCACACCCGCCTTTTGATGAATGGTGGCCAAAGCTCTGTTATACCGTCCGTGTCTGATATTTCGGTGCCCTCGACTGGCCATCGCTGAAGCGTAGCGAGGACTCAAAAGTGGGGAGCGTTGCGAAGGTGTGGCAGGAATCGAGTTCTGCTTGAGCCTTTTCTCGGATGAATCGTGTTGCGAGGACTGGACACGAAGCGCCTTGGAGGCTTGGATCGTGATTTCAGTATATACTCGACATACTACCCCAGACCTAGAGAGTGGATAGGGACTGACATCGCGAATAGGAAACTATTCCCGTCCTGTTTTGTGAAGTTTGATCAGAAATTCGCCTCGAGTGGCGAAAACGAAAAGCACTCACCAAAAGAAAGCAGACAAGCATTGATATCCCAGTTAGAACTTGAGGTCCACATGATACCGATGTCAGACTCGATAGTAAATGAGTAGCAGTTACTTACTGATCATCAAGAGCACGTAGCTTATTCCATTATTTCTCAGTGTCGCTAGCAGCGCACTTTTGAGATTTCTGTACTCGGAAGTATGGATACGATATACAATCAATGCGAGAACTGGAGTAAAAATGATTAGTGTCGTCACTCGTGTCCTAACGAGCCTCAATTGACGCGACTCAATCACCTGCCGTAGTCGACAGCGGTATTAGGAAGGAAATCCCTATCAGAAGCAGGTGTTCATCGCTGGCAGGGGTGCAGTGTATCCCTGCCGGAAGGTCGGTAGCTAAGACTTGAAAGAATAGCGCGAGTTCAGACAAAGCTTTATCAGAATCGAGAGACAAGAAAATACCTACATACGATTGACCTGAAGTACCAAGCTTCGAGGAAGAAAGTAAGTGAGTATGATATCTAATGTATATGCGTTGGAATCGGTGAGTGACAGTCGGTCGAGGACGAGTTTCAAAGGCCACGCACAATAAACTGAGCCGCCAGGTAGATCCCCAATGGTCGACTGATGTAATTGTCTTATGTATGAGAACACACTTGAGTCCAAGGGGCGAGTTACAGAGTACGGAAACGGTTGGCTGGAGGAGCGCTAGCGTGGAGACGTTAGTACAGTATGTAGGCGGTAGAGTGTATCGCGCGATTCAGATTGAGCTTCGGGTTTTACTTGCGACGCGGTATATATTTACTCTACATACACACTCTTGCGCAAACGTGGACTTGGATTTACTTACCTCGAAATTTTTCAACTCGAACTTGAACTGCGCGCAGAGCCGCGACAGAAGCCGATTCCTCCCCTCCATATTATAATATATACACTTCGAGTTACTTCGAGTCTGCACTTTGCTTCGACTCTCCAGCGCTCGAGAGAGGAATTTGCGATCCAAACCCTAACCCCACACCCCACCCAACTGATGCCGCGCGCCAGCCTCGTGTTGTTGAACGGACGAACGACGAAATCCGTGACGACGACAGTGACGGGCCCCTTCTCTCTCTATTTTTGTTCGCGCTTTCCCTTCTTCTGTTCTCACACACAACCCACGCCATCCCGACATCTGGAATTTATCCAAGCCTACTGCCTCGTGGCGATCTTGGAGCTGTAGGAGATCCAGGTTGGATATCGATAACGAAGGGGGCTCCAGAGTTGTTCAGGTTTTCAGGTATGTAACCGTTCAGGCCAGAGTTTGAAATATTCTTGTCAATTGGCCGCCAACCACCTGCGATTTTTTTGCAGCCCCTGAGGCCTGAGAGACTGGGATTTCGGGGTTAGAAATTCAGGCGTCGTCGGACTTTTGCACTGTTGGACCCTGACGCAAACGACAAACGACCAACGACCACCGGGGGCGCGCTGCCGACTCGACTCGAATCGAATCGACAGGACAGACTGGCAGCCAGCCAGCCAACCGACCAGCGGACGACAAACCGACTTATACGACAGCAAGCACACAGAACAAAAAGAAACGAAGCGGGAGAAGAGAAGAGAAGAGAGGGGGAGATACATATATACGAGAATTGTGTTGGGTCTGGGTTTTTAGCGACGTGTTGACGTTGTAGTGGGCTACAGGTGAGTTGTGGTTTCGTCGTTACGCTTGGTGGGTGGCTGCCAGTTGGGAGCGGTGACTAGCTTCTGAAATATTCGATATTCAATTCGCATTCGAGTGCTTAGACGTATCTAACCACCTCCTAGACCCACGACAACAAGCAAAACTCGAATCCAAAATGTCATCATCTCGCTCACCATCGACCAACCCTACACCGCCAACGCACACCACCACAACAACGCTATCCTCGACACTCCTAACCAGCACCTCCCCACCCACGCTCCAAGAATCGATCAAAAACTCGACGAAGCAGTGGCAGGAGGACCTTGCCTCGCTCTTCAAGCACGCAAAGGACCGGTTCCCAGATGTGGTTTGGGAGACGTCGAACGAGGGGTTGTTGGAGGACGATGGGCTGGGGCTGTCGGATGGGTTTAGTGTTAGTTATGTGAATGGGTATGGGGACGAGGAGGAGAGGAGGAGGACGGTGTTGAGTCGTGTGAGGGTTGAGGAGGTGTGGGGGCATAAAGGTGTGTCTTATCATTCACTTCTCTATTATTGAAGGTGGTACTAACGAGAGTGACTAGCGATTGTATATGCACGCGCTCCCCCGTCGTTCCAGAACCGGTATTTCTCATTCAACAGGCCGCACGGCGCGACGTCGCCTTTGGGGTACAACCAATCCGATGACTACCACGGGACCGACGATGACCACCACTCGCATTTCCAGCACCAGCAGAGTCTCTACCCAGCGGAATCGAGTGTCTCGCTCGGCCTCGACCTGCGCACGCCCTCGCCTTACCGCAGCGGCACGCCCTCGTCGATGGTCCACCCGACGACGAATCTATTACGTATCTCGACGACAATCAACCCGGCTTTGTTCTCCAATGAGCTGGAGTACCTCTACACCGGCCAAGGCTTCGGCGAAGCCTTTGAATTCCTGTTCGATTCGTCCGAGCATGCGGCTCTTGGTGGTGGACTCGTTACCGGCGTCGACGGCGAAGACGGGGAGGGTGGTGGAGGAGGAGGGGTGGTAGACGCCGAAGCACTTCGGATCGATAAGCTGCGCAAGGACCTGGTGTTCATGTGGCGCTCGCGGTTGTACTCGGACGTGCGTATTGCGCTGACGGGCACTTTTGCGAGTTCTAGTGGGACGCATGAGAACACCACCGCTATATTCTCGAGTCATCGGTTTATGCTCGTTTCGAGGAGTCCGTATTTCCATTCGGCGTTGCTGGGAGGGTTTAATAGTAAGAGGAGGATTGGAGGAGTTGGAGGAGGGATTGGGGGAGGGGACGATGGAGACCCGCCGACGCTTACGCTGCCTTCGCCACCCTTCACACCCGCCTCTCTGCATTTCACCTTGGGATTCATTTATACCGGCACCCTCATCTTCAGCCACAGGACGTACGACCTCTCCACCGCCTTTGCCATCCTCCGCGCCTCGCTCTACCTATCGCTCACCACCCTCCACGACGAGATCCAAGCACGTATCACGACTGAGATGCTGCACGGGTTGTTCCACGCCTTCCTGCCCTTTGCCGAATACGAGAAACTCACGCAAGGAAAGTGGGGTGTTGGGGGGTGCAGGTGTAGGCAGTGCGCGAGGAGGGCGCCGAGGGTGTTGGAGTTTAGTTTGGAACCGGACGTAGGGAACCAGCATCTCGAGCGAGGCGCCAGACGCGCACTGGTAGGCCTCTTCGGCGAGGGATGGTGTACAACCGAATTCGCGTCCCTCCCTCCCAAACTGCGCGAGTCCCTCCTCAAAGGCCTAGCCAAACGCACCACCCCGCAAAACGTCTGGGCTCTCCTCTTCGCCGCCGAGCACGCCTTGCTCAAACTCGGCCCCGTAATAGACGCCTGGGCTGATACGGTTAGGGAGAACATTTTTGCGGCGAGGAAGGTGGTGGATGAGGTGCTGTGTAGGGAGAGTGAGAAGTGTTTTGGGATGGAGGAGTGGGTTGTGGGTGTGGTTGGGGAGGATGGGGAAGGGGTTGGGTTTGAGGATATGGAGAAGGTTGAGTGGGCTATGGCCGCGGTTTTGAGAGGTGTGAGGGAGAGGTGGGCCGCGGGGGTTTATCAGGTGCGTTCGTTGTCCTCTTTCCTGTTTCCTCATCTCTCCGCTGCGCGCATATACTCACTCCCGCCCCCTACAGACACTAGTATCCTCCATCCTCCTACGCCCTCACCCGACTGAAGAAAACGCACCTCTCCTCAGCGCTACATCCCCGATTAGACAACATGTGGAACAGACGAGGCTGGAGTTGCTCAAGTGGATTGGGAAGCGGTGGATTGGGATACGGAATGAACATGGGTTTGATGAGCTTGAGGGGTGGGCGTTGAAGGAGATTAGTGATTGTGAGTTGTCGAGTTTCTGGGTTTGGGGTTTCCTTGCTCGTTGGTTTGTTTTTTCGCTGTTGATTTGCGGGGAGGTGTGCTTTTTCTGTTGGGTTATGGGGAGACCTTGGTTTTACGACGAGGTTTTGGTTGGTTTCTCGTGGGGTGAACCTTTGTTGGACGCGAACGAGCGGGCGATACGTCCTTTTTTCTCCCCCTTCCTTCGTTTTCGAGTTTACGCGTTTGTTTTTCACTCTTTTGTTTTCCCTTCGCTTCGGTTCAAAGTGATGGGCGTTGTTTCTTTATTGTCGGGGCTTGTCTTGATCGTCGAGGCTTGTCTCGTGGTTGGCGAGGGCTGTCCTGCAGATGAGAGAGTGAAGGAGGAGGCGTCAGATGTGCACGACGAGAGCGTTCGTCTTCGCGGAGTTGACAGGCTCTGATTATCCCCTTGGCGGCGTGCGTGATCCACGCCCTTTCCCTCTGCGGCCTCGACTGGACCTTGTCCTTGGTCAAGTCTGCTCGTTCGTTTGGTCCTCGTCGTTCCATTTCGCTTCGACCATTTTTGTTCTGTTTCACGCTCTTCATTTCCTTCACTCGCTTCAATCTATCTTCCTCATGGCTCCGGATCTTGGACTAATTTTAACCCCTTCTATTTCACAGATATCGAAGTACCTATCGAAGATCTGCTCAACCCCATCCCCGCCGAGAAGTCGTCACCGCGTGCAGGTGGCGGGCACGCTCAATCCGCTTCAGCAGCCTCGCGCACCAAGACCGGTTCAGCCTTCCTCCGTCCTCACTCGCAGCACCCACACACCTCGCGAATTGACGCCGACAGCGACACTGCGTCTTCGATGCGCGTTAGCGTTCTTACTCGCAACACCAGCACTGTTTCTAGCAGCAATAGGTATGGGGAGAGGAGCTATACGGCTTCGTTGACGCCCTCGAGGAGGAGGGGTGGGGGGAACGAGAGTGTGGCTAGTAGTGTGAGGAGTTCGGCGAGGAGCACGGCGACGTTTGAGAGTGGTGCTAGTGGGAGTACGGTGGGTGCTAGTGGGAGGAGGAGGGTCACGGGGGGTGGGTCATCCGTCGTCAGTTCGTCGGTGGCTAGTACTCGACGCGAGGCTTCCTCTACGGTTTCGTCTTCGCGCGCTGGAGGGGCGAGGGATGGGGAGGACTCGCCTGCGAAACGGATTGCTGCGAGTGTGAGGAGCAGGATGAAGGCTGATGAAGTTAGGGAGAGGGAGAGGGAACGGCCGGATTCGAAGTTGACGCCTGTGGAGGCGGATGTGTTGCGTGCTGGTGGTGTGGAGAGTTTGTATGGTGACGATGAAGACCTTGACGACAACAACGACGATGATGATGAGGATGAGGGGGAGATGAGGACTGCGCCAGAGGGGAGGTCGACTGTCCATGAGGATGATGATGATGGTGCGTTGACGGAGACTGAAGCTGGGGATGGGGAGGATAGGGTTACGGATTTGGAGGATGGGGAGGAGGAGCCGCAGGAGGGTGATTCGGATAAGAGTGTGGATGGGCGTAGCACGTCTACGGCTGGAGGACGACGTCAAGCACGACAGGTTAAGCGGACGCCTACTTCCGCTTCCTCTTCTACCACCTCCTCGTCTGTTGCTGCGAGGTCGACCGCCAACCGCACGCCTACCAGGACAAACACGATGTCTTCGAGGCGCACGACGCTTTCGAATGCGAGTTCGATGAGTGCTAGTCCGGCTGTTAAGAAGATGGTCATTACGAGGGCTAGTTTGGCGGGATCGGGAGTGAGTTTGTCGACGAGGGGGTCGGTTAGTTCGATGAGGAGTGCGGCGAGTGGGGTTGGTGGGAGGAAGGTTAGTGGGGGGAGTGTGGTTAGTGGTGTTAGCGGTGTTAGTGGGACCACAGGGCTCAGTAGGAGTACGGGCGTCAGTGGGAGCACGGGTGTCAGTGGCCGACCGAGTTCGAGGGGGAGTACGAGGACGGGTACGGGTACGACGCTCAGTTCGAGGTCTACGGCTTCGAGGTCCACACTTTCATCCATCACGACGTCGACGACTTCCACCAGGAGTTCGACGTCGAGACCCGCGAGTCGGCTGTCGAGTGTGAGCACGAGTACGGCGGGTGGTGGGAGGCCGGTGTCGACGGTTAGCACGGCCTCGAGTACGACGGAGGGTACGTGGCGGACGGCCTCGCAGGGTGGTGGGCTGGCTACGTCGCCGCTGTCGCCGACGGCTCCGTCCTCAGCGAGGACGAGGAAGACGAGTGCGGCGAGTACGGTTTCGACGGCGAGTGTGAAGACGACGACGACTGCTACTACTGCGTCTGCTGCGAGGGCGAGGAAGGTGTCGACTGGGAGTGTGGCGTCGAGGAAGGAACCACCTGCGGGTGCGAGTGCGAGTGCGAGAGCGAGGAAGGTTTCGACGGGGAGTGTGAGCAGTGTGGCTAGTTCGAGGAGTCCGGTTGCCAGGAGGGGAGGAGGGAAGGCTCCGCCTGTTCCTGCTATTGACCCGACGAGGTTGGCTCCGGCGGTGGGTGGTAGGAGGAGTGCTGGTGTGTCGCCTACGGCTAGTTCGTTCAAGGGTACGTCGCCGACGACGAGTACGAGCAAGCCTGGTTCCTCGCCTTCGAATAGCACGCAGAGGCCTGGTGCGGCGGGTGGTAGAACGAGCAAGGGAACGCCTTCGTTGAGGAGTTCGGCGTCGTCTGCGAGTTTGGCGAGTACGGCTGGTGGTGGGAAGAAGGGTGTGGGAGCTGGAGGGACGGTCAAGAAGGTTGCGTCGAGCCCTGCTGCGGGTGGTGGTAGTGCCAAGGGTGGAGAGAAGGAGGACGATAGATCAAAGCGATCGCCGGAGAAGAAGAGCGACAGTCTGCCCACGACGCCAGCGCTATCCACCAAGTCTCTCGGGTCGTCGACGAGTGTATCGTCGGACGCCACGTCTGTCGCTGGTGGGGGCGAGCACAAGAAGACGAGCAGTTCGGCGTCGAATTCGAGTGTGGCGACGCTTACGATGAAGAAGCGCGATTCGGTGGATACGATTACGGGTCGCACGAGGGCGGCGTCGCCGCCTCTACCCGCCCTCCCGCAGCAGGAGGAACCCGAGCCCTACGACCCGGCGGATTATGTGCCCAAAGGCGCGACCCTCGACATTGGTATCCCGTGCATCATCTCGTGCAAGCGCAAGCGGTTCAAGGCGTATGCGCGGTACATTGGCGAGGTGGCGGGCGAGCTGGGTCCGTGGGTCGGCGTCGAGGTGCCCATGCCGTCCTGGGAGTCGGCGAATTACGGGTACTCGTCGATTAGTTCTTCTTCCACCTCGGCCTCGTCGCACCCGACCAGCGAGATTGACGATCGGCAGTGGAACGACGGGAGTTGGGGCGGGATTCGGTACTTTGAGATTTCGAATCATGGAGGGGATGGGTGGGGCGGTGAGGATCGTGCGTCGAGGCGGCGGAGGGTGGATGCGGGGAGTGTGGGTGGTGCGGTGTGGGGGCACCAGTCGTCCTCGTCGTACTCGGGGAGCAGCAGTATGTTTGGGGGGAGTGTGTTTGGGAGGGGGACGTTGAAGAGGGAGGGGGATACTTTGAGCATCAACGCGGATAGGATGAAGAAGATGAGGAGTGTTAGTCCGACTATGAGCGAGAGCAGTAGTATGGTGGAGAGTCGGGGCTTGTTTGTGAGGCCTCAGCAGGTGCTGTATGTCGTGGATGCTATTGGGCCGGATTAGTCGATGGTTCGATGGTGGTACGGTGCGCGATACCTCGTATACCTCTTTTCTTGGTCGCCTTTTTACAGTATCCTATGGTCTTCTCTTCTCGTTTCGGTTTTAATCGTTGGTTTTTCGGCATGACTCTTTCATTTCATGAACCCCACCTACACGCTCTTTTGCATTTCCGTTTCCTCTTTTCTTATACCTCTCTCTCTCTCGAATTGTTATCGTTCGCTCTCATGATTTTTACACGCTTTGTAGCATCACATACACACACTCGTTCCGTTTTTTCTCTTCTTGTTTCTCTCTTCTCTCTCTCTGTCTCTCGCAATTGGCGCATTGATTCGTAATACAAGACTTGGGAAATTCTCCTCTGGTTACCCCGTCTGTTCGTTTGTTCGTTGTTTCTACTACGTCCATGACCACCCCTTTCATACTACATACATAGCTATAATACTGCTTTCTTGTTCTCGAGTTTCGGCGTTTGAATGAATTACAGGTTTACAGTCGACAGAATATGGTTAAGCTACAGCCAATGCTTAATAGAGGGTCCTCCGGGGTCCCTGTTTATGTTCGTCGTTGTTCCCACCTGGAAAGTGTATTCCGATAAGTTGAAAAGAAGGGAGTTCTTGGATGAGATGGAGTGAGCATGGATGTAATCCCTTCGACAGATAAACCTGAAGCCTTAAGCGCTCATGGACGACCTGGGCCAGTTATTCGAATTTCGTCGAGTGAATCCCCTCTCAAATCCTGTCGCCCGTTGTCCAATTTTAGGGAAACAGTTCTTTCTTCGCAACTCCGGGGACATCTACGGCGATTGTGCACGAGACGAAGATCTTAGATGCCCACATGAACTCTACTCGGACGGTAACGTCGTTCGACAGAAAGCGACCACCCGCTAGGGTTTCTATCCCGGGTTCGAAAGGGAGGACGCTGTTGGAGACCCTTACCCGTAACTCGCGTTTTTCGGCGACTTCTAGCTCGATTATCGTCATCTCGGCAGCTGACCAGAGTGGCGAGGAGTGGTCGGAGGGAAGTGTTATCGCCGTTCCTAACCCCCGACAGCGATGAACAGAAGATGGTAGAATCTATTATCCACCAATGTCACTTCTACCTTTTTTCTCGAGGGTGTACGCAGTCGAGCACACTTTAACGCTTGGGACAGCACTGGCCATTGATATCGCTGTTGAAGGTTCATCGTAGAGCTAGAGATAGAAAATATATCCAGAGATTCAACTTCCATTGATGAGAATGACAGACTGCAAGGCGCTGGAGGATACACTGAGTGACGATAGAGAACTGGTCGGACTATACACGTCCCTTCTCTCTCTACGAGAGTATGCGGGCTCATTGGTTATTAGAACTACAACAACTCAACTCTAAGCACTGGAGGTGACGCGGGCCGCGTCGACGTCAATGAAAGGTGCCAAAGCCTCCATCCAACCACTAACTCTCGTCTCCCCAGAACATATGCCGATATGGGCCGCCTCCGGCGTGTACACGACGCTCATAACAAAAATCTCGTGTCCCAGCAATCGCTGTAAGACGCGAGTGAACGTCTCTAGTAACGACCTCCCATTTGATGCCGGAATGCGCGCCCTTGCGGGTGGCCTATCGGAGTCGAATACGGTCAGAACCGGAGTGCAGACTCGGCTGTGTTGGCAACTGCGTTGGTCGGAGTCCTGGCTATCCTCCCTCAAGCTGGAGAGCGGGCAAAGTCGTTAGATCATCGGTGAGCCGCGCATACGAGGATACGGCGACGTACAGCATAAGGATATCATCCGTGACCCACCGTTCCCTCAACGCCCCCCACTCTCTTTCTTTCTCCTCTTCACTCATCGGCCGAACATACGGCCCCCTCCTCCAATCATCACTCGCTTCCTCAAGGTACACCACAGTCGTATCACCCGTCGAAGTGACGTTCACAATCCTCGTTCCGCGTCTGATGTGCATTTCCAAGCCATCCGCCAAAGTGTAAAGCGTGCCGATCGCTTCTTGGAAGATGGGGTACGACACTGACACTATCTCCGTACCACCAGCTAGGTTTACAATGTTAAACGTGGGTGCTGGGCGACGGATAGGCATCCTAGACTTGTAGGAATCCGTCAATATATGTACTACGAGTGGGAATGGAAGTTCGTTCTTACACACTGGAGTCTTGAACAACGAATAAGACGGGCGGGAGCAAGAGAATGGGAATTACATGACTGTTCGAACACTTCGTTTAAAAATTCATGGGTTCGCTCAATTTTCTTGCGTTCTCATCGGCATCCCAGGACCCACTCTGAGCCCACGCAGTATACTCCCCCCCCCCCCCCCAAGGACTCACCAATTCGGTACAATGCCGTCAGACATTTGCTTCTCTCTTCTGTGCATGTCGCTTTTGTGGCTGTGCTTGCCTTGGGCGTTATCAACGGTGTAATGGGACTTCCTCAGCCCCCCTCGACCGCGACTTTGCAGACCATGGAGCAGAGACAGAACGCCTTGGACCTAATCGATTCCGCGGCGCTGAAACCGGCGAGCTCGAGATCGTACCAGGCCCTGGCCTCCCCTCACTCGCATCCCTGGTCTTTGTGCTGTCGAGCACCTCCAGCGTCTCAAACTCAAACTCGCTGAACACGACAATGAACTTGAATCTGGGTCAAACTCGCTCACCAAAAGGTTCTGTCACGAGTGGATGCCAGCCACGGTCGTATTGCTGTAGGTCACAGATTCAGAATGACCGTTTAGCTCGATAACTCTCAACCCGGAATGGGTTTCTGATCTTTTCGCTTACTCTCGAATTAACTGCTCAAGGACATGTAATTTGGTGCACTATCCCTAGTAATGTCAATCCTAAGCGGTGGTATCTGCGCCCATGAAAGGAGCCAAGGCTTCCGTCCACCCCATGCTCCTATCTTCTCCCGCCTTGGACATAATGACGATCTGTGCCACTTCAGGATTGTAAACGAGCGACTCGACCCGAATCTTGTGGCCTAACAAGCGCTGCAAGACTCTAGTGAACGTCTCTAGCAACGATCTTCCATTAGAGGCTGGGATTCTTGTCCTTGCTGGTGGACTGTCGGAGTCATATATGGTGAGAACCGGCGAAGGACCCTTGCCGTGGTCCTCGCTGCCTCCCCTTGAGTTAGAAAGCCTGTGAAATCATTAGCTCGTCGGTAAGGATAGATATGTGATGAAAGCTGAACAAGCGGGACGTACGACTCCAAGATATCGTCCGTAACCCAGCGCTCCCTCAAAGCGCCCCATTCTCGTTCCCGCGACTCTTTATCTAGTGGGTGAAGATACGGTCTAGTGAACCAGTCATCAGCTGCTTCCTCAAGGTATACCAAGGTTCTGGTACACGTCGAAGTCACGTTGACGATATTTGTCCCAAGCCTGATGTGCATTTCCAAGCAATCCGCTAGAGTGAAGAGCGTATCGACCTCGTCTCTACCAATAGCGTATGATATCGATACTGTCTCCGTGCCTCCGGCAAGGTTTATGACATTAAAGTGGGCTATACGAGGAGCAAGCATGCTAGACTCATCGCAAGCGTCAAGCACTCTACGAATGGGAAGAAGCTGCGCATTTACATACCTGATTCTCGGACGCCAAAGTGGACGTGGTGGGAGGAGGGAGAAATTACAATCTCCTGACGGCCCTACAACTCTTTTAATGGGGTATCTGAGTTCTGTGTGTTCTTGTAGGCCATATGTAATCCACTCCGGACCTACTCAATTCCCCACAAGTTGGAATGGAATTCGTTTCATGATCATGAGATCAATTGGGCCCCTACAAGAAACGATTTCTTGCACACTCTCACAAGGCTGCAGCATAGCATATTTCTTCTACATCACATCAGGGATACCCACTGTCGTCTACAAACCACCCCACTCGACATCTTCTTAGGTCTAAGTGAATACAAGATCAATGCTCCGAGTATGATTCGGGGCAGTAACCTGTAGACGCATCGTGATAGGGATTCGATGTTTTCAGTGGAGCTGGCACTCAGTGTGCATGTGTGTGGCTCTTGTCCCTCCCAATGTATTGTCCCAAGAAGTTTGAGTGTTCGTCGTCTTATGACTAGGGCATCCTACAATCCCGAACGACAACCCGCCTTAGACGGAAACACCTACATCATAGCCCACGGAAACAGGCGCACAGTCGCAGAGAGATACGTAAAAAGCGTATATAAGGAGTCGCACATACTCCCTCAATACATATCAATACCCCTGACGCCTGAAACTCCTTCCCAAGCCTGGAGTTCACAAGCATTCAAACCCACCACACCGCGGCATAGGTAAAGCCTGAGCATACCGTACTTGACACCATCCTCATCAGACTGACACCTAAGACCTCTAGATATCGAACACAATGCAGCTCACCTTTGGCCTCACCACCGCTGCTATCCTGGCGCAGCTTCTGGTTCACGCCAGTATCTCCGCAGCCCAATATGGCCACGGTCGCGGCCTCGAACGGCGAGACCTGCTCAATCTCCTCATTGAGCTTGAAGCTCGTGAATGGCTCGAAGAGCTTTCAGGGAGATCCATCCCAAAGCGTTGCAGGGTTGTAAAAGGCTCGGGCCGAGGCCCATGCGACGTTAACGCATGCGCTGGCTTTTGGATAACTTGCATGGATGACTCCTGTGAGACAGTTCCTGATGAATTACATCCGGACTTTCCAGAGGAGTGCAGGAACTGTATTTGCGTAAGGCGACTCATGGCTTAGATACAGCATGTATTCATTTCGAAAGATATAAATTTTGTTTGGCACCTGTACTGGTGCTCTTGATATATCAAACATCTCTACTTAGTGATTAAGCGAGATATAGCCTATCTCTAGCTTAGAGACGGGGCGGCATGTCGATTTGCTCGAGCTCGAGCCCGCGCCCATTTGATCCGGAGAGCCGATTAAACCAGCAGAGGGCATCGACATCGGATTGGGAGGATGGCGAGTAGTTGAAACACTCACCTCTATTTCTTTACTGTACACTCATGGCCACGAGTTCATAAGACTCCTCTCCAGCGCTACAGATGGTCTGTCTTTGTGCGCACATTCCCTACATACCGTTTCGCTCTTCGCGCTTACCAGATCTCGTCCAAGCTCTCTTCTGGACGTTGGTGACCTGTGGCATCCGGCATCTTGAAAACTCCGACTGAAATCGCGTTCGGAGTCTGCCCTCCGATCTTGTCCAGTTACCCCTATCTGTGCTCGAGCAATGGAGGAGGTCCAATCGTTCCTGGATCGATTCACTATTGCGGAATTGCTGGCTGAAGTGCGCTCTCGTGTAGAGGTACAGGCGCATCCCAGAGACGACTCAGATGCGTACAAACAACCAGATCCAGAATGGAGGTGAGTCTCGGTCAACGAAGAGCTTGTATACGAGATGTCTTAACGACATCCATAGGACGATGAAACCAGACGAAGTGAGGATTCTATACACCGTGTGGGGTAACAGATCTGATAACAGTTAGATTCTCCATCGCGAGCGCGAGATGCGCCATATCGCAGCGCTCCTGCGCACACGCTACAACTCGACCAGACCGATCAACCTCCTCCCTCCCGAGATCCTCGCCACAATCTTCAGATTCGTGCAGGATTTCGAATCACTACACGATGCGTTCCCTATCCGCCCTGATGAACGATGCTGGCACAACGCGTGGCTGCCCATCACGCATGTTTGCCAGCACTGGCGGACGATTGCGTCGATGTTTCCCGAGCTGTGGACGTACCTGTTCACTAGCTCGAGGACTCGAGGCCAGGACGCCTACGCTTCCCATTTCCTGGATCGGTCAGGAACGATGCCGCTACATATCTTCTTCTCCTTCAACTCCTCAGCGTACTCCTATGCAACGATGAGGGTATCTGAGGACTGCGCCATACTCCCCCGACTAGCTCAATACGGCGATCGAATCGAGACACTCCAGCTTCAAGAAACCAAGCACTTACGAACGGAAATATGGGATTACCTCCGATTCGAAGCACCAAAGCTGCGATCGCTCTTCCTCGATCCTATACTGTGGAACTTCCAAGACGCTGCCCGACCGCTTCCTCTTCTTTTCAAAGGGCACACACCTTCCCTTGAGCGGTTATACCTTAACCATGTCGGGACGTGGACGAACGAGTTTCGTAACCTCACCCATCTGTGCCTTAGCAACCAACAAGACCTTGATCGACCCCTCCTATCCCAGTTCCTCTCCTTCCTTTCGCGTTCTCCGGGGTTGGAGGTGCTGAAACTGATCAACGCTCTTCCGACTCGAGTATCAGAATCCCGTTCCGAATCCCCATCGTCGTCGTCGTCGCTGATGCGCATCTCCCTCCCCCATCTTCGCATTCTCGAAGTTGGAGCCTTCGATCCGCGTCTTGACGGCGCCGATACCTTCGTGGACCGCCTCATCCTCCCACTTGACTGCCTGAGGGTGATATGGGCCGACCAACTCTTCACAGCCGAGGGGAGCGTGCTCAAGTTCGTCGATACCTCCTCATCCTCCCCAATCACGACAGCCGCCATTCGCACGAACGGGGGCGCCGATATGCTTATTTCGCGTCGAAGGGGAGAGGGGTCCGAATCCGAGTGGCTTGCAGTGGAGACGCCGTTCAACCCTTCGACGTATGTACACCTCCTGCGCCCCGTTCTGTCTGGCGTGACTACACTCTATCTATACACCATGCCCCGCAACGCGGCAGTGTGGAGTACGATTCTTGGTGGGTTTCCCGCGCTCGTTAGCCTGCATATCACGAATCGGTGTAATTACCATCCGCTCATTTTGTTACTCAAGTCGAAGACCGCGGCGCCGAGAGTGGAGGATGGGCAGATGGTTGAAGTTGTACCACTGTTGGAGATTTTGTATGCTCAGCCGCTGATTGGGACTGCGAGGTTGACGGCGGTGGAGAGGAGGGAGTATGAGTTGTTGGAGAAGGAGGAGGACCCTGTGATTTTGAGGCCTGCGCCTTGCAAACCTTGTCGTATCAGGTTTGTTGAGCCGGATTCTGGTACTTCGACGTACCCCAAGGAGATGATGTATAAGAAAACCGAAGTACAGCGCTGGTAGAATTGTGCATAGAAGGAAATAATGCTTGCCCTTTTCGAACGTGATTCAGGGAGTGATAGAGTGGATACAAGGTCCGGACTTGGTGTATGATGATGGCTTGGAGCTCTCTCGTCGTGACTCGTGGATGTGGGGTCATCATCAAGCCCATCATCACGCGTTGAATGTTGAACCCATCGCCATCGCCCCTTGTTCTCTTCCCCTTTTCCTTTCTCCCTGCTCAAGACGAGTTGGGCGTCGAGTGCCCATTCAACTGCCCTCCACCCACTGGCCTGCGACACGTCGCGTCCTGAATCCGACCATTTCCGAACCTACCTCCTCGACCTCCGCTCTGCAGTTTGGAACTCCTATCACGCTGGCAGCAAGACTCCTCACGCGATTGGAAATTCGATTCTACGACTAGACGCGCACGACGAGATAGGTCATGCTAGACCTTCGATTTTGGAATCTGGCTCTGCTCTTCGTCTTCGTTCTCCGTTGGGGCGTTTCTCCGGGCTTTGCTTCCCCTCTCGACTCAGGGGCTAGTGTCGAATCTCGTGGGAGGGACTTGTCTCGACGGAAGGAACTACGACGAGAGAAAGAACTACGACAAACCACGGAAGAACCGAAACCGTGTTTCTTCTCGTGTCCACCGACTGACGCGCGTGGTCTGCCCCTCGTACGGAGAGCGGGGGCTGTGGGACCTGCGAGCTGGTACGACGTGGTTGAGTGTGTGTGAGTACTTGGTTTTGCTGGGTTGTCTTTATGACTTTATGGGATTGTACTTTCCGTGTTCACTGGTTTTATACTTTGGACTTCATTGATTTATGCTTTTCGTTTTTCGTGACTTCACTTTCGTTTTGGTGATTTACTGTATACCTTCGTTTCGGCGATTTTTACTGAAATTTTCGTTGTTTTGATCTAGGTACGCACCGAAGCATTGGTACGATTCGGGACATACGTGCGTCTTTGATAAGGTACGTGCAAGCCCATTGCCAATCACGTTCCGATTCTTCTCTCCCCGTTTCTGTCACCAGGCTCTCACTTTTCTACTGATGATTCTATCTGCCTTGCCGAGTTGGCCTTGACTGACGGAAACTTTCTTTTACTCCTTTCCGCACTTATCTAACAGAGGAACGGCACCCCACGAATGGGATACGTAGGCGATGGGTGTCCTCCGCGGGGTGTACCCTGCTCAACATCCGACTCCTCCTCGACGTCGCCTTCTTCGATGTACTCAAGCCACGATAGGGACGGTGGAGAGCTTGGGGTTGACAGGCCGTCGAAGTTGGACGCGGCGAGGACGTTTTATGAGAGGACTAGGGATGGATCGGAGGGCTAGGGAAGGTTTAGAGGGTTAGGAAGGGTTTTGTATCTCTCCTAAGTACGGTTTTTTCTCTCCTTATTATGTACGATTTACTCTTCCTAAGAACGGTTCAGTGAATGACGCATCCTGTCATGTCGAAGGACCAGGAAGTCAATGTATCGCTGACAGTTATGGTGTAGACAGAGAACGCGTTGTTTAACGAGCGCTTAAACAGGTCGTCGACATGTTAAGGGGGCCTGGAATCGGTGGCTGTGCTCTGATTCAGACACAGACTGTCAGACTAATAGCGTCTCAGCTACGGTCCACCCCTGTTTGTCATTGTCAACCACCATGTCGAATCTCCCTCCCTCCCTTCCCGTATCCATTCAAAACTCGGACGCCGCGCAAAAGGCTTATAATGTTATTCTGGAACTCGAGAGGAGGTTGTTGCATCCTAGTCAGCACAACGAGGTTGGTAAACAGACAAACGTTTTGGACGAGGAACTTGGAAGTTAACGCTAGAGGCGGCCGAAGACGCACACAGACCTCGGTGAACAAAGGAACTTGGTGCTATGTCGGATCCTTGGGTACCTCTTACACCACGCGCCTACGGAGCAAGCTAGAGCGTCCGTTGTGGATGGTATTATCGCGTGTGATGGTGATGATGAAAGAGTGTTAGAATTTGGGGAGGTGTTTCTGGATTTTATTCGAGTTTGTGAGCTTTCACGCAGTCGATAAAATAAAGCGTTTGGAACTGACGATGTCACCAATATGTAGTGCATTCGAAGAAAGGCGAAATGAGGACACCTCCCGAGTTCCCGGACGACCGTAGATATGATCTTCGAGTCGAGAGGGTGGAATGTTTGAACGATCTGCCGAAGGACGATTGGACAGTCAAGAAATACGTGAGTATTGTTCATTTGAACGCGAGCCTTGAACTTACTACTTTGAACTTCCTCTGAACCCTCGTGCAGGCTTTGAAGCGGGATGGATACCGCTGCATGCTCACGGGCGCCTTTGATGCAACGGCGTGCGAGCAATTACCAGAGATCCTCGCCAAACTCACGGAGAATCCAAAGAATACCTATACCGAGACAGAGTGCTGGTATATCTTGCCGGACGCCATGAACCGCGGAGTCGACGACGATCACGACGCAGACAACTTGAAGGTGATTTTATGCTTTGTCCGATTCAGATTGAATTCACAGCTCAGATTTTTCCTCTTATATTAGGGACCGTGGGGTTCGACCGTTTGGAGGTTGCCCCAGCGGTTTGGGTATAACCATATATTGAATGAATTGAACGACTCCAATATTAACCGACTAGATAATGTGTTGACGTTGGCGCCAGAGGTACGCATTGCATTCGATAATCTCAAGATATGGTTGGTCCCTTCGGTGAGCACCGCTCGATCCAATCCCTGCCTCTCCTTCTCATCTCTAATCCCTAGGACGACCCTGAACCGAACACTTACAAAGTCGAGGCATCCCATCCCCTCCGCCTCAGGAAATTCCCGAAAGTCATCCGATTCCAGTCTAGCGATCCTGAAAACCTCCCCCTTCCCGACCCTCGATTCCTGGAGATCCATGCGTTGTGTGCGAAGGTGGCTCATTTCTCGGGTGCCACTTCGTATTTGGATAGACTTCTGAGGGATTATGAGGACAGTACGGTACTTGCGGACGACGGGTCGCACGCTGAACTGCTCAAGCAGCTCCTCATGCAGGCTATCCCTCGCGCGACGCGAGATCGAGAGTAGTTAGACTCATGCCTAAGTAGCGCATATGTACCGTTCACACTTTGAACTTTCCATGCGCGAACGACGGAACATAAACAAGGACCCCTAGATTAAAAGGCAATGATAACGTCAGTAAGTCACTGAAACGATGGTATAAACGAAAGGAAAATGACCGAAAAAGAACCATAATCCAGTAGCAAAGCTAACCAGCTCGCAGGTCCCACAGCCCCCGCTCTCCGTACGAGGGGGAGACCACGCGCGTCTGTCGGTGGACACGAGAAGAAGCATGGTTTCGGTTCTCCAGGCGTTTTAAAGGTCTAGCATGATCTCCATTGCTCAAACCGTGACGCTGGTAGGGGTAACCAGTGGGCAAGATCGGAAAGCAGACTCCGAACGCTTTTCAGTCGGAGTTTTCACGATGCCGGATGCCAAGGTCACCGACGTCCAGAGTGGTTGACCACTGCCGTACCATGTCCGCCGAGGTGACTGGTCCCGTATTCACCAAACTCCTCAGTCTCGGTCTCCAACGTTCCTCTGTCGCTCTCATGGAGGTGTCACAACGGACCCTTTGTATTTCCAGTAAATCCCAGTCGACAACCTGCTCGAGATTCCTACGGGCGTCTATTTCGCTACCCGAGGTGCTTCTCCATTCCCACGATCAGGCTGTCATTCTGCCTCGAGGTTGTTGTGCAGGGACGCAACGCTTCTCACCCTGTTCACCACCGCGTCTCTTTCCCTGGGATTGGTCGCTTTGATATCCTCTCAACGTCTTTACAAACGGTTCGGCGACGAACGCGAGGATGGTTGAAGGTCTACAGTCCGGGAGGGTTTACAAGATCTCGAATAAACGCTTCGGCGGTGCAATCGAGTTGGAAGTTGGGGTCACGAATGATACCAGTGAGGCCTTCCTCTAGGTTTTCAGTGTATCGCAGCGTCTTACCCCCAATCTCTGTAGCGCTCAATGACTTCACTGGCTTAGCGTCTCAGCACGTGGGTATCTCACCACCCACAACTACAGTATTAGCGAACCCCGTCGCTTACCAGAGTCCAGTGGAGGGTCACCATCACCAACGGACTCTGTTCCTTCTTCAACGTCGCAAGTGAGCGATATCTGGGCTTGAAGCAATCAAGGAGCACTGCAGCACTCAGCGATGGCGTCCAACTCGTTGGTACGGCGGATGAATTCCTCTGGGAAGTCACCCGGACAGGGACGGTCTATCGGTGAGTCCTGGCACAGTATTCATTCAATGGTTCATTAAGCAGATATCTCGACCCTTTCGTATGCTTAGGCTATCCGTTCCATACACCAACTACGTACTGGACGCCGACACGTACGGGACTCTTCCTGGAATCAAGCTCCAGCTGTACCAGAGGTGGACAGACTAGAGCAATCAGCAGTGGACGATAGACACTGGTACGCCCATCGTGATTCGTCGGCGCGAGGGTATCGCTCTCAAGGTTGACTTCTTTCTGCCTAAGACATCTTCCCTCGTATTCCCTGCCTCGAAAACCGCAAGTACAAGATCGTTAATGGTCAAAGTGGAACCGTGATGCACCTCTAAGATACCATGAATGGTACGTCCTCGGCATACTGTACTTCGAGACCACTGTCGAGTGACGCTGATTGGACATGCTCATCGTAGTGTCTGGCTTCCGGTACAACGAAGGAAGGAACCAACTGGTGCGCGCATCCTCAAGTCAACTTATCCATCCCGCATTGGCTGATGATTTCAAAAATTCAGTGGGAACCTGTACGAGTCGACGGCCTCTATCGATGGATGTTCAGAAACAGCCGGAATGGACAGTACCTCGGAATCAAGCGTGGCGACGCAGCGAGGGGAACTCGCGTCGTCACAGTCACCGAACCCTTCGTCTGGATAGTTATTCCAGACTTGACCGAGCGCGACGCATTCAAGTACGTGTCCCTTCACAACTTGACCATCCCTTCAGTCTCTTCAACCGGTGCCGCAACGCGATGGCTGACTAGTTGCAACACGTTACACCTCCCATTGCCACTACTAGACTATTCGTCCCATTCACAGGTCTCAACGCCGAGCTATACCTGAGTAGGTCAGATCCTGGGACCGTTATCGACCTGAGAGCTCGGTCTGCAGGGAAATATTGGAAATTCGAACCAGGTAATCCTGTCAAACCCCCTATTTGGGTGTGGATTCTGGCAATTATGATCCTTGTTCTAACGAATACGGTTTCGTAGTCGAATCGACTCCGGATCCACTCGCTCCTCATGTTTGCCTTCCCGCCAGTCCGGGACCTCCCCTGTGAAGGTACTACATGACGGGGTACTTTGGGAAATATTGGGTGAAAGGGAGCATCCGAACTTGACCCAAAAGACGTCCTCTACTACTTATCTGTGTATTATTAGCCCATACACATAAATAACATGGTCCATGTCACGAACCCTTGACAAGCTCAAATAGCCGCACCCACCACGGCCCAGATAATCATCGAATCGGAAGCTCGACCAAAAGTCCACGCATACAAAGTAGCCCTTAGTTCCATTTACACTACAATTACATCGACAAGAAACAACGGCATCTTCTACAAACACCAAGCTAGTAATCGTACTTGAAGCACCAAGGGTACGATTCAGTGTTCATGACATCGCGAATCGCAATAGGTTCTTGAAGAGTCGTGAATGGCATCATGAAATGCAAAGTGGTGTTCGTGAAGGGAGGCCAGGCAGTGGTGTATCCACCGATATCAGTTAGGCGGGCTGGGTCAGCGCTCTGCCACTTTGCCCAGACACGATCGAGGTTCCCGTGGTGCAGGTAGAACAGAGGGCTTATAATCCAAAAGATAATGTCAATCCCACGTAGAAATTTCGGTCAGAACGAACACGTACCACCAGGAGCGGACCACCCGTCGATCATCATACCACCAACAACTCCATGTCCAGCAATATATGGATACCCGAGCTGACAGCGAGAGGCGCAGCGCTGACCTCGATGAACATCCTAAACGCCTCAAAGTTTGGTTGGGCGAGCGTAGCGGCGAGAGCGGTGCTGTTCAAGTTGGCTGGACGTCTTCGTAGATCCCACGAACGAGGCACCTGTCCATGACCATAGTGCGGGGACCAAGACGGACGACATGGTCTTTGAAAGGATCAGTTTGGACGCAGCCTGTGGGAGCGGTAGGTCCGAAGGTTGTGCCTGGGAAGGGCTGGCCTACGGGGAAGGGGACGTCCTCTGGCCAGTCGGCGCCTGGGAAGGGAGGGAGGTGTAAGGCCGGAGGCTTACAGCGCGGTCCCACACGCTCATATACCCGACGGTGGCTGAAGAGGTTAACTCTTCAGTCATGCTACCGTTTGGTGTAGCGGCAAGTGCGTCGGCTTGTCGTCTTACAGGAGGGGTCCTGGAGGAGTGTACGTTCCTGGAACACCGTTGCCTCCGAAGCCGTGAACGTTGTCAAAGACGGGGGAATCGGCGAATCTAGGATTGTAGCGAGGTTAGGGAAGAATGACATTTTAAAACGACTTCAGACTTACGGGACGGAGGCGTCAGCATCACGAGTCCAGTCCCAGAACCTATGGTGAGCGGTTAGAGTAAACATTGTACATAGGAAAGATGGAACTTACGTTCCAGGACCCTTGTAACCGCACTCTTCCTTCAAAGCCTTGTTATACAAAGTCACAAAGTGACGATGCCATGGCAAGAATTGACCCTACCAGTAAAGAGTGAGTAAACGAACCATCAGAGTATTTCTCTCAGCGGCGTACGACAGGGTGAATATGGTGAGCCAAGTCGAAATGTGTGGCTTGGAATTCGTCATATCGCGTAACAATGGTGCCTGGTTGAAGAGTCGTGGATTAACTGCAACGAGCGCGGACACCTCCCCACAGTGCTTCGTTAATGTTTGTATTTACTTGGTCACCTCGGGGGCGTTAGCGTCTACCTCCCCGATGGTACCTTATTTGTACCAAACGGGCTGAAGCATGGAATGGTTTGGGGGAGAAAAAAAATGACTCCATGGTACTCCCTTTATACCACGTCTTCCCAAGGAATGCTATTACGGTAAGTCAAGCCAGACGTTGTCGGGTCTTCCGACAAAACGTTTGTTTATCTGGGCGCGTAGCTCGACGCCAAGACTCAGACTGATGTAGGCGATGGTAAGTCGTCTCTTTGCTCACCCTATTTATACGCCTCCGATACTCGACATAAACATTGTACGGGCAGCGTCCATCATGACATTGACTGGAGCACATAACAGGACAAGACGATGATACCGATTTACATCGTCTTCCTGCAGAACTGGGCGAAATGCCGAGTAACAACTCATCACTACGTTATCTTTTCTATAGGAATCGCGGATGGTCCGTGAGCACCGCTGAGCCCTTGGCTTTCAATCCGACGCGAGAGGAGGGATCATAACTGACCATACAAACTTGTGATGGTCCGAGCGCTTTGATCTACTTGTATACTCGTATTTGTTACAGGCGGTATTGGCGACCTTGAAGCGTAATTACTTTGTCTCCGCATGACTTGCTCCACCAGGATCCCTGGGACCCAAAATCAAAGTATCCCCGAAAGGACGTTCTGCAGTGCCAACTGAATGGTACCAATCATGTTGAATCAGCTTCCGATTTGGCCTGGTATTATCTGATAACTAACTCACCATGCTCAAACTTCCAGTGTTGATGAGAGTCTGCACGCCGGTAGAGGTGGATGACAGTGCCAGGCGCCGAGTCGTGCTGGCTCAAATCGAGAACCAATGTCGTATACGGGACAAGGATCCTTACTGCGTCCCCAATGATAGAGTCTGGAGCGATATACCAAAAGAATGGAGTGGGGGAGCCGACGACTCTAGTCCTCTCTTTGGCCACCTCCGAATCTGAGTCAATGCCCAGGTAGAGACCGTTGAACACGTTCTTGAAGGCCCATAAATAGGTCTCGTTCTCGAAAGGAACGGCTTCCCACTGTGAGCACTCGGAATAAGAGTTAGAGAGGGAAAAGGGGTACGACTCGTTGACAACGTACCAGTTGATTTCGCCCTTCATTATATCGAAACCCAGAAACTAATTTCCACGGAGGTTAGCCCAATATTATCTCACATGACAGGAGCCATTCCATCTGGAGATATCACCTTTTCCTGTATCATCTTCCAGATGAGCAACGCTACTACCGTTGGAGCTAGAGATTTTATAGGTGCATCCAACCACACAGGGCGGCTGGGGAGTCACATCTACGGTTTCGACACATTAAAGTGCGAAAATGCAGTAGAAGTGAGGTACTCACTATCGTCGAGATACCACATCTGGTTCCCCGAGAACCAGTTCTCATAGACGTAGACCGTATTGTATGGGAACACACCACCTATATCATGTGGAGACGATGCATCAAGAACATACGCCGTATTTGGGACGATAAACCTGACCGCATCGCGTCAGATTTGATCATAACGGAAGATGAGTCGAGTGAACGACAGTATCGGACACGCACTGAAGGCACTGTCTCCCCTCAAACTCGATGCGATTCACTTTCCATAGGAACTCGGTTGGAGTATCCGTGGTCAGAGCACAGTTTTTGGCGATCTTCCCGAGGTCGAGTCCCAGATTGTTTCCAGTAGCGACGCTTCTAAACTTCCACAGTCCCCCTAGGCCGCGACGAGCTTCCCACTAGAATTGATGAATGAGCACCTGGTCAACATGGAATTAGTACCATACATCACCTGCTGGTACGCAGATCCGGTGAAATCGTTAAGAACTGAGGTCAGAAAAGTAAGTTCTTTTCACAGTTAATTTCAATGATCAAAGGCGCGATACCTGTGCCATGGCCTTGACGGTCGAGTTCTAGTGTCGCAGAAAAGTGTACGTTAACGAAGCGATAGATAGACCCTTCCACTATGTCCAAAGTCATGCTAGGTGAGGCGATATCAGATGGAGAATGAGGAAGAGATGGGAGAATGAAACGAGGTCATCGATGTCACCTCGAGGCCCTTACGTAGCGATCTTATCGTGCCCTCGAGATCATGGGCGCTTAGGGCCCCATCATTGGAAGATCACTTTGTACCGATTTGTACGTGTTTGGAATAGAGGCCTTTGGGCCCGCTGCTGCCAAGGTGAACTCCCGTCAGGTCCTGCGCCGTTAGCTCCAGCGTTCTGGTAAGTCGACTAAAAGCCGGGCCTTGTGCCCTGTAGCCCCTTCCAAAGCCATGAAACTAGACGAAGTCCTTGAAACCCGTGCCACCGGCACGCTCGTCCTACTGACAGTAAACTGCCCAATCCCACGAAGGAGTTCCCGATCGCCCAAGTTTTCATAATTTATTTCTAGTCCTCCACCCACAAAGAGATTGTATTACATGTTCTGAAGTTGTACGATCATATTATTATTCCCCGCCGCCGGATGTGCACCTGGGTCATGACACTGATCAGTCCAGCGATCATAGACATGGCGCAGATTTACTAACCTTCTCTGTGCATCGCGCCTAGTGGCGTGTTGTGCAGTACGCAGTTATCAAGGACCTGTCGTCCGCCCAAGGCAACATCCCGACTGCATTGAAGATGAATGAATGACCACATAAGATAGTGACCGAGAGACGCACCATGACGACTGGGATTGTGTTCCATCAACAGTGTTCCCATACCATGCGACTTCATTCCCATTCCCCGTAGTGTGGCAGAACCTCGTCCTTGTCCACATTGGGACGACGCAGGCGGTGTTTCCGAGAGCGTAGAGATAGTTGTAGCAGTATTGTGACTTCGATAGGGAGATGAAGGCGCTTCCGCACCAGTTGTTGACTTGTCTAGGATCCTTTTCCTTGGACTCGAATAGAGGGTCGACTGAGGGATGGATACTGTCAGCGATTGCATTAAGTAGAGTTTAGACGAGAAGGTCGCACCACGCCCGTATCGCGCCATCATGAATTCCTGGGGCGGCTTGCACAAATCTGCTGAAGTAAGATTGAGAGATGCAAGACTCGGGAGGCCAGGCCCAGGAACAATCTCCGGGCATTCCTCCACGAAATTCTTCGCCCTCTGGGGGAGAGCGAGCGATAGGGTAAGCGCGAGGGCCAGGTAGAAGAGAGTTCGCATCATATCCGCCGACGAGACCTGCTGGGCGCAAGTTCTTCGATAAAAGTGCCTGGAGATCCCTCGGTCTTTAATACTGCACGACGTCCAAGAAGTTGATGAAATTTGTCAGCTCATTTCTGTCAGAGTATCAGGGAGGAGGAGCATAACAAACCGGCGGAATGCCCACGGATTACGTTCCCGAAAGGACCGTCATAGAAACAGATTACATATTGACCATGTGGTCTCTAAAAGAAACGGTTACCCTACCCATCAGGTGCGTTTTTCATACACACCGATGCAAAGTTTGGGAATGTGGGCGCTTAGATAAATCACCGAAGCATCTCCGTAAAGTCCGGTCACTGCTGGGAATCGCTGCGTATCAGAAGGTAGCTCTCCGCATGAGAAGATATTGGGAATGCTGTTAAAAACCTTGGAAATGTTGGCGGGTGGAATCTAAGTCGCCTTTCAGCGCATCGTTGTGCGTTGGACGTCCGGCTGGGGAGACTCACCAGTGCGGCAATACTCCGGACCAGGGTGAGTCCTACAACTGTCTCTTGGGCCCCGGTGGGCTCTGGTGGAGAATTTCAGCTCGCACCCTGCGCAATGACGGTTCCAGATACCGTCCACTACCGGAAGCATAACAGCTCAAAAAGGGCATGCACCTTTCCTGAATGATTTACACATGATCCCCTATTGTTCGGCGAAACGTCAATCAATCTGTTGGGCCTGAAGTAAATTCCGTAAGACGGCCGCCCTTCATTTATGTTGAGAATGATACAATCGAACGTTGAAGACGTGTCCACGTATTGGTTTCTCTCAGGTGGTTGGGCGCCATTGGCAGTACTAGTAGAGCACCCGCGACACAATCAACTATTGAAGGAAGAGATAGGAATCGCACTATCGCCATGACATGTACAATTTAAGAGGTAGTTCGGCTCGTTCGCCCGGGGTCACACCATCTCCTAACAGCACTCAAAGCCCGAGCATTCAGTGAGGATCGGCGGGGCCCAAAGCAAATGAGGTCTTGGGATGACTGTCGTCACTACTCCCCACTATAGGACGGTTAGTTTCACTCGCTCGGGGACGAAGGAAACAACTCACCTTTCTGGAACCTCCAATACTTCTTCGCAGCCCGTTTGTACAGATGGATGACGGTACCAGGAGAAGAATTACCCATGTGTAAATCCACGTTCATTTTCGTGTAAGGAACGAACATCCTGAAGGCCCCAGTGATCATGGAATCCGGTGCGATGTACCAGACGAATGGGGTAGGAGACCCAATGATTCTCGTTCCCTCTTTAGCGGTTCCGGAAATAGAGAGGTAGTGACCATTCGAGACGTTTTTGAAGGACCACATATATTTCTCGTTCTCGTACGCAGTGGCTTCCCACTGGGAGTCGTATGAGGCGCTTTAGCGAGAAGGATGTGAGGTTAGCACGTACCAACTGGTTCCGGCCTTCATTGTAACGATATCCGGATACTACTCAAACGGTGAGTTCCCTTCCAGTCAGCGCGTCTGAGAGACTTACCGTTTCCTGTATCATCTTCCAGGTGGACGACGCTACTTCCGTTCGAGCTGAGGATCTTATAAATGGATCCAGAGACGCAGGGCGGGCCCTGATCTACCTCTGTACATACAATGGGTCAAACTCGGCGATTCCCCCCTTGACTTTAGTAGTGATAACTGACTTGCATCAAGAAACCAGGTCTGGTTTGGACCCTTCCAATATTCCCATACCTGGACGTTATTGAATGGGAATGCTGCCTCAGCGCGCTGTGGGTAAGAACCTTCTAGCGCATAGATAGTATTTGGAACGAGGAGGCTAGTCATCAATCGATATTAATACCGGGCGTTCGCTCAGGATAACATGCTTACTGAAGACATTGTCGACCTTCTGCATTAACCTGTCTCACTTCCCAGAGGAATTCAGCTGCGGTACCGATGGTAAGGGTGCCATTCTCTGCAATCCTTCCCACATCAAATCCCAGATTAAGGCCCGTTGCAACGTTTCGGAACTTCCAATATCCTGCTATTCCACGACGAGCCTCCCACTAGAGGAAAGGATGAGAACGCCACCATTCTGTGGACGATAACAGGCGAGTACCTGTTGATAACCAGTTCCCGTAAAGTCATTCAACACTACGGTAAAATCAGTGCGTCTGATCAGGTGATTATTCCAAGTCCAGTACCTGTCCGTTGGCCTCGAGGGTCCAATTCGAGAGTCGCAGCGAACTGGATGTTGACGAAGCGGTAGATAGTTCCCTCTGTAATGGGGACCGGCATGGCGAGTGGATGAAGGGCAGATCTGATAAGGGATACAGTAAAACTTGCCATCGATAGCGCCGATACACCTCAACGTGGGCTTACGTAGTACTAGTCACGGTACGCGCGGTGGTGAGCACAGCATGGGCGCTTATCACGATCATTTTGTGCGCGGCTGATGGAACCAACGGACAAGAGCAAGTGACGCTTTGCTCATGTATCATAAGTTACACCTCGGCTAGAAACAACCCACGACAACCTTCCGGTCGACTCGACTTTTCCATCAAACACTGCGTCCCGACCTACCTCAGAGCTCGGTCGACAGGCGGCGAAGCGGGGAAGAATGAGAATAACGACATAACCTGGTGGTTGGAGGGCTTAGAGGATAAAGGGATAGACATATAACAGGTATCATTCTCTTATATCGATGCGCATTCTTGAAGTACATCGAGGGCTAAGCGAATCAATATACATGGGAAAGACCGTACACGGGGATTTCAAAATCTTGAGGAAAGGAGAAGCAAAAATTACAGCGACGCATATATATACACAATACTGTCTCGGGTCCCATTTCACATGTTGCGGATCGTGACGAGGAGGTTCTCATTTCCCCAAGCAGCATTGGAGCCTGCACACGAAGTGACAAGCCGTCAGACACACCAACCGCACCAAAAGCACTTCACTCACCTCCATAATGCCAATCCGGGACCCAAGGATTCAGCAATTTGCAGTTATTCAGCGCCCATACTACACCTTCAGCGACATCAGCACTGTCAACGGGAACCGAAAGTTAGAGCAAGGTCGCGGGTGAGATTTTCTTCACTCAGTCAGAGTCCGTCGAGTACAGTATGAACAGCTCACCAGCTCGATTGGGCGTAGGACACGCCATTCACCGCCCCATGCCAGGCGACGTTGTAACCAAACGAATCTACAGAATGACAAAAACCTCGATCCTCCGGATGGAACAGCGCAGGTTGTACCTCCAATTGCGTGGAGGTACTCATAGCAGAACCAGGCCTTGCTTAGGCTTATTTTATCCTGGTTGCAAGAGGGGGTGTACCGCTTCATGAGAGAGCCCGACTCCCCACTAACCTCTGTTAGATTGAAGTGGTTGAAGTGTATGCAGAAAGGTCAAGGTATGATCAGGACCAAGTCCAGTCTCTGGTTGAAAGATTACAATAACTCACCTTCTGCATCTTTACTTCGCTCGAGTCTCTCGAGTGCGCGAACGACGAGATCGCGAGAGGTGAGATTCAGAGACTCAAGAGATGGTAGGCCTGGGCCAGGCACGATTCTAAGCTCTCCGGTCTCAGCAGCTCGGATGAGCTCTTCAGCGGGTGGGCGCAGCCGGGAGTGCAGGATTCGTCAACCCAGTATCAGTTTACTGTGGCAAAGCTATGGCACATCGAATCGCACTCAAGGCAATAGCGAGGAGCGGAGCGCGTACGGAGGAGAGACATCAGCAAAACATAGATATGATTGCCAGACATTTTAGCCACCTTATATTGTCCGTAATTTCTTATCAACTCGCGGTATCTTGCTGAGCTTGTAAGAAAAAGTGAGGAGGTGACACTATCTTTCGCAGCTTGTAAGATTATCTACGACCTTGCAAGATTGCTCGGAACCTTGCAAGGTTACTCGATCATTACAAGATTCACCTGTGCCTTGCAAGATTATCCAAACCTTTGCAAGGATCACGACCTAAAATCGACCTATTGAAGCAAATCAGACAGTATTAAACAGAGAAATCTATAGCGCTGGACCATGACCACAAAACGCGACAGGTTCTACAAGTCCTCGAAAGGCCATTTCCAGGATAGCACAATTTCGACGAATCGGCGAGGAGGGATTGAGTGAGCTCAGGTGGGAAAGAAACAGGTTCACTATCGCCTTGAGAGTTGCATTCAGTTTTTCGACGTATTCTAGCTCTTTAATGTATAATATCCACAGCGGTGCACCTGGTTGGCATTCGTCGTGTACGGCCCAGACGACCATGACCGAGGTTGCTGGGAGGCATGGAAGCGCGCACGCCGGAATCGGAAACGGCGAGAGATTGCAAGGACTTTGAGAAATCAGAAGGCAGTGGGGAATAATATAAGAAAATCGCCTCACATGGCAAGGTGAGGGAAGTGTAATAGCGACCTTACAAGGTGACGGTATAGATTACAAGCTTTCGACGAACCTTGCAAGGTTTGCCGAAGCTTGCCGGATATTTTGGTGCTTCCGATCAAAACCCCTTTCCTTGCAACGATACCTCACTCTTGTCATCACCGTAAGCTCTTGGAATCATATCTATGTTTTGCTGATGGAAGAGCGACCATTGTGTTGGTTGTTGGATGTCCATTGTCAGTGCCTACTCTGGAATTTATAGCACCTGGCAAAGGTTGTAGGCAATGATGCCTGTGCCAAAGTGCACTAGTGCAGTACGTCTGGCCCCAAAGGTAGTCGCCGTGAAATTAACTGTGGGTGTCTGCAGTCCATCGGTCCCTTGGCGGTGGCACTTCCCTGAGAGCCTCCGTGCACGTCGGTCGGAAGGATAGATGCGTCATGGGCGCACAAAGAGTCGCTAGACAGGATATTGATTCCCTCAGGGCCTCCTTAACCTGGTACCTCATCACCCATCTCACCGATCCGCGCGAAACCACAAGCTTCAACCCAGCACCCGGTGCGGGTGCGTCCGCCATACGGCCCATACCCTCTTAGATCATTATTTCTGTGTGCTTATGTCGCCTTCATGCTGAGGCTGGACGATACTCAATCATTTCTCTTAAATTTCTTAGAGCAGCCTGCACCGACTGTGACCGACATAGAGATATGAAGCATGAGGAAAGTTCAAGGGAGACTCTCTGAGCTACGACCTGCTCGTTAATGCATATATGGATCTTCCGCTTGAACACCCAGGTCAACGCCCCGCAATCGTATCCTGCATCTGGTTCCTGGGATTACATTCAATCAAAAACCGTTGTAGGCTTCGCTCATGGTGTGGTGGAATAACGTGAGCGCTAAAGTAGACGCGCCATACTCCGAGTCGCACCTCGTTCTAGATCTAGATCTACTCGGTCCGATACAGCGAATACGATACCGTAAGCGCCGGGGTTGTAGGGCCCAAATGTGGGCGTCTATTGTCCACGCCAAAGACCTGGTGACTAGTTAAAATGATTCTCTGTGTACCTGCCTGACACACTGTGATGCGTCCAGGTGACAAGTGCGGCTCAGAGAACGTTCTCCGCCCATTTTCTAGACGACATGGTCCGGGATTCGGGGACACCATGACGCCTACTCTGTAGACGTCTCGTTTGGACCCTCAAGAGTAAAACCCCAAATACGATATTGTTACTTAACAGTAGGGGAAGATCGTTATCAACCTTGGCGGCCTTACCTACCTATCTATCGTTTTCTTTGCCAACACTCTAGCCCACCAGGAACGGTATACGAAAGATCATGGACCTTGTAGCACCTGGAAAAAGATTGTGGGCAACGATACTGTGCGTGTACTCCTCTGGGGTACTTATGCCGTCCGTCTGGTTTCGTGTAGCCGCTGACGCTGTGGATGCGCTGTGCGGGCCGCGGCTGTGTGCATCCGAAATGCATTGGGAGGTCGCTCATCGACCATCCCGCCAATACGGCTAGCCAAGTTAACCCAGCCCGCTGCACGGTGCAGATGCGCGCGCAATACACCTGATCCTCTTCTGGCATTATTTTCATGTATATATTGATATAGTCTCCGTCGTCTTCATGCTGACGATGGATGAAACTGAAATCGCTTCTCTTTCAAGTAGTACTAGTGGTAGCTAGTAGTAGTAGTAGGAAGTATGTAGCGTACAAATACTCTTCGACTAACATCTACTTTAAGAACTTCCATTGGTACGATGGACGCCAATTGTTTGAACTGGAAAGACATCGGGCAACCAAGCGTTCCAGTCTAAAATCAAGTAAGAATTCGTACTTATTCCCATCGAGCTCGAACAAACTTATACATTGGCACTACTACAGTTATATGTAGTGAACTTAATCGACTACACTACCTCACTCCATCCAGTCCATCCGACATCGAGCGAGCCGATTCCAATCACGGCGGCCGTTCAAAGTCTGCCGATCTCAACGATGAGGTTCTCGTTTCCCCAAGCAGCGTTGGTACCTAGTATATCCACAAATAGAGGGCAAGTCAGTTATAATGCAACGTTGATAGGCGCGCAGCCTGGGCGGTGGAGCCCGAGGGACGACGAAGACTAAGATGTAGTATGGATGTAGGAAAAAAAGAACAAACAAAATCGTCTCCTCACCTGGTACATTCTGGTACCCCGGGGGCACAGGCAGGAAATGACGGCAATTATCCAGCACCCATCGCCCACCATCCGCAACATTCGCACTATACCGTACCCACAACAGAACGAGAGGTTAGAGTTAGAGAGTTTGACTCGAAAATGTATGTAGTCCACGTAGTAGCACACTAGCAGCGCGGACACTACTGGGACTCACCAACTCGACTGCGTGTACGACACACCGTTCACCCAGCCCCACCACGCGACGTCGTAGCCGTTGTTGTGAGTCGAGTGGCAGAACCTGGATCCCGCGGACGGGACTGCACAGGTCGTGCCCCCGATCGCATGAAGGTACTCGAAACAGAACCATGCGCTGTATGGGGACAAGCTACCGCTTGAACTGCATGTCGGTGTATACCGCTTCTCGAGCTGCGAGCCGCCCGACGGGGAATCTAAGTATTATCATATAGTAGCAACTTTGATCAGTTCTTTTGCTCAATGAATATATACAAGGCCAGGTAGCAGGGCCGGAGAGGACAACTCACCTTCAGCAGCAGCAGCAGCTTCAAGTTTAAGCCGCTCCACCCTCTCCAACGCGCGAACGACGAGATCGCGTGAAGTGAGGTTGAGCGATTCGAGGGATGGGAGGCCGGGACCAGGCACGATTCTCAGTTCTCCAGCGTCGGCGGCATGGACGAGATCAAGAAGTTCCACGTTCAGACCAATACTAGAGGCCTCAGGACGTGCGCGTGACCCTGGCAAAGCAGACACTCTGCTAGTAGTTCCAAGTGCGCTCAAGCAACAACGAGGAACGAAACGGCGCGCGTGGCAGGAGACAGAGGGGAAGAAACCACCATATTTGAGTCACAGACTGTAGTTGGTTGGAGTGGTTGTGCTGGTGAGTGTTTATTGCCAGAAGCACCCAGCAGCGGATTGTTCTTATACTGTATAACTGGCACAGAGGCCAGGCTGGATCGATGTAGGCGCATCCCGGTGGGAGAGTACGCACACACATGGAGTCACACAAGATCGTAGCGGCGTATCTAGCCCTGAGAGTAAATTGGGCCAAAAGCTCTAGGCGGATGTCCGATGAGCGCTCGGGTTTGCCCACACATGTACTTACGACCCATCATGTAGGCGACGCCAACGACGATTGCAGGAACCAGAAGCCACGAGGCCTCAGCGGCCGTTCTGAGGAAGAGTTCTCAATTCGGACTTTCCCAATGCAGCGATCCTCCCGAGTCGCAACTCCGGTCCGACACAGGCGAGTCTGCTTCGAGTATAAACGAATTACTTACAGTTTACATACGGTGTGGGCCAGGTGCAGGGTTCAATGTAGGCGTCTTCAAGCTCAGTGACCCGTAACTCTCCACGTCACAGTCAAAGGCAGCAGGCTAGACCCGGCTAAAACATACGTAGTCAAAGTATCCGTCATACTGTATGGAAAGCAAGCAATCCACCCAGAGACAATCCCACTCTTTCGCTCGCCATCCCACTTTCGTTTGGAACTTTGGGACCAACACTCGGGATGCGCGTAGTCAAAGAACCGAAATATAGGAATTTCTCATTAATAGAAAAACTGTGACTGACATACGAAAATACGTACCGCAGGTTGTATCCTCAGAGTCCACCGACATAGACTGGGGCCCTCAGCGATCGAAGTCCGATTGAACAGGTATGTAGACGCTGGACGGGAGATCCAGGCATGGTCCATGGTACGTGCGCTAGGGATATAGGTGCGAGCAGTCTAATGACTCTCAATCTCGCGAGGACGGGCCTGCTTAAGGAGGTGTTCGAGTAGTTCGCCAGACGACCCGTCATCCGCAAGGACCGTGCTGTCTTCAAGGTCCCTCATCACCCTATCAATGTACTGAGTGGCGCCGGAAAGGTGAGCTATCCTTGCCACCGCAGCATGAACCTCAAGGTATCGAGGACTGGGAAGAGGGAGGCTTTCAGGATCGCTCGATTGGAATCGGACGATTTTGGGGTAGTCCTCGATGAATAACGGACGGGTAGCCTCGAGTTTGTAGGTGTTCGGTTCTGCATTTGGATCGTCCTGGAGGTTAGTGAGGAGCCGTAGACGAGGATTTCAGGTTAGTATGGGTCGGAGTGGATCAAGTGGATTGCTCACCGAAGCGACCAACCATATTTTGAGCGACTCGAAGTGAGCGTGCACGGTTGGATCCAATGTCATCACATTCTCCAGTCGGTGGATACTGGAGCCTTTCAGTTCGTCCAGCATACTAGCATACCCAAATTTTTCGAGTGTCATCCAAATGCTCGCACTCCAGTTGCCCTGCCGCGAAGAAAGCAAGTGTCAGCTAGAAATTTAATCCAAGGTGGTATAAATTACCTCGTCTACAGTGTTGTCGGCATCGTGGTTCATGACTTCCGCAAAGATATGGGAGCACCGAGTGGCTGCCCACCGACTTCCGGGCACCCCTCGTTTCTTTGCGAGGATCTCTGGAAACTGTTCGCCAGCATCTCCATCAAAGGCGCCGCTAATCATGCAGCGATATCCGTCACGCTTCAAAGCCTAAATGAACGAATACAGAGTTCAATAAAGGCGAGGCTCATCTTCGAATGGAAGGTACGTACGTATTTCTTGACTGACCAGTGGTCTTTGGGCTGCAAGCTCGAGCCGCTCGCGTCCTCCACTCGGAGATCAGATGCAGCACGATCGAATAGGTCACGGGAAGGTGTTGTCGTTTTGGCTGGGTTTGAGTGAACTATTCGTGCAAATGAATGTGAGCCCTTTCAACCCCCTCCAAGTGACTGAGGTAAAGCTCACAAGCTCGAATAAAGTACAAAAACCCCTCCCCAAACTCTAACACCTCTTCTGCATCACCGTTACACGCGAGGATGCCATCGATGACGGACGCTCTAGCTTCATACGTAGGGGCGTGGTGTAGGAGGTACCCGAGGATCCGACATAGTACCAATTTCCTCCGTTCACGGGGGTCCGCGTTCGTTTTCGGTTGACTCGTACTCGCCCGCCCAAAACCAAACTGGATTTCCTGACTGGGAATCAACAACCGCTTTTCGAGTTCCAGAAGGAGATTATAGGCCCTTTGGGCGTCGTCCAAGTCCTGAATGGGTTTGGGAAGGGAGGGTGGAAGTTTCGACATGGGTGGTGGAATATGATGAACAGGGGGGAGCGGTCCACCGGAGATTTCCGAGTTTTCACCTTGTCTCGCTTACCAACCACGAAGCCGTTGATGCCGGTTTGATGCTACCTGATATCCGCTCCCCTATATGAGCCTCGCCTCGACGCGTTGGCTGCGAGAAATACCTTTAGAATTTGCGTAAAAGAGATACCGGGCAGGAGGGAAGCATGAATTGCATTGCGTAATGTGTATTCTGCAAATGAAACGACTTAGACTCCCTTGCGATGATGATACTGAACCCTTTAAATTCGCAATACCTTCGAGCCCGTAGTGTTCGCTTTTTCGCCAAGGTCTGCCTGTACTCTGTCGGCCCATTCACGGACGTCCGTACTATGTCACTCTCGGAGCAAATTCGGTCCTTATCCACCTACATATATCCACCTCACCTTGGGTTTATACTCCAAAGGCAAGGGCAGCTTCCATGGGTGGCACCCTGTACGGTCGACTCCATGTCAATCGCCAAGTGCATTCTACTCGAACTCGCTCGCCTTCAGTCAATCGACCCAAATATCAACTTCTACATTATATTCGTTGGGACGGACAGGCTTGAGGGTATATCCCCCCATGTGTCCGCACTCAGGACCCACGCGCGCGCAACGCCGACATTCTACAGCTATCGCACAAAATTAGCATCGGGGCAGCCTGAGAGGTCAACGCAATTTTCGAACGGCATCCCGACCTTTACAGAGGCCATACTCGCAGGAAGCTGGAGAATGCGGATGGGGTTGACCACGTAAACCCTAGGTAGTAGGTCTTGGAAATGGGATGTGAGGGTTGGGTCAGTGGACTTACAAGTGCAGTAGTACGAGTCAGGACGCCGGGAGGATGCTGTTACCGTCCTTAAATCAGACCTCGGCGGGAGCAAACGACGACTTAACCAGTGGTTGGAGGGTTTAGAGGGTTAAAGGGAAAGGCATATATGTCATTCTCTTACACTGACATTCAATGTAGACACTTACAATATCGATGCGCATTCTTGAAGTACATCGAGGGCTAAAAGAAGTAATAATATACATGGAAAAGACCATACTTCTGCGATTTCAAAATCGCGAGGAAAGTCGGAAAAGAAGCAACAATCGCAGCGCCACATAAGTATATATACACAATACTACTGATTTGGGTTTTAATTTCACATTGTTGCGGATCGTGACGATGAGGTTCTCATTTCCCCAAGGCAGCATTTGAGCCTGTCCTCAAAATCAAGCCGTCAGGCCAGGCACACCTCCAACCTACACAAAGTGTGTACCCGCACTCACCTCCATAAAATGCCAATGTGGGAACCAAGGGTTCAGGAATTTGCAGTTATTAATATTCAGAACCCATAGTACTCCACCGTCTGCGACATTAGCACTGTCAATGGGTGAAACGAAAAATTACATAAAAAGCAAGGGGCGGGGGCGCGGGGTGAGATTTCGATCTGTCTGTCTGTCCCCGAGTCAGTCGAAAGACAGTATGAACAACTCACCAGTTCGATTGTGCGTAGGACACGCCATTCACCGCCCCATGCCAGGTGACGTTGTGGCCATACGGAGATACAGAATGGCAAAACCTCGATCCTCCGGATGGAACGGCGCAGGTGGTAGTACCCCCAATAGCATGGAGGTAAGTACTCATAACAGAACGCGGCGTGGCTTATGTCAATTGAATCTGCGTTGCAAGAGGGGGTGTACCTCTTCATGAGAGAGCCCGAACCCTCGCTAACCTCTGCTACGTTGAAGCAGTCCAAGTGTATGCAGGGAATGGTCAAGGAATAGTCAGGGATCAACTCCTAATTTCTGGCGAAAACTTGGCAAGGTCGGAAGAAACTCACTTTCAGCTTCTTTAATTCGCTCAAGTCGCTCGAGTGCGCGAACGACGAGATCGCGAGAGGTGAGATTCAGAGACAGACTCAAGAGATGGTAGGCCTGGGCCAGGCACGATTTCGGAGCTCTCCAGTCTCGGCAGCTCGGATGAGCTCTTCACTGGTAGTAGGCGCAGTCGGGAGTGCTGGATTCGTCACTCCGGCGCCAGTTGACTGTGGCAAAGCTACGACGCATCCAACCGCGCTCAAGACAATGGCGAGGAGCGGTGCGTGTACAGAGGAGAGGAGAGGAGAGCGACCATTGTGTTGGGTTGTCGGACGTTCACTGTCAGTGCCTACTCAGGGCTTTATAGCACCTGGAAGTGGTCGTGGGCAGCGATAGCGATATACCTGTCACAGGGTGTACTCGTGCAGTACGTCTGACCGCAGAGTAGTCGCTGTGAAACTAAATGTGGGTATCTGGAGTCCATCGGTCCCTTGGCGGTGGCACTTTCCTGAGAGCCTCCGCACACATCGGTCGGAAGGATGGATGTGCGGGCAGACAAATAGTCGCTACCGGTTATTGTTTCTCTCAGAGGCACCGTAACCTAGTACCGAATCACCCATTCTACCCATACACCGCACGCGTGAACCCACTAGCCTCAACCCAGCACCCGGTAAGTTGGGCTCAAGGGAGAATCTTTGCGCTACGACCTGCTCATAAATGCACTCGTGGACCTTCCGCTTGAATGATGGCACCCAGGTCAAAGCCCCCACAATCGTATCCCAGCACCTAGCTCATGGGATTGCATTCAATCAAAAAACCGTTGTATATAGGCTTCGCTCATGATGTGTGGATCAACACGAGCGCTAAATAGCTAAATAAAACAGACGCTCCAGTGGCATACTCCGAGTCGCACCTCGTTCTAGATCTACTCGGTCCGATACAGCGAATCCGATAATACGGCAAACGCTGAGGGTGTAGGGCCCAAATGTGGGCGTCTATTGTCCACGCCAAAGATCTGGTGATTAGTCAAATGATTCTCTGTTTACCCCTCCTGGCACAGCGTTGCGCCAGGTGACTAGTAGTGCGGCTCAGAGAACGCTCTCCGCCAATGTTCCAGAAGAACTGGCAGGATGAACTTGGCACTGCAGCGTACATCCCATACACCTGTGTATGTATGTATAATGTCACGCCTTCCCATAATTATAATAGAATCCAGGAGGACAGGTGTAAGCGACAGTCGTCCATGGGACCCGTTTGTGTACTGTGTACAGGGCCCCCGTCCCGCATCCGCGGATAACCGATAATCGATAATCTCGAGTCAAGCAGCCAGTGCTACGACATTTCCATAACGTGGTTTCCGCTACTAAGGCAACGAGACGAAACAACTCGCGACACACGTCGGATCGAAGTAAAACGCGATCCAAAAAAAGTTCCATGAGTAGAGAAAACTGTACTGACATATGAAAATACGTACCTCGAATTCAAAGCTCAGGGTAGTTGCAGCCATTCCACAATCGTAGCGAGATCATATTCCACGGACACGGCAATGACGACGACACTGGATCCAATTGTACAACCCGAATCGTTGGTCCGAGGTCGAAGTGACGACCAGTCCTCCCTCCCCCTACTTCCTGGCGAAGGTGATCTGAAAGGAAGGAAGAGGTATAGTCAGAACAGGGTTATGCGAATAGGAAAGCCACAAGAGGGGCACCTTGATCTTGTTCTCGCCATCGATCTTGAAGTTGTGCAGCGCATCTTTGGCAACGCCAGAACTCGCTTCGTCCAAAAACTCGACGAAGGCAATGTCTTTCTTGGTGGGGATGAGACGGACTTCGTAGAGGTTGGGGTACTGCGAGAACAAGGTGGTGAGCTGGTCCTTGGTGACAGACTCGGGGAGGTTCTGGACGAAGAGGATCTTGTTGGGCGGGAGGTACTCGTCGGGCATCTGGATGGCTTGGCGTTTAGCTGCGGGTGCGGCTGCTCCACCGTCGACTGGTAGCGAACGTGTAAGTGAGAGGGAGTAACGGGGCTATTGAAGAGGAGACGAACCGTCAGCTGCGAGGCGTTTAGCTTTGAACTTGGCTTTGACGGGGTTGGTATAGCGCGTCGCTTCTACATTCAGACTAGTCGTGAGATCTATAGACTCATGGGAAACAGGGAAAAAACGCACTCTTATGTTCCTCCCTCCGCGCCTTGTGACTGTCGAAATTCTCTGCATCCTTCTGCTTGACCACCGCATCCGATCGGGTCTTTGCGAACGAGATTTGCTATCGGTCCCTCATCAGTCTGGGGAAAGGGATGACGATGGAGAACGACTCACCATGGGCTTCGAGTACAACGGGAACCTCTGCACCTCCCGCATCGCCTTCTCAGCGATATCAGCCGACTCGAACGAGACAAACGCCTGGCCGCGCATACGCAAGTTGGAGTGGGCGACGACGTCCAGGACTGGTCCGTACGTCTTGAAAAGCCCTCGCAGAGTTGTCTTGAGGACTACATGCATAGACGTCAGTTGTGCTTTTCAGGGTGGATGAATGGCGGCAGGGAACAAGACCTTCGGGCTTGATTTTCTCGTTCAGGTTCTGGATGTAGAGCGTTTCGCATTTGTAGTCCGGAGCTGGAGTTTCAGAGGGTGCACTGACAGCACCAGGAGGGGTCGTGGTGGGAGGAGCTTGAGCGGTTTCTGCAGACATTATGGTCGGTTGGATAAGAACAGGACAAATCAACGCACGCGGCTCGACTGCGCGCTTTGCGCATGTTTGTACTCGAAGGCTTTGGCGTCCTGCCCACCACAGCCGGGATTGTCTACGGCTTTAGGAACAAGCCCACACAAATACATACATACCCTGTGTCCGTCTTTGTTTGAACCCTTGTTTGAACCAAACCATCCGCTCAACCAACGCCAACGAATCACGAAGCGTAGCCGCTGCTAGCTCTGCATACGCCCTCTCTGGTTCTAGACTCTCGACCAATCCCCGCCCAATCCACTGTCAGATAGCACCCCAGATGTATTCAAGAATCAACGCTCGTAACCCCCTTCAACATGCGCCTTGGAACCCCTGCTGCTTCTCTTCCTCGAAACTTCGGAACCGACAACGTACTTCGCAACGCCGGTTAAACCGTTCGTCCCCTTGGTTCCGGGGTCTGAGGGTCGCATCGTAGCGCAATCGCTTCTCAATTGAATCGACAAAGAGACTCTATTGGCCCTCTTGCCATCACCTCTACACGTTTCTAGATTTCGAACTCGTCACCGCATCTTGGTCTGCATGTCCAATCTCAATCGGATAACTCTGCCTATGAAATAGCGCATTTCCGATTGGTTTTAGCGAGGTTTCGAGGCTCGGAGCCGCTTGGGGCGGGTAGACCCTGTGACGTCGTCCTGCCATCCATTGCTTCTCTCTATACACCTAGGGGAGAAAAGGCGCTTCCCTCGTGCACTTGGGAGAGAAACCGTCCAATTGCCCAATCAACGGCGATATATAATGGATAAACCTCGAATCTGGGTTCTTCTGTGGACGCTTGGCTCAAATGCTAGTAAACGATTAGCCGACGCCCTACCCAGTCCTAAAGAATGCAACCTAGGGTCTCTCTTCGATGGATACTGGATAATACTGGCTACCGCGAAGCGCCAGACTCAACTCTCAGAATTACGTCGATGGTGTGTAGGTTATGGGTGCAGTTGCGCCTCTGAGGGAATATAAACACACACGCAGTACTCATCCTTCACAGTCTGGCTTATTTCTTGTCCCTCTCCGATGCTCGCCTTCCGCCCTTCGGTCCCGCTAGCCTTCTTATTCAATCCTCCTCGACATCTGTCAATATTTCGAAGCTGTCTGGTCCATCGGTGATGGTTTGGAAGCTCCTTAGGGTATTCAATCTCTGTTGAAGAGTCGAAACAGCCCGCTCTATGATCGAACTCTTGCATTTCGAAGCTCTCCAAGTAAGGACATTCATTTCAGTACAGGCAAGGACATTCATTCAATCCACGTTCAAACTCCTGTCAACCCGAATTGCGAATTACTGCCATCCCCATTCACCCCGCATTCCGAGCCTACACCTTCCAATTCATCTCATTCATCCGTCCACGCCGCATTCCGAATTCCGAACCCAGCGCTTCCCATTCATCCCATTCAATCCAATCGGTACATTCAATCTCTACTAGCATCGCACGAGTGGAAGCCTCCCCCCAACCTTTCACTCAATACCATCCCATCCCATTCCATTCCCTACCCCACTCTTCTTCGAGAAGCTCAGAAGCGACCTGTCAACACGAACATGATCCCTGGGTGAATCGTGATGGCATTCAATGATAACGAATGGGAACGTGAGCTACACTGGGTCTTATGAGAGACTGCAGAATACTCGGATAAAGCGACTCGGCCAAGAAAAATCGAGGACTAGGGATCCGGGTGGGTATATAAAGGCGTCTTTTTGGTGTATGGGGAAGCCGAGGCCTTCGGCACGCGTATACGTATACTTTCGACGACGACGACGACGCCGCTAGTACCAAGTACAACTTCGTTCCTGACCCTCTCTCTCCCCCTTGCGTTCTACGAGACCCACCCAGCGCAAGCGGCTTTACTCGTGCAAGACGCTCCTCGAGTTCACGACACTAACCTCTACGACCCACCTCTAAAAACGACCGACGACAATTTCAACGATGGTAAAACTATCGACCACCTTCCTCCTCCTCGCCGTCGGGATCCAGAGCGTCCTCGGCGCACCCACCACCTCGCCCGCTGGCGCTAACAGCACGCTCCAGAAGAGAGCCAAATGCGCGAATGTGCGTGTCCGTAAGGAATGGTGCGTATCCTTTCGCTTTCCAAAGCATTGTACCTCTTAGGACTGGAAGCTGCCAAAGCATTGTATCTCTTAGGACTGGAGGATTGTACCTCTTAGGACTGGAAGCTGATATACTGACGACTCCAACCCCCTACAGGCGCGACCTAACCGTCGACGAACGCATCGACTACACCCGCGCCGTCAAGTGCCTGATGGAGACGCCCTCCACGGCTACGCGCGAGGGTGTCGTCTCGCGCTTTGATGAATTCCAAGCGTGCCATATCGATTTGACGAATCAGGTTCATCAAGTCGTGAGTACCTCTTTCTCTTTCTTCCTCTCTCTCTCTCTCTCTCTCTCTCTTTTTGATGAAAGGTAGTATCGACTTTGCTGACGATTGTGTTGTCATTCGGCAGGGACACTTCCTCGCTTGGCACCGACACTTCTTGACTCTCTACGCCAACGCGATGCGCGATGAGTGTGGGTACCAAGGTCCCGCTACGTACGTCCTCTCCTTTTCCTCCCCTCCTCATCGTCTGCTCACGCCTAGTTTGTTTCGTCGAACAGGTACTGGGACTGGTCTCGCGACGCCGACGGGCCAGGACTGTAAGTACTAGTCCCCCCTCTCTCCTCTTCCTCCGCCAAACATTAAGGCTAACAAAACACCCAACTCGAATCTAGGATGGCCGACTCCCCCGTCTTCGACCCCGTCACCGGTTTCGGCGGTAACGGCGTCCCAGGCACCTACACCCCGCCTCCCAACACGAACCCAGGCTTCCCCGGGTTCCCTCAACCTACGGGTACGAACCCCGGTTTCCCGGGCTGGCCCGCCCCAGCCCCAGCGCCCACCACCACCGGTGCACCTCCAGGCGGCGGCTTCCCAGGGTTCCCCGGCGGCGGCTTCCCCGGCTTCCCCGAGCAAGGCTGCGTCGATACGGGTCCCTTCAGCAACATCACCGTCAACCTGGGACCTGGCACCGCCATCGGGCCTCACTGTTTGTTGAGGGGTATTAATGAAGGCATGAAGAGTAGTCTGACGAGTGCGAATGTGGATATTGTGATGCAGCAGACCGAGTTTGAGGTGTTTAGGACCGTGCTTGAGAATGGTGGACGGGGGAGTGCGGGGATGGGGATTCATGGTGGCGGGCATGGGGTTGTGGGTGGGGAGATGATGGATCCGTTTTCGAGTCCTGCTGGTGCGTGTTAATACTGCTGCGTGTTCACTGCTCAGTGGTTTCTCTGCTGCTGGTTTGACTTTTTCCGAATGCGAAACTGACGGGTTAATGCGATTTGATAGACCCCCTCTTCTACCTCCACCACGGCAACCTCGATCGTATCTGGTGGAAATGGCAGAACGCGGACCCTGAGAACAGGATGTACGCCATCTCTGGCCCGACGACGCAGCGTCCGCCTTTCACTCAGGTAAGCGCCGCTCTGGTTTATCTGGTTTTATCTGGTTTTACCTGGTTTCATCTCGTTTCATCTCGTTTTATCCGGCTTTTCCCTGGTTTTACCTGTTTTCATCTCATCTCATCCCGTTTCATCTCATCCCATGTTATCTTATTTCATCTCAATTTACTTGCCGTGGAGAACTTGACTGACAACCGCCTTCGTTTATAGGTAACCCTCGACTTTGTGATGCCGTTCACTACGCTGCTTAAGCCAGGCGAGGAGGTGACCGTGCGGGACGTGATGGAGACCGACGGCGAGCTTGGGTGCTTCACGTATGCTGATTAAGGGCTCGGTGCATTGTGGTGGTGTGGTGGTTTGGCGTTAAAGGTTTTACGGCTTCGAGGGATAGAGCCTGAGGCCGCTTCGTAGTGCTTGGTGAAGGATGCGAAGTGAAGGATGTGAAGTGTTAAATTTCAAAATTTGAGTTCTTTTCTTTTTTACTTATGCCTTTGCTTTTTACACTTTGAATGTGATTTTTTTGATCGTTTTTGTCACGAGCCATAGATGAGCAGCTTTCAAAGCATGCCATCGATGGTGCGCCTCATATGGAGTGTACCTCTTCGTCGACTACTACCTTCCGTGACTGTTATTCATGGCTATTCTTTTTCGTTAAAAAAGGTCATTCGCGACTGGTCGTCGTACGTAGCTATCCTCTCCATGGCCCTTCAAGCAAGCTCACGGGCTCTCCTTGGACCTTTGTGACTACCAGCCATGCGCTATCCTGAGCTATTTAAGCTGGAACCAATATGACAACGATGTCTTCGTTTCCCCATGCTGCATTCGCGCCATCCCTCAAAGCTCCATCGATAACACAGTTGTAGAGGACCCAGTGGCCGCCCAGCGCTACATTACGGCTGTACGATCGTTCATCATAGTTAAATTAACGAAGGAGCAGCGTGAAGTTCGATTCGAACTCACCAAGTAGACTGCACAGTCATCCCGAGGTGAACCTTCATGTTCATGCCCCACCATTCGACGCTCCCCGCGGGGCCGTCGGTATAGCAGAAGCGGATCATGTAGGTGGTGGAGTTGATGACGCAGGGCGTGCTGCCCAGTGCGTGGAGGTAGTTGAAGCACCCCCAGGCGTATTCGGGGTTCATGGCTGATGTGCTGCAGCGGGGCTCGTAGCGCTTGACGAGCGAACTTTCCCCTTCGTTGGCGCTCGTTGTAGCAATTGGAGGGAGGTCGAGGCTCAGGGGGGTGTCGAGTAGGGATGCGGAGGCTGGATTAGTATCTGATTATACATAGATGAGAGGTAAAGAGGTTAGGTATGGACGGGAGAAGGATGGGAAGGTGGGAGGACGTACAGGTCTTCATGAATTCCTCTGGCGGTTTGCAGAGGTCGGCGGATGTTAGGTTGAGGGATGCGAGGCTTGGGAGGCCGGGTGCTGGGATTACCTCTGGACACTCGCCCACCGACGAGTCCGTGGTAACTGGTTGTGGAAGGGCGAGGGTTGGACAACAACTGAGGGAAAAAATGAGAGAACAGGTGGCGAGGAAGCGCGTTAGAGCTCTCATCATGCTCTACAGAGTATGCGTAGGCGTCCAAAGATTAGGTTGTCTTCGAACTTGGCCCTATTTAAAAGTCTCCCTCAGTCTTCGTACGCAGAGGATACTCATTCTGAGCTTTCTGAGTGGGGATATATTTGTTGGGACGGCATTGGTCACGCACAACGAGAAGCTCTGGGACTCTAACGTCACGCGGGACGAGAATCACGAAAGAAGGAGGAAAGAAGAACAAAAGGAAATTAAGTGGGTACACATGGACGCACCCACACATAACGATAGATAGGTGTCACGATGTTCCCCGCCAGGTCTTCTATGTAGAACGTGGGCCTTCGCTAAGTCTTGAAATAAGCAGGTCACCTGGGATGTCTAAAGCACATCAGGGCGGGGAATACTAACCAGACAATCAGTATGATGTGCGATTGCTCACAAGGTCTTTGGCGTGGACAGGGGATGCCCACATTTGGGCCCTACAGCACCGTTACTGGGTTTAGGTTCGCGGTATCGGATTTGCTACGTCGGGCCGGGTAGGGCGGAGGTGCGACTCGGAGGATTACTGTACATGTCATGGCATACAAGGTTCAGTCGAACTTTTTCGAAAAGCCTCAGCTTGGGTCCAGGGCGCTCCGTAGCGCTCACCGAGCACTCCAGCCGACTGCACCCTCAAGGTGGCCTACAATGGTTTGGGCGCAGTCTAAAGCCCAGGTACGAGGTAGAGAGTGCACTTACGTGGTTCTCTACCAAGGAGATACCGAGTCGCAACCGGGTGGCCTACAGGACTGAGGGAGTGGTGGAATATCAAGAGTGCCTGAAACGCAAACAGTGAGCACCCACACCGATATTTAGCACGCTTATAAGAAGTGTAAGGGATGCAGACGTTGGAAAGACAGAGTCCATGATGACTTCCTTCCTCCATTCTGTTCGCGGTGCCTTCCTGCTCGCCGCCTTGTTTGCCTTCCTGTTCAATGTTTCCTTGGCTTTACCGCAAGCTGATGGAACTCCAAAGGACTTCAAATTACTCACAAAGGCAGAGATAATCCATTCGGCTGAAGTTGGGGATCTCGAGATTGTTCCAGGCCCTGGACTTCCCTCCCTCGAATCGCTGAACCTCACGTCTCGCGACCTCGTCGTTCGAGCGTTCGAGCGTATGGAGCGAATTAAAGGTACGTGCATCTCTAGAGACCACAATCACCGAGTTGCCCTCTCGATCCTGACGACCATGCATTCTCAGAGTCCCATGACGATTCTCTCGAGAAACGCTACACTCCAACCTGCGACAATGTGCTCATGTATGGAGAAGGAGGGTGGTTCTGTTTCGAGTACCTCCTCTCCCTCGGCCAGGCGAACTGCATTGTTCCTCCGTGGGGAGCTAGGTTCTGCCATACCAATTATAGCGTCTATGTGTATGAAGTAGCCTGGTATGGGGCTACGAACGGTCTCGGTCCTAACGATTGGACGCAGTCGAAATGGTACGTCTTTGACGCTCCATAGACAAGTGACCGTAATGACCCTTTTCTACTGCAAGCCACGAGGTCGCCAATGCTGGAATATGGATTTTGCACAACTGCCATACGCCTTACGGCGGGGCTCAGATGCAACATGGAGGTGAGCCTTGGTTTGATTGTATGCGATTGACGTATACTAATAGGCTTGTGACCAATCATTAGGAACGGAGGCCCCCTGGAATAACCAGAACTTGGTTGTTCGCATTGGACACAAGGGCTGGTGGGACAATCAACTGGGATTCTGACCGTCTCCTACGTTGCTTGGCTTGTATTGAATATTTTGTCGTTCTATGCTATTCGGGATCACAACCCCTTCAACTATTCATCTGATGCATTCACGTTGATGTTTATACTCATTCGAAGTTGTATGCTGTACGAAGCTCCTATTGCACGGTTTTCTTTTCAAACGTATACCCAGACCCGAAAGCTGTATGACAAGTCTAGGTACCACTCCGCTTCGGTCTCTGACTGAATTCTAGAGTTGATTGGGAAAGCATCCCCGTGGCGAGCTAATACTTACCATTTAGTAAACGGGGATTAGCCTCGCTTTGCTGTGTCTATCAGACCAAGGTCGGCGTCAATCATTGGTAATAGGCGCCCACAACTGACGTGAAGACCTGGTACACACTCGCTCACGCTGCTCGACGGTTATGCCCACTGTCTTCGGCAGTACCGTAGCTCTTTTGAGCGTGCGGTGGCCGTGAGGATTCGCTGGTGGTATCAGGAGTAGCCACTGAGTACGTACGTCTGAAGGATGAACAAGGTTCTGTACGCTATTATAACCATACCTCTGAATTTGCTGAGCTATATGCGCCGTATATACTCTATGCTCCAGCGCAGCTTGTGGAGGGGAGAACGATCCCAAAGAACTTCGCAGGAACACGGACAAAAAGGAAGAATTGGGGATGTACACAGATAACGATAACAGGGAATGTCCCCTAGAGTATGATAAGCATCTGCATCTAGAGTCTTCGCTTCTTTGCCCCCACGTGTAGTAGGCGCCAACAAGACACACGCTGATTCTAACCGAGCATGGCGGACAACCAGTGACAACTCGTAGGGTATAAAATGCTCACAAATTCTCCTCTGTTCTCGGGCCAACCAAGCCTACCGCTCAGCACTTCCAAGAAGTCTCCTTGATGCTCGTTCTCGTATATTTTGCGCTTATAGTCTCTGTGGCACTCGCTCTCCCGCAGGATAGTAGCAAGGTGGATGTCGAGTGTCCGGAGATCATACCTGGGCCTGGTCTTCCTAGTCTAGCCTCCCTCAACCTAACTTCGCAAGACCTATGCAAGTCGCCTCAGGAGTTTATGATGGCGCAGTACGGCTACAGTACGCCCCGTTCTATCCCACACTTCGTGAAAGTTTGTACAACTAATACTCTGCTAGTCGACGAGAAACTCCTAGGCGATTTACCCAAAGAAGATTCACACGTCGCCAGACAGGTTAACCAGTCATTATCCCCAAGGGTCATTCTTCGTACTGCTACAACTATCTTTGGGCCCTTGGAGACACACCCTGCGTCGTCCAACAAGGCGTGGGCTCGAGGTTCTGTCATTCCACCGGCACAGTTCGAAACGTCGCGTGGTATGGAAACACCGCTGACGGGCTGTACTCTCAATCAACTTGGTGAGTGATCCCCAAAGGGACGATTACGGCGTACATGTCTGAATCGGTCGTATCTTTACTATCTAGCCGTGATGTCGCCCGCGGAGGATACTGGGTGCTGGATAATTGCAAATTGTGGACATCGTATGGTTGGGAACTCACCGCAGGTAAGGAGTGATATCATCTCCCGTTGATCTTGCTGTTGCTTTGGCGCTCATTTCTAATCCTTGTGGCCCAGGTGCAAATGCTGCATGGAATAACTTTAACCTTATAGTACGGATTGAACTCATGTAGTAGAACATCAGATCTTATGAATGAGTCAGCGACGGTCTGCTATCCGAGCATCACGAAATGAGCTGTCTTGGCGTCCAGTTGACGCCCACAAATTGAGGCCACTGCATCGCGAGAGGAGTTTGAGACCGACACTACAACTTTCAGTAATCTCAAGCCAGATCGAGAAATAGAGTTAGAAGTCTTGGGAGGTTGAACCAGGTTCCAGACATGGCGTTCATTTTTAGTAGCGGCGTCTAAACCTAAGCGCGCACGTTAACACAAGTCGCTCGTGCCTCACACTCCAGTCATGGCCCCGGTTTGTTAGCTCGCAGTATCCACCTGTGGAGTCCTCTTGATTACCATGGCACAAAGGGGCACCAAATGTTGTAATAATCGTCGAACACACATAGCAAAAGGGCCGTACCACCAAACGCGGATTTCTGTGTCTGAGACGGTTGTAAGAGACATAGCTCTGTGGATGACGGAAAAACACTGTAAGAGGTTCATTAATCTGTGGGGGATATGCGCTCCCAGAACCTTGGTAGACCCTCCGTATTACAAATTCTCAATTCGCACGACGATATTGGTGCTCCCGGCTGCAAAGTTTGAGCCTAGACCACACAGGTGTAATAAGTACTATGACAGTAGATTGGACGTTGACACATCGCTATACACTCACCTTCTTGTTGGAGGCGGCCCAACGGCGAGTTGTGTATGACGCAATTATCAAGGACCCACTGTCCTCCACGGGCAACATCGCGGCTATTATTCATTTAGTCACCAAGCTGTCGGTTATCAATAGAGCTTGAAACGCCTACCAGGGCGATTCAGACCGTTGTGCATTGAGTGAGTTTCCATACCAGGCGACGTCGTTACCGCCTCCTGCTGTGCAGAATCTAGCACCGTACAGCGGTCCGACGGCACAGGCGGTGTTCCCGAGGGAATAGAGGTAATTGTAGCAATACTTTGCTTTTGAAGGGGAGATGGTCCTACTCCCGCACCATGGGCCCGTGGTTTGCCTGGAGCTGAGCTTGGATATCGAGCCCGCAAGTTGAGGATCCACTGAGAGAACGTGTTGGAAAGGGTCAAGAAATTGGTCCTGAACTACAGGAAGTGGACGAAGAACGAACCATAGCCGTAGCGCTCCATCTGAAATTCCTCGGGCGACTTGCACAGATCGGCCGAAGTGAGGTTGAGGGAGGCGAGACTTGGAAGACCAGGTCCTGGAATGATCTCTGGACAGTCCTCCGAGAGATCACTCGGATTCTGAGGAAGAGCGAGCACGAAGGTAAGAGCGTACGCGAGGTACAAGAAAGTTGACTGGATAAGCATTGTTGGAGAGGGGATAATCCGGGCGTGAACTCCTTGAGTAAAGTATCTGAAGAGATCCTGTCTTTATTTATACGGTACACAATAGAAGAACGTCGATTAATCAACGATTTGGCAGCTTCAGAGAAGTGTTTGCAACCTGCTGTCTACAGACGCAACTGTCCACAAAGCTCCTTCGATCGATTGTCCATGTGGTCCATGTCGAAGGTTAACTGGGGTGAGGTATCGATGTGTGTCTCGCGTACACACTAAATGCAGTGTTTGCGGGCGTGGGCGCTTGACTAAACCCCGAAAATCAGCCGCAGACCAAAGACTACAGTGCGCCCACTCGCGAGACATAGAGAGGCTTGGAGGATCCCGTTTCGATACGAAGTATGAAGTACAGACCTTTGAATTGATTCTATCCTCCTTCTGTTCCATTAATTATCCCGCCCAGGTAATTGGTTATTGACCCTGAGAAAGGTCTGAAGCTTCAACGCTGTAGGTGAGTGGGTCCTCCTCAAGATCTTCGACAAGTTCTTAGCTTCGCCAACGGCACGTTGGCATTCGCTTACTCGATTTTTGAACCTTCTTTTCTTTCGAGAATCATCCATTAGTTGCCGTCTAAATCCCGTGTGAGTTTGCGAGATGCTGATTCCGTGTTGGATGCAGTGAATGAACGCTCACCAGGATGCCAAGAACGTTTGAGTTTGGCACCCTTTGGTTGTGCTTGACATGAATGACTTTGGTCTCTGTCCGTCAACTTCCAAGTCCAACTATGCCTTTTGAATATAACAGAAACAAACACCGAAAACCCCGACTCACTCGTACACGTCCTTCCCTTCAACCGAATCCAGATAGCCAGATCTGCTTGTTCCTTCATTCGGTGACCATTGCTACTGCCTCGCGATGTGCTTCATGCTGGGACTTCGATCACAGTCACTGGGCACGACGCTCAACTGCTGGCCGGCTTGCAGCCTCCTACTCGGGACGGGAAACGAAATTACCGCATCCAGGAACGTCAACGCAACCCAAAGCGAATCCGCCTTGCCTCTAGTACCTTGATTCCTCCAAAAAAACGATCTTTCCTTGTCTTTGATTGCACTCACCTGGGTCGAGAAGTGCATCTGCACCCACTGTCCCTGTGCCGACCTGTCCCTGCTAATCCGCATCAACTCCATGGCGCATGTGATCAGCACCCTTCTGGCTGGAGTAGCACCCATTGAGTAACGGTGCGACCACTCCACCTGGAAAAAAAACACTTCTGTCGGCCTCGTGCTCGTACAATCGTTCCAATGGAAGGTTTCAAAGAGAATCGTGACGAAAATGACGGAGATTCTAACTCTGTGTACTTGCCAAGCGATTACGAACTCCTGAACATACTGAGGACTCTCAGCCGACATGCTCGTACTCACCAACCGAATCCCGATGCCGCATTCAGGGCCTATCCATGCCCGCGATCGAACACGACTGCCATGACCTCGTCAGGTGCCTGACCTCTATTCAGAATAGGGAAACATGCGGTCCGTACTTCTTACCTTTCCAATCGGAGGAACGAACGGCGGACATCGGCCGCAAGCTTCTCTCGTCTTATAAACTCCCACCTCTTGCTGCTACTCGATGTCATTCCCTGCATCCAAGTCGCAATGTTCACTTTTCTCTCGTCTGTGTATCTCGCTTTTCTTGTCGTTGCCTTTACTGCGATTGGTCGCGCCTTAGCGCTGCCACAATCCGCTGGGATTGTTCCCCAGATGTCCACCCCCGAGGAGCTAATTCGCGCTGCTGAGACTGGGGAACTCGTAATCGTTCCCGGCCCTGGTCTTCCTTCGCTCGAATCGCTCAATCTCACTTCCCGAGACCTCGTCGTTCGTGCACTCGCACGCCTCGAGCGTCTCAAAGAAGCCGAAGGTAAGCTCTTCCTCTCATGCGTAACCCAGATTCATGACCCATCCCCTTGATCCTGGTATCTCGCTAGACACTGAGAGAGGGTCAAGTTCACTCACGAAGAGATACACGCCGACTTGTGACTACAACAGTGCCCTTCTCCTACAAGATCGTGTTGCGTTCTGTTTCGAGTATCTCCACTCGATTGGAAGCACTACGTGTGCAGTTCCATCCTGGGGATCGAGGTTCTGTCATACAGTAACGGGGACTTGGGATGTATCCTGGTGGGGCAGGGTGAATGGGGCATCTTACACCCAATCTAGCTGGTGTGTACAAGCGAATTCCAATGACTGCTTGAACTAAATCAATTTCTCGCGTACAGTGCTGATGTCGCCAATGGAGGTTTATGGGTGATGAATAACTGTCGCTTCTACTATCCACCAAATAACCCTTACTATTATATCCAAGAAGGTGAGTATAGTCTTTGTCGTCACAAGTGATCGAGTTAAGCTCACTGTGAGCAGGTACAAATGCGGCGTGGGGAAACGAGAATCTCATCGTTGAAATCAAAGGATGGGTATAGGTAAAGCTCGGTTGAAATACGTCGATACGCCCACCTGCTTGTTATTATATCATCTCTCAGAATGGATCTCGAGTCTTGACAACACCCTTGCCACCGAGTTTGCGTTGAGCTCAACGAGAGGAATGACATAAGTAGTGACCCATTCCACATCCCTGGCTTCTGAGAAAGCCGAGCTAAGTACCAGTGAATTTGACCGCCGACAAGCTATTCCCGATTTATGATTAAGCAAAGCGCATGCACGAACGCCGTTCCCATTCTACTGACAATAAACACACATCGTCTTGTGCCCATGTATATCGGAATGAATAAGTAAGTTAAGAACGGGTGCAAGTCTCAGCCGTCCCTAACTGCTGTAGAAGGATCAGAAAGGGGTCGGCGTCTATCACCGGGGATGAATTTCCAACTGTGTGTAGTGGGACCTAATGCTGTTATGAGTGGGTATACCAATGTGAACTGTTGTCCCTCTTCTGGCTCGCCCGTGATACATGTAACACAATGGGGTACTTTTACTGTCAGCATGTCGGGCACCGATAGACCAGTCTGCTGTTAGGTCTAAAATGGGCTCGGCGTCTCTATAGGCGCCCACAGCAGACGCGACGATCCCGGGGAGTCAGGTCCCTCTGCATAATTATTGTTCTCCCTATCTGCTTGGGAATGTGACCCTCTAAAAAGCAAGTAGGGGATACCTACTATGGTTCCTACGTGTCGCAGGATCAAGTTGGCGGAACACACAGCCAGCGCCCACATTCGGAACTCTTCATCTTATAAGAACAGGCTTTAGGGACACTGAGTTCCACCAACCACAATGGCTTCTCCTCTGTCTATCTTTCGCACTTTATTCCTCGCTGTTTCTCTCTGTGCCATTGGGTCTGTCTTGGCTCTGCCACAGTCAGCCCCAGAGAACGGTCCTGGCCTTACTCCCTCCCAGCTAATTAAGGCGGCTGAGACTGGGGAGATTAGGGTTGTACCAGGACCTGGTCTTCCTTCCCTCGAATCTCTCAACCTCACCTCGCGTGACCTCGCTGTTCGTGCTCTCGAGCGAATTGAGCGTCTTCAAGAAGTCGCAGGTAAGATATCTTAGTATTTGTATTCTATCCCATCACGCCCGCACCTCGATCCTAACCATTCATGACCGGGACCTCTGATAGAGGACAGCAAGAAATTGAGCAATCTGACTAAGCGATACACCCCCACATGCGAGACCAGTCCGAACCTCAATGGTGGTTTAGGGTTCCTTTGCTACGAGTACCTGCACTCGATTGGGAACACGATCTGCGCTGTACCAGCTACCGGATCGAGGTTCTGCCATACCACGGGTGGGTCTCCTGACGTCGCGTGGCGCGGAAGGGTGAATTGGGCGTTCTACGCCGAGTCTAGCTGGTGAGTCCTTAAATAAAAATAACATGGCTGGAGAGAACGGAAAGCGATCTGACGTGGCCTCCTTACCCAACTTAAAAGTGCGAATGTTGCGGAAGGGGGGTTATGGGTTCTAAACGAATGTCGGAGTTACTGGTGGGCGGCCCCTGCTTGGTACGCGCTCCATCCAGGTGAGTGTTGTTCGTCTGCAGTAGCTCTGCGTCGAACGAAGTTAGCAGAAGCACTGATGGGTTCTCTCCTTACACAGGTACCCATGCGGCTTTGGGCAACGATAATCTTGTCGTTGAAATCGGTCCATTATAACTTGGTGGCAGACTCCTCAGTAGTATTTTTACCTCCTTGGAGTGTATATATCATTACAGAATGTCTCCGACGCTTCAATCTCCTTTTCTCACCTGGTACAATGCTATCCCCACGTGGAATCTGAATACTGCAGTGAACTGGGCGGCCGAACACCTTGGCCTGGCCATTCGGCGTCTATGTAAGCGCCCACTCTTGACATGAATTCGGGCCCAAGTTGAGTCTAAGAACTTTCCAGGCTGTGGTCGATAAGAGTGTTCTTCTAAATGTTGAACGGGCAAGAGTGCAACTGGAAGAATGAGAACCTCATCGTTCGGGGTCAGGCCATGCTGTGAGCTAGATTAAGATTAGATTAGATCATCGTACGTTACTGCGCCCTCCGCCTCCGCGGGCGACATGTTCTTGGCTCCTGCCACCACCACTCTGAGACACGTCGACACGATTACGCGCCAACGCCTGCAACAGAGCCTTAGTCCACTCCGGCGATGGTTCAGGGATACCTCTGTGTATCAGGTCCGTTTGGGGGTAAGTATATCCGGCCGAATATTAAATTTTAACCACCGAACGGAGGAGACAGAAACCTCGGCGAGATTGCGACGACGTGGTGTACCTAACCACGACTATGTCTTGACTATGCCAATGGCAACTGTCCCACCTTTTGGTTCCACTCTGCCCCAGATCTTTCCTGAAGGTATCCCTATGATGCTGTAACGGATATTCCCTTCCACGACGCCTACACCAAACAGGGGGCGAATGCTACCAGCGACGAATGGCGCATGTGGGCTCGTCGGCTAGGGTTTTTGATTAATGACGCCCCTACAGACCTCGGAAGGCATAAGTACCGTTGTAGAGGAGATACTGGAATGTCAGGGTGACCCAGAGAAGACGGGATGCGTTGGCGCAGTTTTTCATGAACCATCTGATTCGCGTTTGTGAGTGTCGTTCTTTGGTTGCTCGCTATTGCCAGTGCTCACTTTCCTCGACACCATGCCCCCAACAGTCCGATCAGACGATGAGAGAACACGCCATCACAGTCGCCTATCGTTTGAAGAACGCTTTCGCCCTTGCGGTTGAGTCTGAACGGCGAGACCATCAAACGCTGAGCGATCACTGGTCTCTTCTGTTTGTCGTCCATTTACTGGACTAAATTAGCCAAGGCTCTCGCTCACGATGGTTACCGCTGCATGGCCTCCGGCTCCATCGATTCAGCCTCGTATTTGGAACCGAACGATGAGGAAAAGGTGTTCCTAGACTTGCCACTGGGTGGTTATCGCAGGTTGCGGCTACGAACTACTGCCATATATTCCCCCCCCCCCCCCCCCCTCGACGGACTGGGATCGCAATCCTCAGGATACGATTCACCGAAAAGTGCTCCACGACATGTGCTGGAAGGCTTTGGTGGTATCGATGTCCTCAAAGTACTCGACGGTGATAGGATACATCGTTTGAAAAATGGGCTGACACTGAATGCTCAGTTGCACACTTTATTTGACGACACGGTGCTCTGGTTTGGAGAACGTCCAAATGTAAGTGTAGCGAAATTTATCCTACGTTCGAACCTGTTTCACATCGCATTGCTCAAGGGCCCGTCCAACTCCTCCCTCATGACAGGGAGTACGACGTTCTGTCTTTCGAGGCTTGGCGTTAAAGTTACAGAGATCATCTTGTTTTCCCTTCGTTGCTCGTGCATCTAATCCGACTTCCGCCCTCTCTCCCCCACATTTGAACTGACTGCTTCCAGCTGCGAATGCGAAGACCGATATTTCTCTGTATGGTGCGTATCATTGGTTCTACAGAGTCGATGGAGCAGGAGTTCAATCAAACCTATTCATAGACGAAGACGTCGAAAACAGGGAAGAACGGGATGGATTCGAGGTGATCGAGAACGTTCGCACGTCGTAAATTGAGGTAGCTACCGGCCAGTCCTTACATCGAGTTCAACGCCTAACAAATACCCCAGGTCAGCCTTCGAGCCCTTTTTGATACCGCCCTCCTTCAATTGAAAGGACATCTATTCCATCCCTTGAATTACAGCGAAATCCATCACATCGCATGAATCGAAACGATAAGGTTCTCCTTCCCCCATGCAGCATTGGTCCCTGTTGAATGTTTAATTCATGGAGAAAGAGTCGGAATCCTCGAAAAACAACACACCTTCCATTTGAAAATACCAACCAACAAAGATATAATCGCGGCAGTTATGGAGTACCCATACACCTCCATTCGCAACGTCAGCACTGCCCACGAAGATTAAAGGTATGTCAGATGATCCACCTCGGACGTAAAAGGCGTACTCACCAACTTGACTGGGTGTAGGACACTCCATTCACGCTCCCCGACCATGCAACATCGCCAGACCCAGAGACAGTATGACAAAATCGCGATCCCCAAGCCGGAACAGCGCACGTGGTGCTCCCGATGGCGTGCAGGTACTCGTAGCAGAACCTGGCGTGCTCGATATTGAGGGCGACGGAGGCGCCCAGTTGCAGGTGGGGGTATACCGTTTGGTGAGCGACTTTGATCTAGATCTAGATTCAAGAAGTTCGTTCGAATTGTGGTCTTCTTCAGCGAGTTCGAGCTTGAAACGCTCGAGGCGCTCGAGGGCGCGAACGACTAGATCGCGTGAGGTGAGGTTGAGGGATGCGAGTGAGGGGAGGCTGGGGCCTGGTACAATCTCGAGTTCGCCAGTTTCGGCGGCGCGGATTAGGTCTGAGGCCTTCTGCCTCTGTTCAGCTTCCGAGGGGGGCTGAGGAAGCCCCATTACACCGCTGACAGCGCCCAACACAGCCACAGCTACAAAAGCGAAATGCACAGATCTAGAAGAGAGAAGCAGATGTCTGAGAGAGAGCATTGTAACGAGTTGGCGAGTCGTCGGGTTATCAAAAGTGAAAGATAATTATTGATTCATTGGATTAGGGAAAATATTATATATAAATATTGCAGTAAATGCTCCAAATAAACAGAGTGGGATTTATAACGATGGTGGGTGCCTCCAGAGTATACACTCTCGTCGATGTCAGTGGTTGCCAAAGTGTGGCCACTATGGCTCCGAGTCGTGAGTGGTCTGGAGAGTTCAAGTACCCGCCGATCGCCAACCCCAAAGGTCTCGCTCGGCCTCGTGGATCTCACACACAGTCGTTCTAATCGAACGGCCCAACTCTGATCCTACCTGTTCGTATACACAGTCCGGATGGTGGCGTGCTAGGCATCATTCAAGAACAATGTAGAAGTTTGAGCATAGTGAAAACGGGTGATCCCAACGCACCCACATTGCGCCTACCACCTCCCCGATTTCTTATTGTCCTCGGGGAAGCAAATATGGAGTTAGGGCAGGTACGAGGATGCAGTCCTAGTCCTTGTCGGTCATCACGAGATGCGATACGGATATAACTAATATAATTTGCCGTCCACCCGCTGGTTTAGCGATGCGTTCTATTCAATATCCTTGATGCCGGAACAGTCACAATGGACCTACCAAGTGATCAGTGGCTCCTAGCCATGGCCTCACCGCTGGGCGGCTATTGAAGCGCCCACATCAGCCCGATACGAACGGGTGATGATGTTTATCTAACGGTCGTTTACCTAGGCACATCCAATGTGTCGGTGCTCACGAGTTGACCCTTATTCAGGTAATTATGATCACCGTAGCTGGCACGTGGGATGCCTCCCACATCTAAGGGACTCAGAGAAGTATACAACGACGGTAGGGTCCTTACTTAAAGTCTCGTAAACCCTGGGTCACATGTGGCCCCACTTCATCCAGGTGTCCCGTTGACAAGCCTTACCTTGATTGCGTAGTACCTAAACACGAGTACTCAGTTCACCAGAGCCGCTAAGCCTGAGGCCTGAGGGTTGAGCCGACTCGCATCAAGCTAAGCTATACCCCTGTTCTGCCGGAACAAAGGGTCGCGCTCAGTCCGAACAGACGCCCACACTTGCAACTGCATATGGAAAGTGTCCTAGGCCACTTGCTCGGCCTCGTGGCTCCTACGATCATTCTAATGGAACGTATTAGAGAGGGTAGTGGATGCACTTTGAGTTTAGTCGACAAAGTGTATCGTAAGCCTACATACGCCGTGCCAGCCTGGCGGCGTATTCCGGCATGATCGCAAAGTGCGAGCTTACCAGCGGAGATTTTGATCTCACTGCATATGCAGCGATTGGGTTGCTCTTCACCACTGGGTGATTATGAGGGTTCAAGGGTCTGAGGCTGATGGCTGCGAACTTGAAGAGATCGCCCTCCTGCTTTGGTCGCCGCAACTTAAAGGTGCTGTAGGTGGCGCGGACCTTGATCCACACTACATTCTAAAGATGCGCGACTTCATGTTGGATATTCGGCCGACATGGATATCTTATTGTCATTGGGTGATTCGAGCGGGTACGAGAATGTAGTCCTTGCCGGAGTTCGAGATGCGATACGGATATGACGAATATAATTCAGCGCCCTCCCGTGAGTCAAGTGATGCGCCCTATTCAATACCACTGATTAGCGACCTAAGCGATCGATGGGTTCCTGAACTTTGCTCCAGATGAGGAGCCATGTGGTCTGCAGCCTGAGTGACCGGTCTGCACCTCGATAACAATTTCATCTCGACTGGAGTGGCGGGGCGCCCACAACCTCCTCCCCATGTTATAATCCCTGCCTTTGGCTTGTTTCCCTTCCCCAGAACCCCCAACCAACCAACAACTCACAATGTTCTCTCGCTTTTTCTCTTCTGTGCACCTCGCCCTCCTCGCCGTTGTGCTCAGCATCGTCGGTCGTGTCGTGGGGCTTCCCCAGCCGGCGGAGGGCCCACCGCAAGGTCCCACTGCTGAAGAACTCATCCACGCCGCCGAGACTGGCGAGCTCGTGATCGTGCCCGGCGAGGGCCTGCCCTCTCTCGAGTCCCTCGGGCTCACCTCGCGCGACATCGTCGTTCGCACACTCGAACGCCTCGAGGCTCTCAAACAAGCTGAAGGTGGGTTAACTCATTAAACCTCACGTCGCTCATTTATTTAATCCGAAGAAAACACTTGCTTTTTACTATTTAGAGGCCAACAGGGATGCGAATTCGAGCTCACTCACCAGGAGGTATACTCCGACATGCAGCTGGAGCACGTCCATGTCCATCGACTATGCGTGGTTCTGTTATGACTACCTGCACTCCATCGGGGGCACGACGTGCTTTGTTCCGTCTGGTGGATCGAGGTTCTGCCATACGACCGCCGGGTCGAACAATGTTGCGTGGTGGGGTAGTGTGAATGGGGTGGCTTCTACCCAGTCGAGCTGGTGAGCGCTATTACCCCCTCAAGGTTATCGTGGACACTTGGACTGACGTTCGTTCGAACTTTGTCCGTGGACAGTGCTAATGTTGCGAATGGAGGTGTATGGGTGCTGAATAATTGCCGTACCTACAGTTGGGACTACACCTGGTACATGCTATCGGAAGGTGAGACATCTTTTCTGACGAGCCCTACGTTTAGACTTACCGCGCTTATCTGGGGACAGGTACCAATGCTGCTTGGGGAAATGAGAACCTTATCGTTACAGTTGGAAATATGTGATGAGCTCGGGGATTGGATTGGATCGTGCTTCAAGTCTATGTGTATATGAGATCGTGTACAATGTTGTCCTGTGTAAACTGTGTTTCCCTTTGTTGTACTGCATTCTCAAATGTATTTCTATTGATGTCCGCTCTAAGTAGTCATATCGGACACTGGGCGCTACTCCGAGGCGTCAAGACTTGGGATTAGCCTTCAAAGGGGGCCCGCGAGTCTCAGAGTCGCGTTCAGACTTTAGGGAACCTTAATCTGTTGTCCGACTTCGCATTTGGCGGCCTCAGAAGTCCCGATCGCTGCTTCTGAGAAGGAAAAGCGTCTCGGCGGCTATTCAAGAATCAAGCGCCCACACAACCCACACCGTTCATCGCACTGACCGTCTTTTGGCTAGGCCGTATCCCGTCCCGCACTCACATTCAAGCAGTCCAGTAACCAAGTATCCGAGTCTCACTGACTACCGTCTATAGGTATACAGCGCCTGGGTCACTCGTGAGTCGTCCGAGGCCTTCAATACTGGGTGATTATGAACCTTCAAGGGGTCTGGGGCTGTTGGACTTGGCTGCGAACTTGAAGACGCATGTTGGCAATAGAATAGACATTATGTATTATGCTTCGATGGATTTGTCAAAGTCCCGCTACTAGTTGTAATACCTCCTCTCTCCTCTCTCCCCTCCCCTCTCCCCTCCCCCCTCTCCTACATGGCGGAACGCGCGGTAGTGGTACAGCAATGCCAATAGGACGTTATTCATTACTATACTCAGCAACTCGTGCATGGGCGCCAAAAGCCTGAGTGATGATGATGGCTGTATGAACTCGAAAAACCACTCACCCTTCCAAGGGGGAATTTACTCGAGTATACTGTGCCGTGAGCAGACCAACGACAAAACGGCTAACCAGAACCCTCAACACAACCTCAACCCCAACCTCAAGTTGACCCTCAAGTTGACTTCAACCCGTAGAAACAAATCAAAACACGAATTACGAATTATCCCTCATGAGCTGAGTACTGAGTAATCTAACGTCTATCTAAACATCTTGCTTCAACCTTCAAGTTGAGCGTATGTATGTATGTACTATCCTTAATGTATCGTATGCGTGTAAAAACGAGTGGACGAAACACAAAACTGTTCGTTGAAACGAAAAAGCGAATGGGATGAATGTCGATGACGGTGATGGGTAGAAAGTCCAATTATATGTGTGGATGTGGGTGTATCGTGAGGAAGAAGAGGGTATTGTCAATGTCCGAAGGTGCGTCAATGGTTGGAGGTCTATACGAGGAGGAGAGGGTGCGTCTATACGAGGAGAAAGGGGAGGAAGGAATCTAGAGCGATGAGGATGAGGATGAGAGAGGTCTAAAAACATCCAAGATGTCCAAGAAAGAGGGGAATCGGGAAACCATGGTCAAAGTTCGTTCGTAAGCTTTGGTGACGAGGTTAGGCCACGCTTGAAGAAGTGCAGCGGAGACGAGGATAGGGAAAGGGTATACTGGCGGGATGGTATACATGACATCTCTTGACGAGACATCGTATGAGTGAACAAGATTGTATGGACGGGGGGAAAAGGGAAATAGTCGTGGTCGTTTACTGCTTCTGCAGCAAGTTCATATTCGACCTCGACCTCTCCAACACCTTATGTGCAACTTCAGGTCCATACTGGTCCGCCAATTGCCTACAAAAAACCCCCAACGTCAGAAAACATCAACCAGAAACCCCAACAGAATACGCACGCAGCATACTGATCCATAATAACAGCCATCGAGTCCATATTAAGCCTATACGCCTCCGGCATCATCCCCTTCCCAAACCTATACGTGACATGATTCGAGCACAAAAGGGCAGCAACCATAACCACCACATGCGCCGGCACAACCGCAAACGCCGTCTTCCAAAACACCTGCAAAATCCTCCTCTGATAGCTCAAATACGGGAGCTTGCACCCAGGCAGAACGCTCCTCGAATAACACGTCTGCGTCACCGTCGCCTCGACGTACGGACTAAAGTACCCGCAGCAGGAGAGCTGGTTCTGGATCCGTGTGCGGGCGATGGGCCCGAGGTTGCGCGACCACTGTTGGTTGACTTTGCCTTCGAGGTTGTAGGTGCGTTTGCGGTAGGTGATGTAGCCTGGTGTGACGAGGAAGATGAAGGTGATCCAGGTCATGAGGGTGTAGATTGAGAGGAACATGCGGTTGTTGAGGAGGATGCCGGCCCAGCCGATGACGGAGGTGAGGATGCCCAGCGAGGAGGCGAGCGTGCTCAGGACGAGCTCGGTGCGGTTGCCGAAGCGGATGACTTCGGCGTGCTTCCACACGTCGAACCATGTCAGGAGGCACACGATGAACGTGCCTAGCGAGTACAAGCTCAACTACACCACCACCAGTCAGCGAATGGGACGAGGAGGGAGGGATGGGTTAGGACGACGCACCAAAAGATTGGTAAAGAACAAAATCCACTTGAACCTAGTCCACCTCAGCTTCTGGCCACTCGCCCCGCCAATCCTCTGCTCATTGCTCTTAAAAGCGGCAGTCCCACCTCCACTCTTCGGTACATCAACGACCTCCTTGCCATCCCCACCACCTCCGGCACCGCCCAAATCCACGCGACTACTCCTCCGACTCAACAGCGCACCGCTAAACTTGGACGGAAGGTAGTTGACAGACAACGACAACCCCGTCGTCGACGTGGGCGTTTGTGCGCCTGAGCTCAAATTGGCTCCATAGCTCGAGTTGCGCGGGAGCTGGATTGAGCCGCCGAACCCAGCTAGAAAACTCGAGGGGCGGGATTTCTCGTCCCTACCGGTGGCGGTGGTGTCTTTGGTGTCTTTGACATCGCCGCCGACGAGGGCGGTGTCGCTGCTGAACGACTGGTCAAAGTCTTTGAGGTCGAGCATGGGGCGTGTCGACGTAGCCTGCGAGTAGACAGAGTCGGTGCGTGTCGAGCGTCTATAAACGGCCAACGATTAGACTTTGTCCTTCGGTGTTGTATAACCTCCGAGGGATGTGGTGGACGTAGAGAGGTCGAGCGAAAGGAAGAAAGAAAGAAAGGAAAGGGATGAAAAGAGCGACGAGAAGAGTGTGTGTGTTTTGTGTCCGAACACACAGAAACCGGGGCGAGATGACGAAGAAGGAGAAAAGCGCTACCCGCTGGCAGCGCAAACGATCTGGCCAATGGCCAAGCCCATGACGAATCGAAATAAGCGGCAACTGAGATGAGGTCACTTGACTTACGGCGAATCATACACCGCAGAAAAAGGGTTGTCCATCTTTCTTCTGCCTGCCAACAAGCGACACGGATTAACGACTTGACAACGAGGAAAGAAAAGCAATGTAAGTAAAGAAGGGAGAAGAAAGGAAGGGAGAGTTGGTGACAGAGAGAAGTCGCCACAGGGACACCTCAAGCGATAGCCTTCTAGCCTGGGAACCCCCGCCAAATCGGGTTGGTCGACCTTCTTCTCGGCAAGGGTTAGTTTGAATGGGCAAAGGTGACTGGAATGTGAGTGACAGAAAGCTCTGGGATTCAAGAAATAAACGTTACAAGGGACTCGGGCGCCAATATCACTCGGTGCCGACGGCATTGCCAAGCCCGAGAATTGCGGAAACGCGCCACGCGACCCTTCCGGGAATCCCAATCCAGCCACCACTCCTCCTACCACCACACATCCTTCGACTACACATCCACTCCTACATATCCTCGACTAAAGTACATACACATCGCAAAATGCCAACAACTACGATCCCACCATTCGGCTCCCCCCTATCCCACAAATTCCCCCAAAGCATCCCTCTCCCTCCTAAACCCTACGACGCAGTGATAGATACCGCCTTCCACGATGCCTACGCTAGTTGTGTGCACCACGAAGCTTACGCCCACTCCGTCCAACACGAAGCCAACGCTACCAGCAACGTCACGAGCAACGACGACGCGCTCCGACTCATATGGCCCCGCTTACTCGGTTTTCTAATCCTCGAAGCTCCCACAGATGTGGGGAGGAACGCGATGGCAGGGGAGATATTAGAATGTCAAGGCGACCCAGAGAAGATGGACGCGTTAGCACGGTTTTATATGGACCATCTGATTCGGGTATGTAAGTCGGTTTCAAAGCTTCAGCCTTCCCTTCTCGCTATTACCAGTGCTCATTAACATTTTTCTGGGACTGGACGCCTCACTTATAATTTTGCCCTGCCAATGCCAACAGTCCGATCAGCCAGACCGACAACACCTCCACCCTCTCATGACGAGGACTCGTTCGAAGAACACAGCAGCTCAGCCTCCTTCGTCGCGCGTGCGGTCGAGTCTGAACCACGAGATCATCAAGCTGCTAAGAGATCCGTGAATTCTCTTCTTCTCTTTTCTTCACGACGTCCATACATTTACCCCTCTTTTCTTCACGACGCCCATACATTTACTCCTCTTTTCTTCACGGCCTCCGTCCATCCACTCACCCGATACCAATTCAATATTCACCCAATAATCACAAGGCCCTCGCACGCGACAATTACCGCTGCATGCTCACAGGCCATATCGATCCACTTCCCTACGCGGAATCGATTCGGACTCGCTCTAACCAAAACAACGAGTCCTACGCGGAATCGATTCGGAGCTCTAGCGAAAAAGAGTCCCACGCGGAATTGAGCTCTGCCGAAAAAGAGTCCAGCTTGAACTTGCCACTTGGCCACACTTACTACACCGCGTCGCAATGCAGAAAGACGCACTTTTGCTATATTATCCCACCTTTGACTCCTGGGCCTGGGCGGGAAGATGATGATGTCGTCGTCGTCGCTCGTGATCAGGATCAGGGATGGGACTGTGACTCATGACCAGGATGGAACTTTGACTCGTGATCAGGATGGGACTTCGACCCATGATCAAGATGGAACTGTGACTCCTAGTCACAGAAACATGGTACCGGTAGGCACTTCGTTAATAACTTTGCTCCTGCATTCCGATTTATCATTTAACAACAATCCATACATAGACTGCTTTTGCCGGACGCGCTTGGGCAGCGCTACAAAACTTCGCCGGTCCCATGATCATCGACGTTCTTGGAGAACTCGGGGGCGACAAGGTCCACCGTCTACAAAACGGGATGACGCTAGACGCCGGGATGCATGGTTTATTCGACGAGATGGTGTTCTGGTTTGAGGAATTTCAACGTCCAAATGTGAGTAAGTAAGCGTGTAACGGACTTGCTCTGCATTCTCAAGTTCTGATAAAATCTAAAATCGCTCAAGGCTCCCCCCAACTCCAATTCCTATATCACGACGGGCATATTAGGAAGCGGTGAAACGGTCACCTTCAATACGACTCGGACCACCTTCAATTCGACTCGGACTTCCACCCTACCTCTACCTGACCCTCGATACTTAAGGCTACACGCCGCCATATGCAGAGTGGCGCATCTATCCGGTGCAGCTGCGTACCTTGCCCGACTTGAAGCTTGAACGTTGAAGCTTGGACGTATTGGATGGTTGGAAGATGAAAGAGGTGCACTGGGTGTTGGAACTTGGCGCCGTGTGAGATGGTATGTATGTACGTTGGGACTCGGCGGGTTTGCTTAGGCATCGGTTGAATGATATCGACATGGATGATAGATAGGATGATAGGACTGGTAAAAAGGAATTGTAATACCTCGATAGATGGACAATGTGTTAATTAATAAAATACTATTTAGATGGCAATGAAGACTCAGTACTCAGTGCTCAGTGCTCAGTGCTCGAGCAATGAGCATCGACATATTGGATGTTCCCAGGTAAACGACGATTACTAGTAGGTATATAGTACTTATCACCCTATCGGGCCAGTGCCCAGTACTGCTCCGGGCGCTTCGATAGCCGCCCAGCAGTGAACGTTTGAACTCTTGGCTAGCCGGCTAGGAGCGGCTCAGGGTCGCGTAGTAGGTCCATTATCGCATCTCGTGATGACAGACAATGGCTAGGATTGTATCTTCGTACCTGTCCTCACTCATTGCTTACTTCTCCGAGAACAACAACGAATCGAGGAGGTCGTAGGCGCCGTGTGGATGTTTGGATCAACGAGGTCCACTATGCTCATGAACTTCTCCATTGTAAGTAGTTTGTGGTTCGAATGACGCATAGCACGCCACCACCACCATCTGCCAGACTATGTACATATACGAACAGGTAGGATCAGAGTTCGGGCCGTTCGGTTCGAATGTCTGTGTGTGTGTGAGATCCACGAGGTCGAGGTTACAAGTTGGCGATCGGCGGGTATGTCAGTGGTGCAATGGGGCTTCCTCAGTCGCCCCGTCCGCGTTGTTGAGACCGGAGAACTCGAGATCGTACCAGGCCCTGGCCCCGGCTTCCCACTCACTCGCACGACGCATCCCTCAAGGCTCATCCTCAAGGCTCACCTCGTGCGATTCTCGTCGTTCGCGCCGTCGAGCGCTTCGAGCGTTTCAAACTCGGGCTCGCTGAAGGCGACAAGTTACAACTCGAACGAACTTCTTGAATCTAGGATCTAGATCGAACTCGCTCACCAAAACCGAAACGGTACACTAGTATACCCCCACATGCAACTGGGGCGTCTCCTTCAATATCGATCGACGATCACGCGTGGTTCTGGCTGTTATTGGCTTTGGGTTTGGTTTGAGTCTAAGGCCTAAGGTCCGAGGGTTTCAAATTGTCATGGCCTTGAGTTAGTAACTACTAACGATAAGGGTACACTTTGCTTGTCAAAAGGGATCATCGATGGAAATTTTCAAAAAGGAAGAAACACAGTTTCGTGGTTCATTATATTTCAGTGCTAGGAGCTTCAAGTTACAAAGATTTAATAACACCTCGTAATTTGTCACTAGTGTCAGAGATGTTCATGATCAGCGGGCTATTTCTATTTGAGCGATGTGTATGAGCTTAGTGCTAGTAGGGCCCAATGCGAACGATGAGGTTCTCGTTGTCCCAGGCGGCGTTTGCACCCAAAGAGTGGCAGAGTGGGAGAAAAATGAAAAAGCGGTCAGTACACATACAACGTATCGCCAGAGGATGTTAACGATATGTATATACATACCTTCATCCAAATAATACATTATAAAAGGGGACGTGATGTATACCAGACAGTTATCAAGAACCCACTGGCCCCCCATAGCTACTTCGCGGCTATAAGGTTGTGAATGAATTTAGTATCGATGGTCAATGATACGTGATCAGCCACTCGACATAAAGCCGACGCTTACCAAGTAGACTGCGTACTCCACCCATTCCCACTCGTCCCATACCATGCCACGTCTTTACTGCCCGACGCAGAGTGGCAGAAGCGCGAGCCGGTAGTGGGGACATGGCACGTCGTCGACCCGAGCGCGTAGAGGTAATTGTAGCACCCCTGGGCTTTGGCAACGTCCAGCCGAGGGCTCCCTGAGTTGCACCACGGGGTGTAGCGTTTGACCAGCTTCTTTGGTTCGGCGTCGGCTGGATGGGAGTACAAGGAGTGGAGAGCGGAGGGCGGATTAACTTGTATCAGCACTTGGAGACGTAGTATCCGGCGTGTAATAGACAGCTGGACTCACCGAGCTCGGATTCTCCGAGGAACGTGGCCCTAAACTCCTCAGGCGACTTGCACAAATCAGCGGAAGTCAGGTTGAGGGAAGCCAAACTCGGGAGACCGGGTCCAGGGACGATCTCGGGGCACTCTGAAGTTTCAGCCGCCAGCGTTAGCGTTGGATCGTCGTCGACTTTCTGAACGTCAGCGTTAACGTCGGGTGTGGGAATTTGAGGGAGGGCGAGGGCCGCTGTGAGGACGAGGAATAGGGTGACGAAGGGACGCTTGATCATTCTGAATGGGTTATAAGGTGTAAAAAGCAAAGCGCGATTGGGAGGGATGTGAGGGGAAGAGGGCAGTTACGGGAATCGGTGGTTTCCCTGAGTCTACCAGACGCACATGGGGAGAGACTAAATATGTATGAGAGAAAGGTTGTGGGTGCTCTATGTCTCTTCTCAGGCAGTCTTGGTGTCGTCCTGAGACGTCCCCACTGTACCTTGATTGAAGAGGCACATGAGGTAGAGTGGGCGAGTAGTTTACCTCAGAAGCACACCTGGACCGCCTTTGTGTGTGCTTCTGAGACTGTGGACTGCCTGGGTGTAGATGTGGAGTCCCTTGTGTCGGGGGCTATTGTTGTTCGGACGGATGCGGATGCCATCCATCGGGATACGGAATACGACATAGTACATATTTACCAACATTGGCAACCTCAGATGATCGAAGAACACGGAATTACACCTCAACCTACGTGTACGCCGCACCTGCCTAGCCAAAAGACAATCAGTTCGATGAACACTGCCTCCGACGTGTTCGGCAGGTCGCGCGCCCTTCCAGAATCCAAAGTTGTGTGGGCGCTTGATTCTTGATTCGTGAATATTGAATAGCCGCCGGGCCGGCTTTCTTCCTCTGCTCTCCGGGAGGCGGCGATCGGGACTGTCAATTCAGAAGTCGGACGACGGAGTAGGTTCCCTGAATTCTGAACGTGACTCTGCGAGATTAATCCTAAGCTTGAAGTCTTGACGCCTCGGAGTAGTAGCACAGTAGTTATGGCCCCGGTGACATCAATAGAAATACATTTGAGAATGCAATACAACAAGGGAAACAACAGTTTACACGGGAAAACATGTACACGATCTCATATACACATAAACTTGAAGCATGATCCAATCCAATCCCTGAGCTCATCACACTCGTCACATATTTCCAATACTAACGATAAGGTTCTCGTTTCCCCAAGCCGCATTGGTACCTATCCCCAGATAACCGCGTTAATTCTAAACATAAGTAGGACTCTTCAGAAAAGATGGCTCACCTTCCGACAGGACATACCAGGTGTGGTCCCAACTATAGGTACGGCAATTATTCAGCACCCATACACCTCCATTCGCAACATCAGCACTGTTTCGGACAAGGTTCGAACCGCGTCAGTCCAATTATCCGTTATAATCTTCGACAAACGGCACGAGGAAGGGTAGTAGGCTCGTAGCACTCACCAACTCGACTGGGTGTAAGATACCCCATTCACATTCCCCCACCACGCAACGTCGTCTGACCCCGAGACCGAATGGCAGAACCGCGATCCACCGGACGGAACGGCGCACGTCGTGCTTCCGATGGAGTGCAGGTAGTCATAGCAGAACCAAGATTTGTAGAATGCCATGGTCGTGCTCCAGTTGCATGTAGGAGTGTACCGCCTCGTGAGTGAGGTCGAGTTCGCATCTCGGTTGGCTTCTAAAAAGCAAGTGTTTCTTTGGATTAGATGGTGGACGCGAAGTTGGATGTTGAAGGTGAACCCACCTTCGGCTTGTTTGAGAGCGTCGAGGCGCTCGAGTGTGCGCACGACGATGTCGCGCGAGGTAAGCCCGAGGGACTCGAGTGAGGGCAGGCCCTCGCCGGGCACGATCACGAGCTCGCCAGTCTCGGCAGCGCGTATAAGCTCATCAGCAGTGGGCGCTTGAGGTGCGCCCTCCACCGGCTGGGGAAGCCCTGCGACACGACCGACGACGCTGAGCACAACGACGAGGACGGCGAGGTGCACAGAAGAAAGAAATCGTGAGAACATTGTGAGTTGTTGGGTTGGATGGGGGTTCTGGGGAAGGTATACAAGCCAAATGCAGGGATTATAACATGGGGAGGGGGTTGTAGGCGCCTCTCACTCCCGTTGGGAACGACGTGCGGGGGTCGGGAACTATCTGGCAGACCCCATTGTTCCTCCTCTGGAGCAGAGCTCAGGAACAGGTACCCATAGATCACGGGAGGGCGATTCATATCCGTATCGCATCCCGAACTCGGCCCGACAAGGACTACATCTTCGTAGCTGCTCGATTCACCCAGTGACAATAGGTATGATATCCCTATCGGCCAAGTATCTAACGAAGTTGCGCATCTGGGAGCCTACGGCGACGAAAACAGCACGAAACCTGTACCTTCGAGTTCAAGTTTTGGGCCAGCAACCGTGACCTCAGATGCTTGAAACCTCATTCCGTTAAACTCGTACTTTGCGATCGTGCTGGAATTCGGATGAAATGCCCACATGCCGTGTCGGCTAAGCTCAATGCCTTTGAAAGCACACAAACTTTGAAAGGCCCCCGAAAGCATACCCACTATCCTTTCTAATACGTTCGATTAGAATTATTGTCGGAGCCGCGAGGCCGAGAAAGTGGCCTTGGGTTTTCAAACTTGCCATGTGCAGTTACAAGTGTGGGCGTCTGTTCGTAGGGTTGGGATTGAGCGCGACACTTTGTTCTGGCAGAACAGGGGTGTGCATAACTTGACTTGATCCGAGTCGGGCCAACTCTCAATCGGGAGATTCGTAGGTACTACGAGAGTAACTGGTGCACTGTAGGTCTAAGGAATACATAATGCTTCTCAGCACATTCAGCGACGTTAACGGTTGTACTTGTGAGGTGGGCACATGTGACCGATGGTTTACGAGACTTAAGCTAACTTGGACACCGTCCTTGTCTATATGCTTTCCTGAATTTCCTCAGATCTGAGGGAGCATCGACTTTGGATGTGCCAAAGTAAACGACGATTGGGTAGTTATCACCCGTTCGCATCGGGGTGGTGGGCGCTTCAATATAGCCGCCCAGAAGTGAACTCTTAAAACTTCATCCTTGCACCTGCCCTAACTCTATGCTGCTTCCCCAAGGACAATAACGAATTGGAGGTCGTAGGCGCAGTGTGGGTGGGATCAGTGATCACCGCCGCTGTGCTCAGACTTCTCCATTGTGATTGAATGATGCCTAGCACGCCACCATCCTGACTGTGTATGCGAACAGGTCGGATCAGGGCTGTGACGTTGGATTCGAACGACTTACGACGACTATGTGTAAGCTCCACGAGACCGAGCGAGACCTAAGTTGGTTTTGGCGATCGGTGGGTACCTGAGCTCTCCAGATATCTCGTGACTCGCACCCACCCAATGTCCCCAACCACTGACATTGACGAGAGTGTGGACTCTGGAAGCACCCACAACCTCGCTCCCGATGTTATAAATCCCACTCCTGCTACTGCTTGATCACCCAACGACTCACCAACTCGTTACAATGCTCTCCCTCAGGCATCTCCTCTCTTCTGTGCACTTGACTGTCGTACTAGCTGTGGTTATCATGGGCGTTATCAGCGGTGTAATGGGGATTCCTCAGCCCCCCTCGGAAGCTGCGCAGAGGCAGAAGGCCTCAGACCTAATCCGCGCTGCTGAAACTGGCGAACTCGAGATCGTACCAGGCCCCGGCCTCCCCTCACTCGCCTCCCTCAACCTCACCTCGCGCGATCTCGTCGTTCGCGCCCTCGAGCGCCTCGAGCGTTTCAAGCTCGAACTCGCTGAAGAAGACGACAACTCGAACGCGCTCACCAAGCGGTATAACCCCACCTGTGACTATTGGGGTGTCAGCCTCAATATCGATTACGCGTGGTTCTGCTACGAGTATTTGCACTCCATTGGGAGCACTACGTGCGCTGTTCCGTCTTGGGGATCGCGGTTTTGTCATACCGTCTCTGGGTCCGGCGACGTTGCGTGGTCGGGGAGTGTGAATGGGGTGTCCTACACCCAGTCAAGTTGGTGAGTACGCCTTTTACGTCCGAGATGGATCATCTGACATACCTTCATTGACAATCTTCGTGGGTAGTGCTGACGTTGCGAACGGAGGTGTATGGGTGCTCAATAACTGCCACTATTATATCATTGGTACCGCTGGATGGTATTATCAAATGCAAGGTGAGTTGCTTTTTCGACGATTCCGACTTCTTTGTCCACGAACTAACCATTCAACAGGGACCAATGCTGCATGGGGGAACGAGAACCTTATCGTTTCGGTTCATGAGATGTGATGGATTTCGCTGTAATTCAAGGGAGGGAATGGATGTCATTTCAATTGAAGTAGGGCGGTGCCATGGCCACAAAGGGATCGAAGGTTCAAGGAGGGGTGTGTGTTCTCATTTGTTGAAAGTTAAATTCATATGTAGTAGTGCTAGGCCTAGAATCAACCTGAATTTCGGAACGTTTGAGGTTTCAGAAAGTTTGAGCTGAGCGTCTAAACTTGCTCGTGGGATCCAAAATCCTTGCCTCGAAATTGCAGTCTTGACGGCATGGAGTAGCACCCATTGGCAGTGACTGAAGTTACGTCGATAGAGGTGCATTTGAGACAACTAGGGAGACACAATATAGACGGGACAACATATACTGTACATAAATGATAAGCGAATCTCGTTGCGAGCATGTATGTACATGTGTGAATGGTTTCATTCGAGTCGTAATTTCTAGAGGCCGGATGGTTACAAGTAATTCACTCGAGTTGGAACTTGGCTCGGAAGACGGGTTCCGGTCTAAGGCCTACATCGGTCCAATACGAACGATGAGGTTCGCGTTGCCCCAGGCTGCATTTGCACCTGCGCAGTAGAAGTTGCGAGAGGTAAGTGTGAGTTCAATTCCAGGTGCTAATATTGGAAAATAGAATGGACCGGGCATACCTTCGTATAGGAAGTGGTAACCACCGGGTACGTATCCCTGGCAGTTGTCGAGGACCCATTCGCCTCCTCTTGCTACATCACGGCTACGAAAAGCAGTCGAAAATCAGTTGTAGTTTCGTTTCGTCTCAGGATTCTGGAAAAACGATCAGCACTAACCAAGTAGAGCTCGTACTAGCACCGTTCGCGCTCCCGCCATACCAGGCTACGTTCCCAGTCTGGGCTGAAGAATGGCAGAAGCGTGACCCGGAGGAAGGGACGTGGCAGGTGGTGGAGCCGAGGGCGTAGAGGTAGTTGTAGCATCCTTGGGCGTAGGTGAAGACGAGGGGGGTGGTGTTGCACCAGGGTGTGTAGCGTTTGACGAGCCTGGTGCTCGATGACGACGAGGAGTCGGCTGGAGTGGGTGAGAATAGGGATTAATACTGTGAATACGGACACTTGGAAGAGAAGCGAAGAAACTTGAAAGGAAGAATGATGCCCGACGAACCTTCCACTGATTCGAACCTTGAGTTGAACGAAGCGATGAATTCTTGAGGTGGCTTGCAAAGATCGGCGGATGTGAGGTTTAGGGATGCGAGGCTGGGGAGACCTGGTCCTGGGATGATCTCGGGGCACTCTGATGCGCTTTGGACGAGCTTTGCGATTTCAAGTTGAGTGTCTGTGTTGGTGGGGGCGGCTTTCTGAGGCAGGGCGAGCGCCGCTTTGAGGACGAGTGCGATGGTGAGAGTGAGTCTGAGGGAGGGGAGAGAGGGGAGCATGGTGAACGGCGAACGCTGGAGGAGCAATTCGAGGCGATATGGAAGGGTGCTTTGGAAGCGATGAGAGAGTGGGTTGAGTGCGTTAGTGGTAGTACTACTACAGAGGTCGAATTTATACGACCGAGGGCGCTGTGGGTACACTGTTTGCATTCCGGATTTTAGAGGTTTTGCTCATGGGGTGCGCCTACCTACCTACTGTACCTGGACGAGGTGGACACATGAGAACGGCGTTTTACGATATCGTTTGGCTCCACTTTGCTAAGAAGCGCCTCTTTGGACTGAGCCTGAATCCCGTCACCTCCCTTCCGCTGAACTGGAGGACGGTGGGTGACATCACATGTGCAAGTGTACTGCCGGAGTAGTATAGTAGTGAATAGTGATTAATTGATTGTCCGTTCAGCGGTTTGCGTATGTACCTAGATGGATAAAGGTCACTCGCGAGGATCGGCATTTTAGGTGTTTCACCCCGTATCGGGGGATTAGCACCTTGGAAGGAGGGTGTCTAGTAGCCTAACGACAATTAGGATCAGGTAACGGCAACTAACTTTCTAGGCGCTTTGGCTCAGTTAGACGAATGGCGCTAGGCAATATGTATCTCCATTTGTGTTGCTGTCGTTGCGGGCGCTTGGGTAAGTAGCCGTCGACCTAGACTAAGTCTCCGAAGGAGAGAGAGATTCTGTTTTTTTCTACAGAGGGAATTGGTATATTTTGAACGGGCCCCTGTGAGTACCGTGTATACGATATCTGTGATCGGGCAGCGTCGTGAGCCTACTGTACCTACTCGAGGCGCACGTCTGGATTGCATTGTTGTCGCCTTTCAGTGGGCGTCGCGTTTGCCCTTGAACAGGTGTCGAATCCCACGTGCAAGCGGGTATCATCCATAAACGCCAGAGAACACTCGCGACCATCGGGATCCGGCATACCAAATTCTATTAGTTAGCGGAGACGGAGAGCTGAAGAGCACAGATAAGTATATAGTAGTTGAAGAAGACGGATTCGCACAGGCGCACCTGCTGAGACTAAAAGACAATTAGGTTCCGTTGGATTCGTTGAGAGTCGGACTCGTTACTATGTATGTATCTCCGTTTGGACCGGATTACGATGGTTGTGAACGATCAGCGGTGCGGGCGCTTGGATAGACGCCGAGAGAAGTCTCACGTTGGTAGGTTGATAGGTGGCTGGGAAACTACGTGGTGTACTCGTGACCTGACTCGTGAGGGGGTCAGGTGCTATCTTCTAAATTCTGAACTCGATGAACTTGGGTTTGCTTGGATGATATACTATAGTGGTTGATTGAGAGGTCGGCGATCTTCGGACAGGCTGAGACCACCTGGACATCGAGAGAAATACAACTCGTGTTAGGGTACAGTAGCCAAGAGGTTGGTGCTGGGCTGAATAAGTATCCTTTGTCTGGGACCTCAGATTGGGTATTAGTATATTTACTAGCTAATATTACGTCTCCGCCGGGGCGAAGAGATTCAGTTCGCGTCATATTAGGCGTCGAGAAGTGACTGCATACTCCGGGTCTGGATCAATGTCTGGCCTGAGCTAGATTTGAGCCCACAGTGACGTGCGCCATACGTTTGGAACCTTGAAAGTTGAGGCTACTAAGTATTGATCCATGGGAGCATAAAAAGACGCCGTATTGTGTACAACATGACAAGTTACATCACCATGGAGGATATGGGCGGCAATTTTGGCGCCCACAACCTAATGTATTACGGTAAGGCTGTTTCTGATAAGAAGTTTACATTGTTGTCAGGCACATCATCCCTTTGAAACCTTCTTTCAAGACTTAGTATGGGCCAATTCGAACGGCCAAATTTCCATTATTCCAAGCGGCGTTGGCACCTGTGAGTCACAGGTAGTAAGCGCGTCGGCTGCCAAATACTGAGACCATTTACGAACCTTCCCACAGGAAAACTAAATCTGCCAAGATCTCTGCGCAGTGTTCGAGGACCCAATTCCCTCCCGCAGCTACCTCCTGGCTATTGATGCGATAGTAAATATTTGGGACAGTCCCAAGTCGTGGAGGAACCCTCACCAAGTGGATTGTGTCGTATGCCCATTGACGCTTGTCCCGTACCAAGCGACGTCGTCAGTGCCTGTATTAGAATGGCAGAATCTACTCCCAGACGGCGGCACAACGCAAGGCGTGTTTCCCAAGTACCATAGGTAGTTATAGCACGACGTTGCTTTCCAATACGAGACTACTGTTGAGCCGCTGCACCATGGCGTGTAGCGCTTCATGAGTGAGGGTTGTTCAATGTCGGCTGTGTCAGGCGCGAAAACAGCAAAGTCAGCCCAAGCACGGTCTGGAGAGTGTAAGGAGGTGGGACGAACGTAATCCATGAGCCTTTTGGAACTCTTCAGGGCTCTTGCACAGGTCGGCTGAGGTGAGGTTAAGGGATTTGAGACTGGGGAGGCCTGGACCTGGAATAATCTCTGGACAGTCTCCGGGAGCGAGATCGATAGCTTCAGCACTCGGAGCAGTGCTCTGAGGGAGTGCCAATGAAGCAGTGACCACGACCAAGAGGTGGAGCACACGGCGAGACATGTTAGCTTGACGAAGAGCTAGGGAATCAATCGAACGTATCTTGCTGTTTTATAGCACCAGTCGACTCGTAGCGCTTGGTGCCGTACCGTACCTTTCTCCGATCACAGCCGGCTTACTCAGTAGCCCCTGCCTCTATATCTTTCCCTTTGGGATGAATTGTGTGAGAGTAATTTCCTTCTATTCTTCGAAATGTAGCCCATTTGCCAGCATACCTCCAAATCCGACCAGATCTCCAGCGGTCATCGCGGGGAAGGGGATCATCGTCGAATCCACTTTACGAAATGCAGCGCACACATGTCTTCCCGTATCGTTGTGCGTACCTTGACGAAAGGCATATGTAGGCGCACTGTTTGTATCCTTGAGTAGCTGAAAGTCTCTAAGTGTGCATACGTGTGTCAGCCTCGTCCAAATCTCAACGGTCATTCGCGTTACTCCGAGTCGGCTGTGGGTACTACAATGTAGGTACAGTGTGGCAGGTGTCACCGTACAAGATACATGAGGCTTCCACCGATTCAATGTACATGACTCGAGATGTATAATGTCACCGAATCACGTCGTTCCAGTCCTTGAATATTGCAAGTCCTCACTACGATCAAAGCTGTGTGCGTTATTCAGCCATGAGGCACAGGCGAAATGCCATTAGTTATGGAGGTCCCAGCTGAAGTTCATTTCCGAAAACATCACGAGGGTCTTCAACTTGATAGACTGGTGATTTTAGCGCTGCTTTGATGAGTACACGACCGAACTCACTCACCTCGTTCAAACTTCCAGCATTTACCAGGAATCCGGCGAGGGTCCAAATGGATTACTGTCCCCGGTGCCGGGCTATCCCCACAAAGATCCATATTCTTCTCGGTGAATGGGACAAAAAGCCTTGGGACGGGGCTTGTCAATCAAGGCTCTGAGCTGCTCATCGCTACCAGTCGAAGCTTACCTGTACCCATCTGTTACTCCAACGTCAGGGACGACGTTCCAGAGAAAAGGCTCATCGCAACCGATGACTCGAGTCTCGTGTTTCGCTTCTTCGTGCTTTCGTATACCGAGGTACTTCCCATTGAAGACATTCTTGAAGTAGTAGAGGTACGACCTCATGGAGCCCTCATAGGGGATCGGTTCCCACTTGAATTGGGGTGATGTTAGTATCGCGACTACCATGAATGCGCTCGAGCGGGGCAGAAATCACTCACGAGTTGGTTCCTTCCCTCGTTGTAACAGAAGCCTGAAACTAAGAAATGAAGTGTAAAGTGTCAGCCCGTGGACATATCGAAAGGGCAGATGGCGTGTACCGTTTCCGTTGTTCTCCAGATGGGCAAGGGTTGAGGTCTGGATGTTAATTATCTTGTACATCTCCCGAGGTATACAGGGAGGACAAGGGGCGACGTCTATCCGGGTCGGCACGTATTCGTCAGATAAAGCATAAAGCTAGTCTGTCGAGCATTCATGACGTACTGGTGTCGAGTCTCAACTTTTGCCAAATGTGCGAGTCCCTGTCGGCAAGCTGAACCTGCATCTTGCCGGGGAAGTTCCCATGCTCATCCTCTGCCATCGCTTTCTCAGTGTTCGGTACCACGAGCCTTCAAATTGCATGATGAGACTCCATATTAGTAGAGACGTTAGAGTAGAACAAATGAATCTGACCACAAGTGACCATCCTGGTCGGAATGTGGGCGCATCTCCCAAACGAATGGAAATGGCGTTCCTGTGAGGGGAGTACCACCCCAGGCCCTAGTTTCAGGATCGATGCCCAGATAGTAACCCGTTGCCAAGTTCCTGAATCGCCAAAACCCGCTCGACGCCTTTGTGGCCGTCCACTGTACCATAGCGCCATTTCATGATGAACTTCTAGTGAAAATCATCAGCTGCAGACGCGCACCTGCTGGGACTTTGTTCCGACAAAATCGTTGACGACTGGCGTTCAATGTGGTAAGCACACATGATAAATTGGCAGGGAGTGGTACGCACCAATTCTATGAGTGCGTTCGTCCGACTCGAGGACTCCGCTGGTCCGATAGGAAGAAAAGTTAGGTATAATGTAGGTAAGTTACCGTGCGGCCCACCCAAACCATATAGGGCGAACTTACGCTACTTTATTCCCACGGTGAGGACCTTAACTTACGACGAACTTGTGAACTTAGGTTAACTTGGGGAGATTGTGATTAACGGTACGGTTTATGAGTCCCAGAGAAACAGGAGAGATATAGGTGAGGTAGCACTGATATGTAGTGGTAGCGTGTATAGCCTATATGTGAAGTTTAGACACTCGGCCTTCTTGGTAAGGGTGAAGGGGAGCAAAGTCGTGACTGTGAATCCCGAGAGGGGAACGGACGGCATAGCCACATAGGTAAGGGTGTCCTACAAAGCAATTACAGATCTAGTGCCAAAGGGAAAGATGAATGATCACCGAGGTCTGGCAAAAGTGGGTATTCACAGGCCTTGCTCGATATAGTAGTGAATATTGACCTGCCCTAAAGTGATAAGCGCCCACACGGCTCATCAACCTCACGTCCCATACCTTTATTCTATCGTTGTTCCTTGTGCCTATAGGTCATGTAAGCACTTTATTTGAGGACCCAATACATACATTAATACACTCAAATGTCTCTTTGGAGCAAATCCTTTCAGGAACTTCCTTCATAATTCACTCTGTTATACGTTATACGGAAGGTTCCATGTTCCCTCTCCGCCTTGGACACTATATTCCAGGTTTATATTACACCGGTGATTTAAAATTAATGTACGTATTCATGAACAAACATTATTACTACACATGTCGGACGCTGGTAGCTTCTAGCAAAGCAGCAAAAACTTGTTAAGGCTCGTGAAAAAGGGTTATCGATGAACGACGACCAGATTCCGCCTCCCGAAAAAACCGATGCTCTCAGCCACATGCAGACGGAAGCAAAACGACGGGTTTCCTAATCGGTATATTGGCGGGTCATTGTGCAGCCTACGGTACATGCGACGATATCTAAATGACAACTGTACATGCAGTTAGTCGAAGTGAAAGGTTGTGGAATGAGTCCTTGCTCGTACCTTATCCCACTGTTCCAAACGACCCTTGCTACTACGCCAGCTCATCAAACATCGCATACAGGCCCCTGTGTCTTTTGAGGTCGAAAATACCGTCCCTGTCTGAATGATCGAAGACCAGTGTCATGGTGGAAGCCAGGAACCAGGTAAGGTGCTCGCTCGGTGGTTCAGCTACGGCCTAATACGTAAGCTGTCCTTCTATATATGGTATGACCACCGTATAAGGGCGGCCGAACTCTCACCGGGCTCTCAGCTATCTCTCTAAACATACCACAAGTTTCGGCAAGTTCGTACCTTACTTTTTCTGTGCCCCACCAACTTACCATCACTTTACGGTACCGTATGTATGGGCCCAGTAGGGTAAGTTACCTTAAGGGACGATACGTCGCGCCGTCGATGAGGAGACCGTCTGCCATCTTGATAGTAGAGAGGATGGATCGTGGATAACGAGGGAAGACACGACCCAGTGCTCGAGGGCACTGATTCGTATCGATCGATACTAGTTGTGGCGTGTTTGGTGCTGTAATGTCACACGAAACAGAAATAGACGCCCAAGGAAGCAGCGCCAAATGGCAGCAAACACCGGGGGCTTAAAAGCAACGTTGCTGGGTGGACCTGGGATCGTGCACGGTGATTGGGAAGTGCACCTTCGTATTGAGCCGTTACACAGGCGCCTATTCTACCTGGCTTCCTAAAAGGCAACTATATTTGGGACCCAATTTGGAGGCTGCCGGAGGGGGACTACCTTTCATTCAAATGGGTCTTGGATCTCTAGATTTTGCGGTTGGTCGTACCCCAGTCGACTCGGGTATGTTGAGTAGCTCCTGAATTGCAATGCCTTCAAAGTCTACTTCTTACCCATCGCCTGCGAAGGTGTGATAGCGTGGAGGAAAGACAGTGGCGGCCAGTCCAGTTAATAGTGCACGACGTACCTGAACTGGCTTTCGGACCACGAAGTTCGAACGACGAAGGGGCCACCAATTGAACACAAAATCAACGGGGAATGAGATTAGTAAGGGGAATATCAAGAAACATATGCCCAGGTCGTATCAGGAATTAATACCGCTCATAGTGAAGGGTCTGAACCAGCTCGGGAAATCATCGCACCCCAAATCGTCATCGACCGCACAGGGAGGTTTCCCTTCGATCCAAATCCGAAATTCCGAGTGTCCTTTCAGTCGGGAAAGACGTCGCAGGCCCTCCAGAAACGCTAGATTCTCCTCTGATGCCGCCCTCTGGTCCTGAATACAGACCGAGGAGAGAAATACCTCCGCTCCTCCAACCGCGTCTGGCCCAGGGGTACGAGGAGGTTCGTCCGTCGGTAACCTCGATTTGCACATGCTGATAAGATCTGGGATGTAGGGTTCCAGACTGGCACTCGAAGACGCAAATTTGGCCGCAGTGCCGATCTTGAATGTGGTGAGGTTGGGTAGGAGGCATGGCGTAGCTGCATCGACCTGTACTCCGCTCTCGTCGCTACCCGTCCCACCGTGCAACCCTCCGGCTTTGTCGCTATTCCGTGACATCGCTCGGAGGAGAGAAACCAAACCAATACCCAACGCCGTCTCATTTGGCGATGGAAAGCCGAGCGTGAGTTCCAAAGTCTGAAGGGTCGTAAGAGTGCTGAGGACGTCGACCAGGGAATCGGTGTTTTCTTTATGGGGAATAAGGTTGGCGACGACGAGGCGCTGGAGTCGCTGTGGGTTACATCCGGAGTTCTGAATCCACTTCCCAATCAGTGAAGAAGTTGTGAGGGCCACGAAGATTTGGTTAGATCGGTGGTTCCAGAGGTTGATGGTCAGATCGGCTTCGAGGTCGACCAAGGATGGGCATTGGATGGGCCCGCTTCCTCCGTTGTACTGTGGAAGCAGGAACTCGCTGCCGATCCGGATACGTGTGAGCTTCTCGAGGTGTACTCGAGGCCAGATCGAATCCATGTCTCCGATCCCTTCTTCATCGGCCCATGATACTCCCCAACGCTTCCCAGATACTTCCTCGACGATAAGGCATTCTAGCTGTGGAGTGTTGCTGAGATATTCCATGAGGAGAGGTACGACGATCGGTCCAGTGACGTGTAAGTGCGAGAGCTGCGAGAGGAATGGAGTCCACGGTGGGAGGTTTATCTTGATGGAGAGGAGACCATTCAAGATCAACCGGTTGAGGTTAGGGACCTGCCAGTTCTTGACCCTCTCCGTGTGTTCCTCAAACGTGTGCGAAATGGACAATCCGTTATCCGTAATGGCGAGAGTTCTAAGCGCAGGGAGGTCGCCAGGGAGGAGGGACGATTTGAGCAACCAGCCAAAGTCCATGGAATGCAGGTGGACACTCGTCCAGCGAGCGAATGATGGTCCAAGGATAGGGCAGGCTATGGCGCCGAGTGCTTCTCTGTCTGCCTCCATCTCGAGCTCTGAGAAGGCCACGTCCAGGGGGGACGCTTGTCCGCAGGCCAAGTGATGCGAAAGCATCGGTCTCACCTGGTCGAGCGACCGCATTCGATGGTTGCTACGCGTAGCGTTGATACTGAGGGTCGACCAGAGTTGAGGGGTATTCCAGATAAGGTCCTTCCATTGCCGACAAACCATGGCGAGCATGAACTTCGCGGAACGGCTGGGAGGGGTAGTGTCGATGAAGGCATCGGTTTCCGATTCCAGGAGAGAGAATATTTGAATCAAGACTTCGTTCGGGAAGTCGGACAGTGTCCTAGAGAAGAAATTATCGTAAGCGCCGGAAGAGTGTTAACAACTGAGTAAATTGGATCAAGAATGTGACGCACAATTGAGCATTGCCTGTTAAAGGTCGGCCTGATGATGGGTTGGTCGATGTCATCTCAGCGAAGGTTCAGCTGATAGTCCAACGTTGAAGAGCACACCCTTTAGGCCTTTGTATTGAGGATTCTGTTGAATACTTGAACTGACCTTGATGGTGCTATGGAGAAAGCTGTCCATTACTAAGAGCCGCTGAGTGGTTATCGCATCGGCTGAGTTGAATCTGATTCACTTTCCGACGCTTTGCCGTCGGCATCGTCATGCTCTCAGGCATCTTGCGCGCCTATTTTGCATGTATTGAAACCGTGTCACGGTACCCGGTACCCTCACGTGACCAGCTATCGCCTGAAATCGACGGTCTTTTCGACGATTTGGGAAGTGGGAGGTCTTTTGAAGAGCAGAGGTCCAAGCTCGAGCGGATTTGGCAGGCGGTTTGGCGCCGAGCGATGCCGGCGTCCATTTCGGGCAGCGAAGTGCCCGTTTTGGTCGTTTTTGATGCGGAGCTTGAATTGGAACATTTGAACTTCACATCTCTCCCTTGCTCTCGATGGCGCTCGGTGCGTCTGTACATGAATTTCACGATTGATTAAGACGCAGATAGATTCTATCTGTACTATTAACTTATAAATGGGCTCCCATCCCATGTGTAGGAGCAATAATCAACCACCCAGGGCTCCATTGGCCAGAATTTCGGGTTGAACTGGGAAGAGACATAGGATAGATGAGCAATTCACAGGATGAGAGCATAAGAAGCACTTAGATAACGCTTAAATGAGCCTTGTTTGACTCCGAGAGAGCGGTAGATGGTCTGGAGGTGGACAGAACATGAATTTTCGCACCTGACTTAAGATTAATAGGGGCTAGTTTACTACATTGACCAAATCAGCCGTTTTTCGCTTCGGTGGGTATCAGGGTGGTGGAATGACAGCGGGAACCACGCCAAGGGTTCCCATTATACCGTATAATGTTACTGTGTACCGGTACCCCGCCCAAAAAGTGAGGGTACCCGGGGGTACCCCGGCTAGTGGTGAGTATGCCTTATATCCTATATGTCTCACATAGGCCGGATTCCCAGGCGCGCTATTGGGCGCTTGCTAAGCGCCAGACCACACCTTCAAACTGCACCGTGCCCTGTGTAAGGGAAAATCCGACGGAGGTCTGCTTCTCGAACCGTATCTTTATTCTCAAATGGAGAGGTGAAATGGAGAATTTCTAACACCTGCGTACTTCAAGTTGGGCCGACTCGCCGGGAGTTCGTTGAACAAGCCAAACGCGCCCGGCCATGGTCTTCAAGGGGCGTGAAGGGTTTCGCATTCTGGAGGCCCTGGGCATGTAGTATCTATGGAATGAAACATTTTGTGCGCTATCAAAGTCGGTGATATGCTACAAAATACGCCGCTCTAAAAGAGAGGTACTTTGAAGCGGCTACCTAACCGCAACGGATGTTCGCGGTCAGTTCCAAGCAGAGGCAGCAGAATTAGATATACGTGGAAGGCAGAGTAATGCCCAAGTAGCCCACCTCAGTACCATTCGTCCGCTTGCCATTCGTCTTCGCAGCCCTTCCTAGTACAGGGTTCCGAGAGGCCAAAGTCGATAAGGGTGAGCTTTCCGCTCGAATCTTGGACGACGTTCCGCCGATGGAGGTCGTGGTGGTGGATATCTAGATCGTGTATCGCCTTTACAACCGGGTAAAGAGTGGCTCTTGCGTATATCGATCATCGATTAGATTCTGCGGGCGCCCAAAATGTGAATTCACGTACTTCTGTTCTTCGGTGGGACCTTCGCGGAGTCTCTCGCCTTCGTATGACAGCACGAGGCATGGACGGGCATTCATGGTGCCAGTGGCGTACAGAACGGGAATTCCCTTCCCTTGGAGCTTCTCCAGACGTTGATAAGAGAGTAGTTCTTTCGCGTACGACGATTCCTCGCCGAAGACTTTGATGACCAATCTGATACCCCAGCGAGAATGTACGTAGACAATGTTCTCATGAGACTCGTAGACGGAGGACGCTTCTGGCAGTTCAAGCCCAAGAGAGAGCCAGCTGAGGGATAGATAAAGGAATGAGTAACGAGCAAAGTTAGAGTGGACAGGATACAGACCTTGAATTGAGTAAGACTGTATTACACCATATCGGTTTCAGGCTGTTGATCGGACGGAACCACTGCAGCCTTTGAGCCAGTAGCAGCAGCGGGAGAGAGAGCACCATCTGAACGTAGCAGAGGCAAATCGAGAAAATGTTGGACACGACCTCGAGAAACGTAACCTCAAGCGCCTCACCGGCAGCCGCGTAAAGCTCATCGATCTGCTTCTGCTGTTCAGGGAAACGGCTGCCAATCTCTTTGGCAGCGTCCTCATCGTGCTGGCAGACCATCGCCAGAGTGAAGGCGGCGAGTCTGTCGATGTAATCAAGCCAGTTACGAACGTCTCGCACAGCGTCGGGGACTGTAATGGACGTCAGGACATTGAACGAGTCGTGATTTGGGATAAGAATAAACTGAACTCACAGCTGCCAGAGACGTTTATTACGTCGGACCCGATTGCGAAGCGAAGACTCCCATCGGACGCTATGGGGGTCAAGTGTCCTGGGGCGACGGAGAGCGCATGCAGGACGAAGGGCTTTTTCGGAGAAAGACCTTTAAGATACTTCCCTTGTTTTCCGACCTATTTGTACAGTGAGCATTAGCATGATTGTCATCATCTACCGTAGGCATATTCACCTGGTCATGAATCTCCTTAGCTTTCTTGTCCATGCTGGATGACTTATCGGTGCGAAACGACGTGATATTTGAGTCATTGCAGCACATCGGAGTTTTCATCTCGACAGCAGTGACCAGACATCGTTTGTGATACAACACAACATCCAACTCGAGTGTTTTGTTGAGTTCGTATCTCTGCGACCTGTTCGGTTGAATTAACCACTGTGTGGCCCCTGCAGCAAGGGAAAAGATTGAAACAATGGTGTTCATGAGCGGCGTCATTATGAGGAGTGTAAACGTCTGCTCGTCGTAGTTGTCGATGATCATGTTCGAATAAGATTCGAGAGAACGAATTGTGACGGTAGTGTTAAGGACCTTCGGCGTCAGGTGCAGGTTAGGAGACTTGAACCGTCGAGAGTTGTAAGAGCGTGTTTGGTGGTGACTAGAAGGAGTGGTAGGGTTGCTTTCCTCTAGCTGTGGCTCAGGAAGATGAGACACGATGGTATTGGCCAGCCAGTGCAGGATGTCCCCGATTTTGACTGGAGGTGGCGAGTAAATGTCAGGAATATCGGTTGGAATAAATTCATGGATGGGTGAAGTTGTCTGGGGAGGTGCGGGAGCCGGAGAGGTGTTCTCGGGGATCGAGTCAGACGCTACGGGAATACTCGACATGGCTCTGGTCAAGAGAAAACCGACATCAACTGGGCAACACGCTCCAGGATGTTTGGCTAACCAAGGTAAGCCAAACATTGCAGCGCCCGGAATTGGAATCCACCTCCGTGCTACCTCTTCGAAGATGCCAATGGCAACTCGATCCTGTATCAGATTGACTATCTTGTTTTGATTCAGCCAGCACTCATGTGGGGTTGCAACTCTGAGACTGAGCCAACGTTCGGATGCTGTGACTTCTAACTATCTAAGCCTTCTAATTGCATTTCCAGATGCTACTTTTAACCTTCTATCTAACCGTAGTTGATCACCGTGGTCCTACGCAGTTCCAAAAAGAGACGGGTAGAGTCCAGTGGACGTCAATACCACTCGTCCGCCTGCCACTCGTCTTCGCAGCCATCCCTAGTGCAAGGTTCCGAGAGACCAAAATCGATTAGGGTGAGCTTTCCGCTGGTGTTTTGAACGACGTTCCGCCGATGGAGGTCGTGGTGGTGGATATCTAGATCGTGCATCGCCTTTACAACCGGGTAAAGAGTGGCTCTTGCGTATATCGATCATCGATTAGATTCTGCGGGCGCCCAAAATGTGAATTCACGTACTTCTGTTCTTCGGTGGGACCTTCGCGGAGTCTCTCGCCTTCGTATGACAGCACGAGGCATGGACGGGCATTCATGGTGCCAGTGGCGTACAGAACGGGAATTCCCTTCCCTTGGAGCTTCTCCAGACGTTGATAAGAGAGTAGTTCTTTCGCGTACGACGATTCCTCGCCGAAGACTTTGATGACCAATCTGATACCCCAGCGAGAATGTACGTAGACAATGTTCTCATGAGACTCGTAGACGGAGGACGCTTCTGGCAGTTCAAGCCCAAGAGAGAGCCAGCTGAGGGATAGATAAAGGAATGAGTAACGAGCAAAGTTAGAGTGGACAGGATACAGACCTTGAATTGAGAGAAACCGTATTACATCGCATCGGCTTGAGGCTGCTGATCGGACGGAACCACTGCAGTCTCTGAGCCAGTAGCAGCAGCGGGAGAGAGAGCACCATCTGAACGTAGCAGAGGCAAATCGAGAAAATGTTGGACACGACCTCGAGAAACGTAACCTCAAGCGCCTCACCGGCAGCCGCGTAAAGTTCATCAATCTGCTTCTGCTGTTCCGGGAAACGGCTACCAATCTCTTTGGCAGCGTCCTCGTCGTGATGGCAGACCATCGCCAGAGTGAAGGCGGCGAGTCTGTCGATGTAATCAAGCCAGTTACGAACGTCTCGCACGGCGTCGGGGACTAGTGAAGATGTCAAGACGCTGAGCGAATGGTAAGATCAAACTGCACTCACAGTTCCCAGAGACGTCCATTACGTCGGACCCCTTCGCAAAGCGACGACTTCCGTTTGACGCTAGAGGGATCAAGTGTCCTGGAGCGACGGAAAGTGCATGCAGGACGAAGGGTTTCATAGGAGAGAAACTTTTAAGATACTTCCCTTGCTTTCCAACCTATTTGTACAGAGTGGTCATTATTAACTTAATTGTCGTCGTCCACCAGCCACTATACTGACGTGATCACAAATCTCTTTAGCTTTCTTGTGCATGTTGGATGGCTTATCAGAGCGAAACGATTTGATATTCGGATCATTGCAAGACCTTGGCGTCTTCATCTCGACGGCAGTGACCAGGCCTCCTTTGTGATACAGGACAACGTCGAGCTCCAGCGTTTTGCCAGGTTCGTACTCCTCCAAAGTCCCCGTCTCGATTTGCCAGCGCGCAAAGCCCGCGACGGCGGAAAAGATTGCAACCATGGTGCCAACTAATGGTGCCACTATGCGTGTTGTGAATCTCCCCTCATCGTACCCGTCGATGAGCCTGTCTTGGAATTGTCTGGATAGATCGAGAGTATGAATTGTGATGGGAGCGGCAAGCAGCTCCGGCGTCAGGTGCAGAGGAGGGGATTGGAATTCTACAAAGCTGTAAGGGCGAGCGTGGTGGTGGCTCGAAGGGGTAGTAGGGTTATTTTTCTCTGGTTTTGGGTCAGGAAGACGCGACACGATGGTATTGGCCAACCAGTGGAGGAGGTCGCCAATTCTGACTGGATGCGATGAGGAAATGTCAGGAATGTCGTTTGGAGCAAAATCGTGGATGGGAGGGCGTTTATGGGGAGGTGGAAACACCGGATCGTGCTCGGGGATTGAGTCAGAGACTACGCGAAGAGCATTCGACATGGTGGTCAACGGTAAACCTACACACCCCACATCACGACTTTGTGATGCATTGATGTTTGGTTTACCATGGTTAGCCAAACATAACTGCACGAGTTCCCAGCACAGGTTGGATGGTACCTCTTGTCGCTCAAAAGATCGAGATAACCTACTTGTCTTACTATGTGGGACCTTTGAAGAGTCTCTGAGATTAGCCCTCTCACGACTCGATCCTCAGATTGACTATGGCGTCTTGATTCACGGCCGCTTAGGTGTCACGCGCCAGTACTAAGAACGTTATCATTCCAATTTCCATGATTCAATCATAACAGAGTAACTAAAGCGTATCCCCAGTCATTCATCTGGTAACCACTCATCGACGCAGCCCTCCCTAGTACACCGTTCCGAGAGGCCAAAGTCGATAAGGGTGAGCTTTCCGCTTTGGTTTCGAACGACATTTCGACGATGGAGGTCGTGATGGTGGACATCGATGTTATGCATGGCCTGTAATACCGGGTAGAGGCTGACTCTGTGGAACTTCATATTAGATTCTGTGGGCTCCGAAGAAGTGTATGCACGCACTTCTCTTCTTCCGTAGGACCTGTTCGGAGTCTCTCGCCTTCGAATGACAGCACAAGGCATGGGCGTGCATTCAGGGTGCCAGTGGCGTAGAGAACGGGAATTCCTTTCCCTTGTTGCTTTTCCAAACGAGTATAGCACAGAAGCTCTTTCGCGTACGACGATTGCTCGCCAAAGACTTTGATAACTAATCTGATACCCCAGCGAGAATGTACATAAACGATATTCTCATATGATTCATAGACAGAGCACGCATCAGGCAGTTTCAGGCCAAGGGAGAGCCAGCTACCGGAAAGAGGAGGGGATCAGTCACAGGAATGTTGGAGCCAGCGGGTTACAGACCTTGAATTGAGTGAAACCATATTACAACGCATCGGCTTCAGGCTGTTGATTGGACGGAACCACTGCAGCCTTTGAGCCAGTAGCAGCAGTGGGAGGGAGAGCGTCAACTGAACATAACAGAGGCAAGTCGAGATAACGTTGAACAAGGCCTCGAAAAATGTAAGTTCAAGCGCCTTGCTGGCAGCCTTATGAAGCTCGTCGATCTGCTTCTTCTGCTCCGGGAAACGGCTGCCAACCCCTTTGGCAGTGTTCCTATCGTGATGACAGACGATCGCCAGAGTGAAGGCGGCGAGTTTGTCTATGTATTCAACCCAGTTCTTCGCATCTCGTACGACCTCGGGGACTATTGTGGACGTCAAGATGTTGAACGACGAGAACATACTGCACTCACAGCTCCCTGAGACGCTTACTACGTCTGTTCCAACCGCAAAACACCTGCTTCCGCTTGAAGCTAGAGGGATCAAGTGCGCTGGAGCGACTGACAACCCATGGAGGACATAGCCCTTCTCCGGGTGTAGTCCTTTGAGGTATTTCCCTTGTTTTCCGACCTGCTTGGCCAACGGTGGTCAGTTTGACGCCCTCGTCTACGCCCCAACACACTTACCTGGTCGTGAATTTGCCTGGCTGTCTTATCCATGCTAGCTGGTTTAACGAGGGGAAAGGAATCGATGTTCGAGTCGTTGCACGATCGCGGGGTCTTCATCTCTATGGCAGTTACCACGCCGTCTTTATTCTGTAGGAGAGTGTCCAGCTCTAGCTTATTGCCGCTGAGATCTTCCTTGCTCAGCGGGGGAGCAACGTGCCACCCCTCGGAAAGCCCCGCTACAAGTTCGAAGATTTCAAAAAAGGTCCAAACTAGTGGTCCCACTATCATAGTCGTGAATTCCCCCTCATCGTATCCGCTGATTACCCTCACTGTATATTTGGCCATGGACGATTTGAGCTCGTCCTCGATGGTGACGGTAGTGTCAAGCAACTCGCGCGTGAGGTGGAGGTCGGGGGACTGGAATGGTTTAGAAGAGTAAGGGTGTACTTGGGTGTGGCTGGAAGGGGGAGTAGGGATATCCTTCCCTGGCTTTGGGTCAGGAAGACGCGACACAATGGTATTGGCCAACCAGTAGAGGATGTCGCCAATCCTCACTGTAGGTCGCGTTTTAAGGGGGGGAATCTCGTTTGGCGCAAATTCGTGAATAGGAAGCAGGTCATGTGGCGCGGCGGATATCACCTGGCCTTCGGGTATTGACTTGGACGCTGCGCGAAGTCCTTTCGACATGGTGGTCAATGGCCAACCCGACTCTTCGCAACACGCGCTGATTGATGTGCATCAATGTTTGGCTTTCACTCTTTGCCAAACACCGTGATTTGTCTTCACTGATCTCTCGGAAGCCCGAATGAAATCGCCCAGCTTCCCTCAGACTCGACTCGTGGATTGAGATATCCCTTGCGTATATCTGGGGAATGCAGATGGGATTGGTGTGAAAAATTTCACGGGGGGCCCTCGATAACTGTTGGGCAGACTTCTTTCCAATTATTTTAAGGAGGTATATCAACGAACAACGAAATTTTTCCAATCGGTCTCATACAGAAGATGAGCTCATTTGCTTTATCAAGTTCCTGTTAGACGGAACGCAGCGCGGGTAGCGGGAGCATTGTGGGAATCGTGAGTATGTGATCGCTATTCCACTACTTGGCGCTTAGATAGGCGCCCAACTTGGTTCTCAACGCGGCGCCCATCGGGCCTCCGCTCACAGATTGTGGATATCCCGTCACATTACATCTTTACATATAACCTGGCACCTATATACTTTCGCATATCCCCACAGCGGAGAACACCTGCATCTAATGGCCTCAGTGTGGGGCCGTCACAACGTATGTGTACACACTTTGAATGTCCACCATTTACACCCAACACCCAGTAACCCATCAGATTTCCGGCGGAATTTCTGTTAGTCTTCCACCTAATTGTATGTCTGTGTATACTCCTGTATCGCCCACAAACGTACTGTGCGTGGTGTTCCATGCTAGATAAATTTCCCTATTCAGTTCCCTGAATCCCATGAAGGTACTACTAATAAGCGCTTCCCTCGACTCTCTGTGGGACACAACAATACAAATTCAGACGTTCTGTAGGGTCTGGGAGTGGGCACAGAGCTGACATTCATGGCGAACCTTCCTCTCGCACAACCCCATTTATTATAAGGTGTTGTGCGGGAATATAAAAGGTCGAAGAAGACTCAGCCTCACATTCGTCTCCGAATAGCTCATTCCCAATCTACCTCTCCCAAACACTAGCATAAATGGGCAAAGACACTTCAATTCTCGGATTAACTCTCGTCACATTGTCACTCGCCATGGGTGGTGCAGTCGCCCTTTCGCAAGCGAGTGCAGGAGGCGTCACTGGTGCACTGGCACCACCTGCCGGATTCGCAGTTGTACCTGGCGAGGGCCTTCCGAGCCTTGAGTCGCTAAACCTTACATCCGCTGAGCTGTATCACCGTGCACAAGTGCGCTTCGACTTACAACATGCCTCCAGTGCGCATGAGTCAAGTAAGCGACGCTCCCAACCTCCCCTATCTGTCTCGCTGACAACTAGTTAGGCCTTGAGAGGAGATATGAACCACAGTGCGACGGAAAGGGAATCAACATCCAAAGGGCATACAGCTGCTTCGAGTATCTTCTTGCACTTGGGAACACCCCATGTGTCGTTACATCAGCCGGTGCAAGGTTCTGTCACACTACTGATGCGAGTGGCAATGTAGCGTGGTGGGGCGAGACGAACGGAATTGGTGGTGGTACAACCCAATCAACCTGGTAGGCCACAGTCACAGATCGGGAGACTTCTGTTGTCACTGATGGTATGTTACTCGTTCGAACTTGTGCTTCCAGCCGCGACGTTGCTAGAGGGGGAGAGTGGGTTCTCAAGAGCTGCTGGTCAAGAGTTCATCCAGCACTCCATTCAGGGGGTGAGCAACTTTTCCTCGTCGACGTCGACAAGTTTCATGCAACACGAGCTCATGACCTTGATGCTCTTTTGTAGGGAGAAACGCAGCATGGGGAAACGAGAACTTGATTGTACGAATTGGGAATATGTAGGGGGTGCATTGCTACCAGAACGGTTACGGTTCTGTCTGAATCGCAGTGTACCTACTGTCCAGCGATCGCTGTTCATGGTCGCGCTCTCCTCAACAAGGGAAGGCGTTGATCTAAAGTAATACTCTTCCGCTTGCTAGATACCGAATAAGATAAAGGTTTCTTAAAACACAATGGACTTAGGCGTACTCACATATACACCGAACATCTGTCGCACCCTTATACCCAATGGCGTCTTGAGCTCGCTCGCGATCTCCTGTATTTTGGGGTCAGCTTTACCCCTGTTGCCCCTGGACACCGACTTCAAGGACACTTTAAGCAGTTTCCCGGCTTTCGTTTGTGGGAGTAGCTTGTTTTGGTCAACCAGCTCTTTTTGGATCGCCAGTGGTTTATGTCGTCGATGCCCCCACTTGCCCAAGATATGGTCCACCACCTCCCACGCCCTATCTTCCTCCCAACCATGCCCGGAGTCCGTTCCCTGTGACGGCCTGAATGACATGGGATGAGATCTATTCCCGATGAGCTCTTTCCAAAACTTGGTCTTGAGTTCGTTCTCCCTACTCTCGGCAACGTATATCTTCTCGTCCGCAAACTTTCCCCATTTCGTGGTGAGAAGGACGACCTTGTCGAACGCAGCTTGACCACAGAGCGCTTTGAACAGCACGAGGTTCTTCATAGAGGTCGAATCAAAACGATCCAGCGATAGGTCATGGAGGTAGATTACCCCTCCTAGCTGTAATCCCTTAGCGTATCTTGAAGGCGACACTGGAGTTTGTGAGCGGCATCGATTCAATTGAAAGAGTACGTACGAGGTTGCCAGCCAAGCGGCTATCCTCTTCAACACGTCCACATCTTCCACCAAGGTATCGTCGAACCCAGGTGTGTCCACCACCACGATCCTTGCTTCCTCCCTCTGGGTTGCCTCGCGGTTCAAGGGAAGCACTACAGGTTGGACAAACGCCGTGCACGACGAGAGCCCCTCTCCAACCTTGAGATGTTCGTTTTTGCGTTCAGGCCCCAGTAGATAGTTGACGAACTATACCTGTATCGTCAGCCTTGCGCTCTGAGATACCAAAAGCGAGGTGATTTACGGTGCTCTTCCCTGCTCCGGTGAGACCCATGACCCTGAAAAGGGCTCACCACTTCAGCGATCCGATTCCAGGATCACAGGCGGGGCGTGGTAGAAGGGGGTATACGTACGGAATGACAATATCCGTGCTCCTTGCATCCTTGAAGATCGGGTCAATCTCTGCGCGAAGGCTCGTTCGAAGGGAACTCGAATTCCTGGATCGCGCGGACATGGTAAGAGTAAAAGCTGACTTTGACAACCGCACGAGTCAGAATCGCGGTGCCCCGGAGCCTTGAGGCTACCGCGAGGGGATCTCAACTACACGTTCCCGTCTCAATCGCGTTGCACAACTTGGTACATAGGATATAAGGCATACTCACCACTAGCCGGGGTACCCCCGGGTACCCTCACTTTTTGGGCGGGGTACCGGTACACAGTAACATTATACGGTATAATGGGAACCCTTGGCGTGGTTCCCGCTGTCATTCCACCACCCTGATACCCACCGAAGCGAAAAACGGCTGATTTGGTCAATGTAGTAAACTAGCCCCTATTAATCTTAAGTCAGGTGCGAAAATTCATGTTCTGTCCACCTCCAGACCATCTACCGCTCTCTCGGAGTCAAACAAGGCTCATTTAAGCGTTATCTAAGTGCTTCTTATGCTCTCATCCTGTGAATTGCTCATCTATCCTATGTCTCTTCCCAGTTCAACCCGAAATTCTGGCCAATGGAGCCCTGGGTGGTTGATTATTGCTCCTACACATGGGATGGGAGCCCATTTATAAGTTAATAGTACAGATAGAATCTATCTGCGTCTTAATCAATCGTGAAATTCATGTACAGACGCACCGAGCGCCATCGAGAGCAAGGGAGAGATGTGAAGTTCAAATGTTCCAATTCAAGCTCCGCATCAAAAACGACCAAAACGGGCACTTCGCTGCCCGAAATGGACGCCGGCATCGCTCGGCGCCAAACCGCCTGCCAAATCCGCTCGAGCTTGGACCTCTGCTCTTCAAAAGACCTCCCACTTCCCAAATCGACCTTGCTTTAGCTAGGTCCGTTTAGAGACCCATATTATGTAAGTTTTCAATACATGGAAACTGGATAACAAACATGGACAACCATCCTCGGCACGTTCGTCCCATTCCTGGCCCCACGCGGTCTCCCACCGGTCTCCATATGGCTCCTTACCTCCCTGGTTGGGTGCCGACGTCGCTTTCCACGACGGTCATTCAGCCTTCTCACTTCCCATTTCTATGACTTTTATCATCTTGTTCACATCAGTGGATGGTTTTGGCTTCTTGTCAACATGTCTAACCCTGCCTACCAATCTGTTTTCCTTACAAACTCCTATCCTATCGTCCCATCTTCTCCTCCTTTTGTCCCAAAAGAACGTCTGTTCCTTTCCAACCATGAAATCATCCGCACCGGTGTAATTGATATTACAGAAACATAAATAGACAGCCTGGCGAACAGACCGAATGTCTACCGCTAAATGGGGAGGCAATTTGAGAAAGATAAGAGGAGGTCGTTGTGGATGTCAAAGAGATGGGAACTGTAGATTTGCACACTACTTATAGCCAGGACGAGCATGCCATCCTCGACCTCAACAGATCCTGATTGACTGGAGGAATGAGGATGACGCAGGATAGTTGCAAATGTCATGCAACCAAAGGGGACGGTGGTAGCAAGAGAGCGGATGGGGGGGTGAAAAAGATACGGGACAAGCCGAGATGCTAAAGCAAGGTCCGGTAGTCGCGGTACGCGGCCCTTTTCATCGTCGAAAAGACCGTCGATTTCAGGCGATAGCTGGTCACGTGAGGGTACCGGGTACCGTGACACGGTTTCAATACATACGGATGATTGGACTTCATCGTCAACATGCGCCTTCAGAATGGCAGCCCTCGTGATGCACAATACTAGACCATAAATTGACATGTACTTGGATGAGATGGCCGATGGATAACAGACACGGTGTGTGCCGTTGCAATGAGACCACCCGAAGTCATATGGAGTCCGCTGTGACAACGAGAGGTCCCAAGATTGGGCATAGCGTCACGTGAATGTTTGTCCATGTAGTTGATCCCGTGTCCAGGTACTGGGTACTCTCATGTGATCAGTCTTTGCATGAACTCGACGGTCTTTTCGACGATTTGGGAAGTGGGAGGTCTTTTGAAGAGCAGAGGTCCAAGCTCGAGCGGATTTGGCAGGCGGTTTGGCGCCGAGCGATGCCGGCGTCCATTTCGGGCAGCGAAGTGCCCGTTTTGGTCGTTTTTGATGCGGAGCTTGAATTGGAACATTTGAACTTCACATCTCTCCCTTGCTCTCGATGGCGCTCGGTGCGTCTGTACATGAATTTCACGATTGATTAAGACGCAGATAGATTCTATCTGTACTATTAACTTATAAATGGGCTCCCATCCCATGTGTAGGAGCAATAATCAACCACCCAGGGCTCCATTGGCCAGAATTTCGGGTTGAACTGGGAAGAGACATAGGATAGATGAGCAATTCACAGGATGAGAGCATAAGAAGCACTTAGATAACGCTTAAATGAGCCTTGTTTGACTCCGAGAGAGCGGTAGATGGTCTGGAGGTGGACAGAACATGAATTTTCGCACCTGACTTAAGATTAATAGGGGCTAGTTTACTACATTGACCAAATCAGCCGTTTTTCGCTTCGGTGGGTATCAGGGTGGTGGAATGACAGCGGGAACCACGCCAAGGGTTCCCATTATACCGTATAATGTTACTGTGTACCGGTACCCCGCCCAAAAAGTGAGGGTACCCGGGGGTACCCCGGCTAGTGGTGAGTATGCCTTATATCCTATATCCCTGTCGCTCAATCGATCTAGACAATGAAACTTGGACGGCGCGAAGCCTCTAGATATCAGACAGATTAGCGCTTTTGAGATCGCCAGATCCGATAACGAAGACCTGCCACTGCCTCGTCACAATTAAGCGCCCATGAATCAAGGTCAACTTGAGCCAGGAAAAGTCGTCACATGGATGATCGTTTTGGCATTTCGGTGCCGATGTGATGGATAAGAGGCAGAAGCCTGAGATTCAGATCGTGGTTGGTTGGCACGGTGGATGTAAGATCGTTAGGAGGTGCGTGGGAGGTGCGAGGTTATAGCGGGCGCAGCCTGACACTCGTACACATATATATGTTGTTACTGTGGGCTTTGCGTTCTTTTCACTTACCCTCAAGCTCTACTTGTATCATGATGAACTATCAGCCTCGTGCAGTGATTTTGCCCGCTATCCAGCCCCAGACCACGACGCCCCCCGTCTCATTCGACAATTCGCAAATCCGCATCTACGGGAGTGAAAGCGAATACCTGGAGGATGCCAGGTCGAGCGATATTGTGATTGCATATTTTCCGTGAGTTCCAGTGCTTTCGTTGGCGGAAGGTTGTTCATGAGAAAGTAAAGCCGGGCTGGGCGAGATGTAAGTCGCTTCCAGTTCGTCCTTCCCCTGACCTCTGGGGACTAACGTGATGCACGAATCAGTCGATGCTCTTGAGCCTTTTGCACTCAGAGGCGCAACAGGGCAATCAAGCATTCTCGGACTACAAGGCAGAACGGGCAAGCTCAGAGCAGAGTGATGGTCATGATGGTACAAGAGTCGTCATCGTCAATATGGAGATTCCGGATCCGTTCAAGATCGATCTGGGCGAGGCAATAGCAGAATTATATGACAATCTGTGAGCAGGTTATCTCCGAACCTTCGCGGGAGTGTAGACTATGTCGCTCAAATTTGCCTGGCCTGCAGCTTAAATATGGGTTTTCCGAAAGAGGGGCTCAGGGTTATTAGCGAGACCCCTCATCGACGTTGGATGGCTGAGTCACGGCCGTCTGTCCCCAGCCGAGTTAACAAAGGCGTGGTTCTTGCCGCAGGATGGGGCGAAATTTATGGCAAGACATTGGATAACATCGTACTAGAGGTGCATGTGGAAGCGAGGAAGAAGTCATTCATGGACGATGGACTGGGAAACTTGGTGAACATTGGGTGGCACGTTATGTCCCTCTACCCAGAAACTCAGGAGAAGGCGTGGCAGGTTATCGAATTCATCTTGAGCGACAGGAACTACATTTATGACCCCATCTTCCGATTTCCGCGCGGTTATGTATGGAAAGAGGGCGACCGTATAGCATCTCCGTCGACAATTGGAGCGCTCACAGCATTTCGGCGCATCCTGCCACCCGGGGTAAACGTAACGGTGAACCCGGACGCTAAAGGCGTCACGTTCGAGTTCGACTAGCTACTGCACTCGTAGCACGTACTGCTTGCCTGCTTCTTCACTCTTAGTAGATCTACATGCACAGTATCTTCGGAATTGTGCACTTCTGCGCCCCGAGTTGCTTCAAAAGATTGGGAATCCCGGGACACTGACCACCTCTGCGACAGATTATGGTGACTCGTGTGCACGTTCAACGTTCAACATTCAACGGCGGAGCTGAGTCAGACTCGCAGATGCACCGTCGCATGATCAAGACAAACTTGCTTGAAGGCGATTGCTTATGTCGTGTGTGGGTCCCGGGAAGCGAAGCTTTTGTTCTTATCTGGCGGTACGTGGGAATAGGTGTTGCACTCGTGACAGTGCGGCTGAAGGTATGTGCGAGTATGCCCACTTGGACACGGGCCCTTCGGTACAGCTCTGGCGCTCCCTCCTATCCAAGCCCAGTCCACCACACCCCGCTTTCGCCTCAGTGAACATTTAATCCGGATCCGCACTTATGAGAATGAGTACCTCAAGGATGGCCGGCCAAGCGATATTGTGTTTGCGTAGGTTATCTGTGAGTTCATGTTCTGTAACCACTGACTCATTTCACTTAAGCGCCCATGCCATTAGTCGTCTTAAGGCTAAATCCTGATGTTTTTGGAATAGTGGTACCGAGGGGATGGATAGATCTCAGAAGACCGAGATTGGAATTGCAATGACATTGGGTAAATCGTCGGCGATGGATGCAGATGATAGAATATAGATGTCACAAGATCGATGAACTGTGACAGCCTGAGGTCAAACGCTGACGGAGTTCGTTGCATTTCCCGTCATCATCATGGTCTCTCATGTACCCTCCTCGCTGCCTGCTACCGATCCCCGGGCCACGCTGGCTTCGATTCCATACGACAAATTGCGGATCCGCACCTACGACAATGAAGAAGAATATTTGGGGGATGCCAGGCCAACCGATGTTGTGATTCTGTACTTGTATATGTGAGATCCAGTGTCTGCATCGGGAGACGGTGGATTGTTACTCACAGATAATGTATTAACCATAGTCATGGTTTTAATCTTGAGGCAAGTCGCTCATTCAGACGTCCCTCAGTAACTCACACGGTTGGACCAAGCAGAAGAAGCCGAGGGAGAAACTTCCGCCTTCAACAATGAAAGACTCGAGAGAAGCACAACCCGACCGCTTTATGACAGCCCTGGCAAGCTCAGAGCAAACGGATTATCGTGAAGGAACAAGAGTTGTCGTTGTCGGGGTCAAGAGCCTACTCTTTGAAGAAAAGCACTCTGCGACGCGGAAAATGACAGAGTTCCAGGATAAGCTGTGAGTAAAGAATTTTATTTTCTTGGGATCCTGGAACACGCCACTTAAGAATATCTTGGCTGTAGCCTCGGTATGGGTTTTCCGAAAAGGGGCCTGAGAGTTGTCGCCAAACTTCGTGGCCCATTGCATGTGCATCGCTTAGTAGGAGAATCTTCAAGATCCCCCAGCGGAATCGGCAAAGGAGTGCTTCTTGCCACAGGGTTCGAGGAAGTCTACCAGGAAACCAACGACAACTGGCTACGAGAGAAAGAGGTGGAAAGAAAGAAGATGCAACTGATGTTGATGGGAACTGGAGATTTGGTGAACGCGGGGTGGCATGTTATGTCTTTCTACCCGGAAACGCGGGAGAAGGTACATCAAATTATCGAGTTTCTCCTAAGCGACAAGGACTACATGTATGACCCTATCTTCCGATTCCCTCCCGGCTACAAGTTTCTAAGTGGTGAAGACGACGTCACGTTTACAAACTTTAAAAAATAGGTTGCCGTCCTCCTCCTACTACTACTTAGATCTCATTCATGTATTTCTACTTCTGTGTCCATGTGGCCTCAGAGAGATGTTTAGTGGACGTAAAAGCCCATAAGGGGCGACGCATGCGTGACAAGTTGCAGAACAGTCCTGACTGTACCGTTTCAGCACTAGCGGGGCCAGTTGGCTTCCTCAGCATCCGCAAACCCAGGTCAATAATCAATCGATGACCGATACTTGAGGCATTGGTATCTTGCGCTACTTGGAACAGGCGCCCACTTAGACGATGGAATATTTGACGCTGGATAAATCGTTTTGATCTTACTGAAATCTAAGAACCGCCCCGGAAGCGGGATGTAGTACTCGCCAAAAAATGCCAAACTTCGATGGCCCATAAAGTAAATAAAATTCACGGTGCACGCTGTACAACTGTACAAGGAACGAACTCAAATGATAATGTCAGGACAAGACCTAGTTATATGCCAAACCACCGGCTGGGACACCAAGAGAACGATGATGGCTCTGAGTCGGCGCAAACTTCTCCTCCTTGGTCAAAATCGGAGCAACCTTGGACTTGGCCACCACCTCGTCGAACGAAAAGTCCTGTGCGCTCTTGGGCAACAAATCGTAGATCGCCTTGGCATAATCGGGCGAAATGCGATACTGCTGAGCAAGATAATTGACCTTGACAACCTTGTAGTTGACAAGCTTCAATGCGACTGCGGTGTTGTAGTGGAGGTGCTGGCGCGCCTTCTCGTCCATGACGCGTGTGTAAAGCTCGCGGGCCTGGTCGTAGTCGGAGAGCTTGCCCTCGTGCCAAAAGTGGGACTGGCGCGAGACGACGTTGTCGGCAACCTGGTAGGGCACCTCGGCATCGTCAGGACGGAACTTGTTCACGAAGGAGTTGGGAGTGTAGTGGGGGTTGAGGCCGGTGTTAGCGTCGCTACGCAACGGACCGTCAAAGTTGAGGGAGGAGTAACTTTTCGCCATGAATGGACAGTTCACTGGGACTTGGTGAAGGTTAACACCAAGTCGGTGGTACTGCGCATCACGGTAGAAGAACATGCGGAATTGGAGGAGACTGTCGGGAGAGTCTTCGATACCAGGAACCATGGAGCCAGGCGAGAAAGCAGCTTGCTCCACGTCACGATGGTAATTCTCGGGGTTCTTGTTGAGGACGAGTTTTCCAACTTCGTGCATGGGGAATTGGCCTCGAGGCCAGACTTTGGTAACGTCGAAGGGGTCGAAGCCAAGCTTGTTGGGATCAGCTTCTTCAGGGCGCATGATCTGAACCTTCATGGTCCAAGTAGGTGTCTCGCCACGTTCAATAGCAGCCCACAAGTCGCGCTTGGAGAAATCCGGGTCTTCGCCACTCATCGCAACAGCTTCAGGCCAGGTGAACTGCTTCTGGCCCAGCTCGGCGAGGTAGTGGTACTTGACATAAACAAATTTGCCCTCGGCATTGACCCTAGGGAGAAAGTGTTAGGGTGACCGTGAAGCAAAAATATTGACAAAGGGCACCATTTGAACGTATGGCACCCATAGCCGTGGTTGTTCCTCCATCCCTTGGGTGTACCATGATCGCTGAAAAACATCATCCCAGCGTGGTTGGCTTCAGGAGTGTTGGCGAGGAAGTCGAAGGTGCTATCATAGTCCAGCATGAAGTTCTGTGGGTTACGTTGCTGGGAGCGAATGACGTCGGGGCCTTGCATGGGGTCGCGGCAAAAGAAGATAGGCTAGAAACACGTCAGCTCGGGGGACAATGCACGCGATGGTAGCAGCAAACGTACCCAGTTCAAACCGACAACATCATAATTGCCTTCCTCGGTGTAGTGCTTGATGGCGAAGCCACGAGGGTTACGTCCCGAGTCGGGAAATTCGCGTCCAAAGGTGACGGTCGAAAAACGAAGGAAAATGGGTGTCTTCTTCCCCGCCTTGCTGAAGAGCCCAGCCTAGTCGCGTTTGAAATGTGTATCAGCCCAGACTGGCCCAACGTCGAAACCCCAGACAGAACGCACCTTGGTGAGCTCACTCATATCGTTGGTACATTCAAAGTACCCGAAGGCGCCGGACCCAGAGGGATGAACCATACCTAAAACACGACGTACCATCAGCTAATGCACGACCATCAAGTTCAGGAAAGAAGACGTACGTTCCAAAGTCTTGCTCCGATTAAAAGTCTGCTGCTTCTGCATCAAAAAGATATCGCTCGCCACCGGGATTCCTCCAACATTCTTGCTGTGGGTTCCATCAGGCCACGGAATGCCCTCGTTGTTCGTAAAGTATGGCGCGTCGTCCTGCCTCTTCCCAGCCCCAACGACACCTGAAACCTTGGAGATGATCTCGGCGGGGCCTTCGTTGGCGTTCATGAACGTGGAAGAGCGCTGGACGGGGCGGGGATCGACGCCGACGGCGCCGAGCGCTTCTTTAGCAGCTTGCATGGGGTGAGTGAGGGGGTTGCTGTGGGATGAGTGGGACATTTAGGGTGCTGAGAGTTGGCTCGAAAGATAGGCGGGGAAGCAAGAAAGGCGATTTTGCCGGGCGTTGAGGGTGGCAGAGAGGTATATAACCCCTGACTGAAACAACTGCTCGACGCGCAGCACCAAATGTCTAGCGAAGTCGCGCCTTCACCGCAACCATCTGAGTCGTCCCGCCCCAATGCGAGACGCGTTCTTCCATTCTGGTTGGACGATTTCTGGGTCCGTGGAGAGGATATCTCCACATGTCAAGCTTCGAGACAAAATGGGTGGGTGTCAGTAAGCGACGATCGCGCCAACGCACCTAACAAGGGCAGAGATCTCCATCTTCGCGTTCCGCGCCCTCCGAGTCGAGAAAACAATAACATTGTCGAGCGAACGATAGGTAAATAACAGAAACGAATAGGCAACATGTACACTGGCATCCACTGAGACCAAAAACAGGAATTGAACGAAAAGTTTGCAAGAACGAACGAACCGCGACTAGATTTGCTATAGACCAGATCCCGAGTTCAAAGGTCAATCACTTCATCAAATCAACCCGATGGCTCTCCTCATCCCAGTCCACTTCCTGCCTCAACACGCCCATCAACACCAACTCTTGCGAGTAAACAGGTATACCGGCCTCAGCTATCACGCGCCATATATGCGCATCTTCCGGTGCGGAAATGACATATCGTTCAGGAGCACCCTTCAGGATTCGGACTGTCGGTTGTGATGTAGAGACCTAGGGAAGAGCAATGGAATTAATTCTAACCACGAAAGGCTGAATGTCGAGCAGGATGGAGTACTCACGGTACCACCAGAAGCAACGATCAAACTCTTCATCAACTGCAACCCAGCCTGAACCTTGGGCGTGATATAGAACGTCTTTCCACCCAAAAGCCTGCCTTTATTTTGCTTCGCCCGCTCCAGGGCAGTTTGGACTGTAACACCGTACCGCTCTTCACCAATTGGATCCTTGAGCATGTACTTGTCCTCAGCTGTGAACACCAACCACTCCGTCAGCTGATAGTTCAATGTGGGGATGGAAAGGAAGGACGAACGTAAGAGCTTCTTAGCCTTGGCCGAATCGTTCACCCAATCCTCGCTAACAATGAATGGAGCCCTCGACAATGCACACAAGAACTTTTCGGTCCTGACCAGACCCTTCGCGACGAGGTGCGTACAGTCGGCCGGTCGATCTGTGAACTTGGCTCCTAGCGCGACCATTGGCTATTCCACAGTCAGCACGAGACGTATCACCCAGCGAAAGACGGCAAGACTGACCTTGATAACATTATCCGAGAACTTGACCTGCGTAGCAAGAATGTATACCGGTTTCTCCAGTTTCCTAAATTGATGGATGATATGTTAGCGAACTTCCACCTGACGATCAAAGCGGACTTACGCAGGCGCCTCGTCTTTCTCTTTCTCCTTCCCGGCCTTGCCCCGCGACACAACCTCCCCACGCTGATCACTGATCCTCCTCTTCTTCTTCCCTCTCGACACCTCTTCCTCCTCTTCCTCCTCCTCCTCTTCCTGACGCGCTTTACCCTTGGCACCAGCCCCCTCCTCCGATCGTCGCCTCTTCTTCCCATCCTTGGCATCGTCCACTGTCCGCCCCTCCTCCTTTTCCTTCCCTTTCCCTTCCCCGGCCTTCTTCCGACTCGAACTCTCCCTGACCTCAGGCGCAGGCGTATCGCCCTCCACCACAAAGAAGTCCGATACACGTCCTTTCCCCTTCCCCTTTGCTTTATTGCTCTTCCGCAACTGCTGCTCAAAGTTGACGAGGTCAGGCATGAGCTCGTCGCGGAGCTTCGCAGTCGCTTTCGTCGCTGCGCTGCGCTTACGCGGGAGACTCTCCTCGGGAGCCGGAGTGGAGGTTGAACTGGGATGCGAAGATGGAGGAGCGCTGCGCGAGGGGGAAGGTGCTGACGATCGGGGTGGTTCCTCATCGTGGTCTTGGTCGACGTCCATCCGGTCCTGATCGTGTTCCTCGTCGTCCGAGGGAAGACGGACGGGTTTCTTCGTCGCTCGAGCAGGTTTGGCAGTAGACTTCGTCACCGCAGCTGCGCCTCTCTTCTTCGCCGGAGGTGCAGGCGTCTCCTCTTCTTCCTCGACGTCCATCTCGTCCTCAGCTCTCCTCTTCGACTTTGCCTTGGACTGCGGCTTAGCCTTCTCCCTCCCTTTCTTCCCTCTAACCGGCTCCTCCTCCTCCTCTTCCTCTGCGTCTTCCTCATCTTCTTCAACAGGCCTCGCCTTCGCCTTCCTCACTGGCTCCTTCTCCTTCTCCTTAGCCCTTCCCTTCGCATTGGCAGCCTCCTTTGCGCTTGCAACAGCCTTCCTCCCCTCTCCCGCAGCAGCCTTCCCCTTCTTTCTCACTGCAACCTCCTCCTCTTCCTCACTCTCCTCCTCCTCCTCCTCCTTCTCAAACCGCTTCTTCTTCTCCTTCTCCTTCCCTTTCCTCTTCCTCTCCACACTCAACTCCAAAGTCGGAAGCAAAACCGACACAACCCTCTTCGGCGTCCTCGCTTCAGCCGCTTGCCGCTTTTTGGGAGGGCGGTCTCCACCCTCTTCATCGTCATCGGTGGATTCTTCGTCCGTGCGTTCCTCCTCAACGTTCCGACCCTTGCCCTTCCCAGCCGACTTGGACGTTTTCTTCGACGTAGAAGCACGTGCACCAGGTTTCGAACTAGAAGCCTGCTTTCCAGTGTTAGCAGCAAACGCCCGATTGATGACGGTGGAGATGTCGGGCAAATCTTCGTCTGACGAATCACCCTCATCTTCGTCTGCATCTTCGTCTTCAGTTTCAGAGGGGGTGTCCTGTGGTTTCCTCTTCCCTCCGGTTTTGCCTTGTCCCTTTCCTTGGACCGTCACCTCCTTCGCTTTAGCCTTCCCTTGCACCGCCTCCTCTCGCTCCTTGGCCTTCGCCTTCCCCTTAGCCCCCCCTGTACCCGCCGCCTGGCCCGTCGTCCATTGCGAAATCATGATGTTACCGTCGTCCTCGCCATCCACGTCCATCCTGTCCCCTTCCTCCCCCTTGTCCTCGTCTTCGTCCTCGGTCTCACTATCGGTATCCACCCTCTTCACACGACCAGAACCACCACCGCCCCCACCGAGGCTCTTCCTAATCTTGGTCGACGCGTCTCCGCGCGGTCGGTCGAGTAAACTTGGACGGGGAGTTTTAGGTGTCGACTCGGACGGTTTGGACTTGGCTGATGTGGTCGGTTTTGAGGCTGTTGGTTTCGATGATTTGGACGTGGGTCGTTTAGGCGTGTCCTCTTGATCCTCCTCCCCCTCTTCTTCCTCTTCCTCCTCGTGATCACCGCGTCGCTTAACAGGCGACTTGACAACCTGCACAATCTCCACATCCGAGTCCGAATCTGAGGTTGGCCGGGTAGGTTTCTTCTTACCCTTAGCCGTCGCCTTGGGCGTTGACGACGTGGGTTTGGACTTGGATGTGGATTTCTTTTTCGACGAGACGACCTCTTCCTCGTCCTCCTCTTCTTCCTCGTCCTCCGCTGCTTCATCATCGCTCTCGGCACGCTTTTTCCTTCCTCCACCTGGACCCTTCGAGGACGCCTTCTCCCTCGACCCAGATCCAGACTTCCCTCTCGACCCAGACCCCGACTTCTCCCTCGAATCCGTCTCCTCATCCACCCCATCCTCAAACAACGCCTCAACCTCCTCCATCTCCTGCTCGTTCGCACTCGCAGCTGTACCCTGCGGTGCTTCATCTATGCCAACGTCAACGTCCATGCGTGTATCGTCGCCGTTCATAGCCCCCGTCGTATCACCCGTGATGTCACCAGTAACTTCTCCGGCGAGATCCCCTGTAACCGCTCCAGTGAGATCCCCAGTCACCTCCCCGCTGGCATGTCCATCAACGCTCATTCCAACCCCCAAATCAACATTGGCATCCTCCCCGTCCTCATCCTCGTACCGCTCCATCAACTCCTCGATCTCCTCCTCCATACGCGGGAGTTTGGTGGCCGGTTTCTCAGTCGAGGACGGCGCGGTGCGGGGGAAGATGAACGTTCCACCTAAAAAAAAGGGCGGTGGCGGTGTTAGTATATTGGTTTGGAGAAAAGGTACGTGGAACGAAAACAACAAGGGAACAGCACAAGACAAAGAAAGGCCCGGGGGATGAGAGGATCAGAAAGGGACTCACCAAATCCAACACCCCTCTCACCCAACACTGCACTAAAATCCACACCATCGGGGAAGCGGAGGTACTTCTCACTAGCCAACGTCAGGTTCCTCCACTGCACGAAACAGTCTTCGAGCCAGGTGTGGTTCACCACGGGGATCGACCAGGATAGAGCTTTTTGGGCTTTCGTCGAGTCTTTGCTGTTGCGTCGCGGGGTTAGGTTTGGTTAGACGTGAGGGAGCACGCCAGGTGTTAGGTTTTGTTGGAGATTAGAGATGCGGTTGGAGCGGGTATGGGACAGGTGGAAGGCAGAAAGAAGGCAGGCAGAGGGCGTTAGTGGTAAAAGGGAAAGAGCCCGTCAGAACAAGTTCCAAACGAACCAGGGAGGGAGTGGATACTCACGTAGCAGCGATCAAGACTGTATTCTTCCCGCTCATGCTAGGCGTGAAGGTCGCACCCATCGTGATGATGAGTTTCTTAAGGTACTCGCGTGCTTCACCTGTGTAATTCGTGACTGTGATTTCCTGTCATCGTCATTAGGAAGAAGGGAGTATTAGTGTCTTCGTCGTCGTTGGGAGAACTTGAAGCAAATGAAAAGAGGAACGTACGTGTCCGCTGAAGCCGCTTATCCTCTCCTTTGGGATGGGATAGTGTAATAGCTGGTCTTGGGGACGGGTGAGGACGCCCGTAGACTGGACGTGGTACAACCACGCGAGGGTACCGATCGTTTTATGCGAAGTGTACGCCTGTAGGGGAAGAGCGTTAGTGAAAGGTAGTGATAGGTAGATCAGAATTGACGTATTTGAAACGAGTGGATACGTACAGCCAGATACCCCCTCCCCTCCCTCCACCGCGTAATGAACACGTCGCACTCTTGAACAGCCTCAGCTTCCTTCCTGTCCAGATCCCTCTCTCTCCTCTCCTTTTTTAACCGCTCGTCCCTTTCCTCGGGTGTCTCGTCTTCCGGTCTCTTCTTCACCGCACCGTTAGCTGCCCCATTGGCATGTCCATGCATGGACGAGGAAGGTTCGTGTTTGGAAGGAGAGGTACCCTGTACCGAACTGTCCCCAGGCTTCGCTGGAGAACTGCTTCCTCCTGCACCAACGCTGCTCCGCGCCCTCCGACGCGCCATACCCGGCCCATCACTGGCATCCCTGCCGGGTGGGCTAACGGGTTCAGTCACACCCTCGTCCTCGTCGTCCCCCTCCCATCGAACGACTACGCCTCCCGCACGGCGGATACCCGCTTCGATGGCCTCGCGGCGCCGTCCTTTGCCTAGTTTCAGGGAGCGGCTTATGAGGATTCGGTGGCCCTTGAAAGGGAGGGTGCGGGGTATTGAAGCTGTAAGATGGGAGTTAGCGTTGATAACGATTGGAGTTCGCGTAGAGATGTATACGTACGGTCATCGCCTTCAACAAGCGTCACGTCCCCATCCTCCTCAATCACACCTTCGAACCCGGCGTTCCGTCCAGGTGTATACTTGACACTGGTCGTATACACGCTCTTCTTCAACGGGTCCTTCTCCGTCTGCGTCGCCTTCCTTATCTTCTGCTGCCTCTTCCGCGTTTCCTCGTCCACTGCCCCGTCAGCTCCGTGGTTCGGAAGCTGGAGGTGGTCGTTTCGTAGTAAAGGAGGGTCGGGGAATTCGTAGGGTTTGGTGTCGAGGTTTTTGATCCCTAGACGGACGCAGTCGTCGAACCAGTGTGGGAGGACGACTTTTACCCCGGTTTGGGGCTGGAAGTGGAGGGCGGTGAGGTATTTGGAGGCTTGGATTGCTGCTGGGGTTCTTGTAGAGTCAGGGGGTTAAATTGGTTGGTTCTTTCGATAGATAGGTTTGAGCAGGACGTACGGGTGCTCTGGGTCAGGAACGGAGCGGATTGTAAATAGATGGGTCACGTCTTTGGTGAGACCTGTCCTCCATTGGCCGCCCAGTGCTAGGATTCCGGCGGAAAGGACTTCGAGGTCCTGTGGAGGTAACTATATAGAGAATAGATCAGATTTCGTTCCAATATGAAATGGGTGTTACTTACCTCTGTTGCGCAGGCTACGACGCCTGAGAAAAGCATCGCCGGGTCAGGCGAGAAGAACTGGGGTCTACAAATTGTCTATCAGAAACAAGGTTTCATTAGAGCTATTTTGTAGACTTACGACTGCAATTTGCCCAACACAACGCTCCTCTCGACCCATTTAGGTGTTACAGCCCATTTCTTGGGTGTCGCATTCTCCCCTTCAAATCCACCTTTCACTTTCCCCTTTCCCTGGTCATCCGAGTTTTCGTCTCCATCGTGAACGCCCATCCCACCATAGGCCAATACAGCGAAATTCTGCCAACCCTCGAATCGAGCAGAGTCGGTGATCACGACGTCGGCGTCGTCCAGCGAGTCGGCTTGCGTCCCCCCGTTCTTGTCGAGCAGGTGCTTGGTGAGCTCGTAGGTGTGCTGCGACAGCGAGGAAGAGAGGTGGTATATCGTCTCTGAGAACAGCATTGTCGTATTGTTCTGGGCTGCGTCGTGTGGTAGATAAGCCGGTCGGTTATAAGTGATACAGTGGCGTGAAGCAGGCTTGGTTGGATCCTGGCTATGAGCTCGACATGGAGAACGGTGAGCGGAGGTTTGTGGACGACAACGGCGACGACGAGTAACAAGGAAAGTGAAACGTTACACGATGGTTGGACGCGATGAGCGTGACTGTGACAGACGCGTTGCGTGACCAAAGATGTTCTCACGCATGCGTCGGGACCGACGCGCCTCGCCATCGGGAGTCGAGGCCCCATTTGCAGCCTAAAATGAAGAGCTTTGAAGATGGACAAGTATCATGGCATATAAGTTCATGTACAATCTGACCACACCTGGGCTATAGGAGCGAAAAAGCAGACAAGTACGTGCTACGAGTACAATAGTTATTTGAACGAGACGTCGTCGCCCTCTTTCCATACATAACCACGAGGAAATCGGAAGATGGGATCATAGATGTAGTCCTTGTCGCTTAAGATGAACTCGATAACCTGCCACGCCTTCTCCGGAGTCTCTGGGTAAAGAGACATAACATGCCACCCCGCGTTCACCACGTTCCCCAGTACACGGCGCATGAAGTCCTCCTTCATACTTTCCACCTCTTTCTCTAATTCTCTGTTATCTAATGTCTCGCCGTAGAGTTGCCCCCATGTTGTGGTAAGAACCACGCCTTTGTTGACTCGGCTGGGGACAGATGGCCCTGACACAACCAAAGGATGCACAACCATTTCAGGGAGCTCGTAAACAACTCTGAGCCCCTCTTTCGGAAAACCCATGTTTGATCTGCAGCCCAGACACTCTTGAGCGATACTGTATGCTCTACACACCCGTGAAAGTAAAATAACTTGCTCACAGATTGTCAATGAATTCTGATATATCCTTTTCCACCTCCCAGACGCCCTGCATTCGGACGATGACGACTCTTGCCACGCCATCAGGATCATTGCCACTTTCTGAGGTTGCCTGGACTGCCTTCCAATCCGAGGGTGATTGGTTGTCCAGCGGCGTCTCTGAGTTCAGACCACCCCAGAATGTTACTGGTTGCGGTTCCTAGCACGACGTTAGTCCCTGATTAGTCGAATTGAGGAAAGGACTTACCCCTATCCATCGCCGGTCCCAGCAACTTTACTTATGTATGAGCACTCTTCCACCTCTCAACGAAAGCACGTAACTCACTAAATTGCAATCACAATATCGCTCGACTTCGCATCCTTCAGGTATTCCTCTTGCCTCTGGTAAGTGCGGATTTGCGATTTATTGAATGGAACGGAAGGCATCGTGGACTGCGGCTGGATAGCGGGCACATCCGCCGTGAACCTCTCAGTACCCGGAGGACGTTTGAACCGCATGGTAAAGCCTGAGGATTGTAAGTGGAAGAAGAAAAAGCCTACAGTTACAACGTATATATAGGTACGAGTGTCTGCGCCCGTTCCATGCGCCAACCACGGGCCTCCCACAAGGCCAACATCGATCTTACATCCACGCCAATCAACCACAATCCGATCTCAGGCTTCTGCCTCTTATCCATCGCATCGGAGCCAAAAGTCCAAAACGATCACCCTTGTGATGACTCTCCCGAATTGAATTGACCTTGTGGCTTGAGCCGCTTGATTCATATTCATGGGCGCTTAATTGTCACGAGGAGTGGTGGGTCTTCGTTATCGGATCTTGCGACCTCGAAAGGGCTAATCTGTCTGATATCTAGAGGCCTCAAACTATGTATAGTCCATACCGCAGTCCGATTGGACAACGGGAATCCTCGACATATGCTCAGGTAATCCAAATGCTCGACTTCCCGGTCGCCTCATTGCATTGGCGCTCACCACGTCTGTTATCGATCAACCATTTCCTCAACGTGCCTGTCTACTTATGGCTTAGTATTGTGCGTCACAAGGGCTGTAATTCTAATAAAGGCACGTGGTGAAGGCGAAGCTGAAGGCCAATCCGTATTTGCCTCTCATCGGCCGGTTTCCCAGGTTAAGCGCCAGACCACACGTTCAAACTGCACCGTGCCCCTATCTGTAAAGGATAAATAATACGGAGGTCTGCTTCTCGAACACATTAATTGCGACGCCGTGAACCGTATCTCAAATCTCAAATGGAGAGGTGAAGTGGATAAATTCTAACACCTGCGTACTTGGAGTTGGGCCGACTCGGGAGTTCGTTGAACAAGCCAAACGCGCCCGGGCCACTTGCACCTCAACCACCACGTCCTTACACCATGCAGCAGATGTTCTCGACACTGCTGATTCACGACTGCGGTACCGCCGACGGGTATCTGATCACCATTACTCTCAAAGCCTCGCCCTCGTTCCCTGGTGGCATCTGGTATAAGGAAGACTGGCATGAACCAGTTCCTGCCACAAGTGCACCGAAGGATATCTCCAACCTTGACGGGACCCTCGAGCTCAGGCTAGTCAGGCGCATCTCAGAGGGCCGCATTGGCGTAACTTACGTGGCAGAAATCGTCTCTGCAACGCGCAAATGCACTGACGTCCGCTCAACTCTACCGCCCACTCTCTGCCTCAAATTCGCAAAGCCCGAATTCAGTCGTAGCCTGGCGCGAGAGGCTTGGTTCTACGAACAACTGGATTCGCTTCAGGGCATCTCCGTACCCATTTCCTTCGGTTTCTTCGCATCCACTGCAGCGGAGCAGCGCCACTTTCCCGATGTCGAGTTCGAGCCCTGGAGGAATCGAAAGGTTTTGTTCAAGGACACAGACAAGATCCCACATGACATCGATCGATATGCATCTCCGGACTGGTTACCCGACGATGTGCCCGAATATTACAAGCGAGAGAGATTCGAGGACCCTCCCAGCAAATGTAATTCACCTTGGTACAAGTGGAGTCGCCTTGACGACAATCCAACTATCTCTGTACTTGTGCTCGAGCTACTCGGGGAAGCCTGCACCGGGATAAAGACCGCTGCCGACAAGTGAGTGCAGCCCTCATATTTCTCCATGATTACCCCTTACTCAAATGACGTTCCAGACAGGCGATCCAGGATGTAATGGATGATTTGGCTGAAGTCGGGGTGATGCATGGCAACCTCACTCCTTGGAACACGCTCGCATTCAAGCCTCAACCTCACAAAGAAGCACGACGATGCCCTCGACACAATGTAGTCCATCCCTGGAGAGTCATCGACTTTGACCGTTCGAGGATGGCAGATCCCAAGAACCTGTGCTTTCTTGGCAAGCGTCACATTACCGACACCGACGACATTATGGATGATGCAGCAGTGTACTTTGAACTTTGGGACTGAGGCTAGGTCACCAGGTGAGCTTTCTTTTTGTTTGAGCGTTCGCCCCTCTCGTCATCCGACGAGGCTGTTTTTCAACGTCGTCATTGGTTCCTCGCTCAGGCCCTCTCCCTAGGTCCAACGGCGGCAATCGACTTCGATCCAACCAATCCAACCACGATCAACGCTAGAACCACCGCAGGCCAATACTCACCCAAGCAACCTGGACGTTGGCTTTTCCTCCATTTGTAGACCTTGATTCGCCCGCCATCGCCAATCCGATTCGTCCAATGTTCTTCAATCAGTAGACCCAATTCTGTACTCGTATCGATACCATCTTTTTCCTTAGTGAGTGATGCTTCGAAGTGCGAGAAGTCGAGAGTTCATACACAAGTAATATGTCACAGAGCAAAAGTAGAACTGGGAACGTAATCAGCTAGGCGCTTGAGAGCTGGAGAAATGGGGACTATGGACCAGAAAGACACTCAACCCCGCCAGATTACTGGGTTTTTGGTGAGCGTAGTGTTGGGACGACGGTAGTAAGAACGCACCTTGTTAGACCTAGCAGGCGTTGTCAGTGCTGCTGAAACAGTAGAAAACTGACTTGTATTCTTCTCTGTGCGTAACCACTCCGTGCGAAAAGTGGAGCGGCTCTGGAAGGAAGTAGCGACGATGGAAGGACCAGGGTCCGAGTTCACGAATAGACAATGTAGTATAATTATTGGAGATCCCGTCGCACATATTTGGCGAACGGATCGAATTGAGAGCCTATGAAAATGAAGCCAGGATCAACCTCTCGGCGACCACCAGTAAAAGAATGAAGTTCGATAAGCGCTACCAAATGATACCAAAGTACAAGCCGTCCAGGAGGATTGTAGAAGTGAACTCTAAAATAGTCAAACCGCCGATCCAACGTCCTCGCCTGACGACCTCCGCTGGTGTGGCATGGAGTATCGACGGGACGAACCATTTTGTGCGCTATCAAAGTCGGTGATATGCTACAAAATACACCGCTCTAAAAGAGAGGTACTTTGAAGCGGCTACCTAACTGCAACGGATGGTCGTGGTCAATTCCAAGCAGAGACAGCAGAATTGGATAGATATACGTGGAAGGCAGAGTATCGCCCAAGTAGTCCACCTCAGTACCATTCGTCGGCTTGCCAGTCGTCTTCGCAGCCCTTCCTAGTACAGGGTTCCGAGAGGCCAAAGTCGATAAGGGTGAGCTTTCCGCTCGAATCTTGGACGACGTTCCGCCGATGGAGGTCGTGGTGGTGGATATCTAGATCGTGCATTGCTTTTACAACCGGGTAAAGAGTGGCTCTTGCGTATATCAATCATCGATTAGATGCTGTGGGCGCCAAAGAAGAGGATTCACGTACTTTTGGTCATCCGTGGGACCTTCGCAGAGTCTCTCACCTTCGTATGACAACACGAGGCATGGGCGTGCATTCATGGTGCCAGTGGCGTAGAGAACGGGGATTCCCTTCCCTTGCAGCTTCTCCAGACGCTGATAGGAGACGAGCTCTTTCGCGTACGACGATTGCTCGCCGAAGACTTTGATGACGAGTCTGATACCCCAGCGAGAATGTACATAGACGATGTTCTCATGAGACTCGTAGACCGCGGACGCTTCGGGCAGTTTGAGGGCGAGAGAGAACCAGCTACTGGAGGAAGGGGATCAGTCGCAAGTGAGGTTACAGCCGGGGGGTACCGACCTTGAATTGAGAGAAACCGTATTACATCGCATCGGTTTCAGGCTGTTGATCGGACGGAACCACTGTAACGTTTGAGCCAATAGCAGCAGCGGGAGAGAGACAGCCGTCTGAAGGTAACAGAGGCAAGTCGAGAAAAGGTTGAACAAGACCTCGAAAAAGGTAAGCTCGAGTGCCTCACCGGCGGCCGCATAAAGCTCATCGAGCTGCTTCTTCTGCTCCGGGAAACGGCTGCCAACCTCTTTGGCTGCGTACTCGTCGTGCAGACAGACCATCGCCAGAGTGAAGGCCGCAAGTTTGTCGATGTATTCAACCCAATTCTTCACATCACGTACGGCCTCGGGGACTATTAAGGATGTCAGGACGTTCAAGAACGTTGAAAACAGCTTACACCCACATTTCCTAGAGACGTTCATAACGTCCGAGCCAATTGCAAAGCAATCACTTCCATTCGAAGCTAGGGGGATCAAGTGCGCAGGAGCGACTGACAATCCGTGGAGGACAAAGGGCTTCTTCGGGTGCAATCCTTTCAGAAACTTCCCTTGTTTTCCAACCTAGTTGGCCAAAGGTCGTCAGTTTGATGCACCTCAGCCACCCACCCCTTCACCCACCTGGTCGCGTATTTCCTTAGCTTTCTGATCCATGCCAGTGACTGGTCTTGAGAATGCCCTGATGTTCGAGTCATTGCAGGAGCGCGGCGTCTTCATCTCAATGGCTGTCACCACCTGTTCAGAATCCTCTATGATAACATCCAACTCCAGCTTTCGCCCGCTGGTATCGTCATAGAAGGCTGGCGGAGCGATGTACCATCCCTTGGACACTCCCGTTCCAAAAGCGAAGATCCGAATAAAGATCCCCACCAGAGGTCCCACTATCTTGTTTGTGAATTCCCCCTCGTCGTATTCGCTGATGCGCTTCATTCGAAACTCCTCAATAAATGTTTCGAGACGAGGCTGAGTGGCGACGGTAGCGTCAAGAACTTCGCGCGTCAAGTAGAGATTGGGGGCTTTGAATTGTCGAGAATCATAAGGGTGTACATGGCCGTGGCTAGAAGGGGGAGTAGGGTCGCCCTTCCCTGGTTTTGGCTCAGGAAGACGCGACACTGTGCTATTGGCCAGCAAATGGAGGATGTCGCCAATCTTCACTGTAGGATGCGAAGTAATGTCAGAAATGTCGGTTGGAGTAAATTTGTGGATGGGAGAACTCCTATCGGGAGGTGGGGTTGCCGGTTCATGCTCAGGGATTGAGTCAGACGCTATGCGAAGCCCTTTCGCCATCGCGGTCAATGGTAAACCGACACACCCGCACACTACGCGATGCATCAATGTTTGGTTTACCCGGGACAGCTAAACATCACAGCACTGTGGCGACTCGCTATGTGTCACACGGCAGTGCTGAGTAGTATGTACTTTGTTCAGACGTTGCGACTTCTATTTAATCATTCTGATCGTACCAAATCCACGAGGGCCAACTTGTAAGATGAAGCGAAATTATCTGTGTGGCCGAGTAACTAAAACACGTCCTCAGTACCATTCATCCGTTTGCCATTTATTGCCGCACTAGTACACCGTTCCGAGAGGCCAAAGTCGATAAGGGTGAGCTTTCCGCTTTGGTTTCGAACGACATTTCGGCCATGGAGGTCGTGGTGATGGACGTCGATGCTATGCATGACCTGTATCACCGGGTAGAGGCAGGCTCTGGGGCACTTTCTATTAGATTCTGTGGCTATCAAAGTCGGTGACTTGGAACGAAATTGTAAGGGTTGTGTGCGCCTGGAATGCCTAACCCCCGGTTCACACACGCAATGAGCACGACCAAGGTATATTATGGAGCTATGTACTATGCGTGTATGGACATTGGGGGTGGTAAAGGCTAGGCGTAAGGTAAGAAGGCGAGCCGAGGGCGCAGGATAGGGGCGGACGCCTCCCTTACAGAAATGCACCACTCTAAAAGAGAGGTACTTTGAAGCTTCTATCTACCTGCAACGGCGTTGTCAGTTACAAGCAGAGACAGCAGAATTAGATATACGTGGAAGGCAGAGTAGCTCAAAAGTAGCCCACCTCAGTACCATTCATCCACTTGCCACTCATCGTCGCAACCCTTCCTAGTACAGGGTTCCGAGAGGCCAAAGTCGATAAGGGTGAGCTTTCCGCTCGAATCTTGGACGACGTTCCGCCGATGGAGGTCGTGGTGGTGGATATCTAGATCGTGCATTGCCTTTACAACCGGGTAAAGAGTGGCTCTTGCGTATATCGATCATCGATTAGATGCTGTGGGCGCCAAGGAAGAGGATTCACGTACTTCTGTTCTTCCGTGGGACCTTCGCGGAGTCTCTCGCCTTCGTATGACAACACGAGGCATGGGCGTGCATTCACGGTGCCGGTGGCGTAGAGAACGGGAATTCCCTTCCCTTGGAGCTTCTCCAGACGTTGATAACAGAGCAGTTCTTTCGCGTATGATGATTCCTCGCCGAAGACTTTGATGACGAGTCTGATACCCCAGCGAGAATGTACGTAGACAATGTTCTCATGAGACTCGTGGACGGAGGACACTTCTGGAAGTTTCAGCCCAAGAGAGAGCCAGCTGAGGGACAGAGAAGGGAATCAATTACGAGTGAGGTTAGAGCCGGGGGGTACCAACCTTGAATTGAGAGAAACCGCATTACATCGCATCGGCTTGAGGCTGCTGATCGCACGGAACCACTGCAGTCTCTGAGCCAGAAGCAGGAGCGGGAGCAAGAGCACCATCTGGACATAGCAGAGGCAAGTCGAGAGAAGGTTGGACAAGGCCTCGAAAAATGTAAGCTCAAGCGCCTCACCGGCAGCCACATAAAGCTCATCGATATGCTTTCTCTGCTCCGGGAAGCGGCTGCCAACCTCTTTGGCTGCCTCCTCATCGTACTGACATACCATTGCCAGAGTGAAGGCGGCGAGTTTGTCGATGTAATCAAGCCAGTTCTTTGGGTGTCGAACGGCGGTTGGGACTAGGTGGACGTCAAGACCATTTCAATGGGAGAACAAACTGAACTCACAGGAGCTATTGACACTCATAACGTCCGAACCAACTGCGAAGCAATCACTTCCATTTGAAGCAAGGGGGATCAAGTGCGCAGGAGCTACCGACAATCCGTGGAGTACGAAGGCCTTGTCCGGGTGAAGTGCCTTGATATACTTCCCTTGTTTTCCAACCTACGGGCCAACAGTCATTGGGTTAATTGGTTTCGCCCAGGCAACGACGGACCCACCTGGTCGTGAATGGCCTTGGCAGTTTTGCCCATACGAGCGGGCTTAATGTAGGGCAACGCCTTGATACTTGGCTCGTTGCAGGACTTTGGTGTCTTCATCTCGACGGCGGTCACCGTGCCGCCTTCGTTCTGCAAGAGGACATCGAGCTCGAGCTTGTAGCCGCCAGGACCATACTTGCTCAATGGCGGAGCAACGTGCCATCCTGGGGAGAGCCCTGCTACTATTTCGAACATTTCAAAAAAGGCCCAAATCAGCGGGCCCACTATCATGGTGGTGAACACTGCCTCGTCGTATTCCTCGATGCGCCTCACTCGAAAGTTCTCCATGGAACCTCTGAGACGATAGTGAGTTGTCCATGTGATCGTTGAGTCCAGCACCTTGCGCGTCAGGTGGAGATTAGGTGTTTTGAATTGCCGAGAATCATAAGGATGTACTTGAGTGTGACTAGAAGGGGGAGTGGGGTCGTCCCTCCCTGGTTTTGGCTCAGGAAGACGCGACACGATGGTATTGGCCAACCAATGGAGGAGGTCGCCAACTCTGAATGTAGGTTGCGAGAAAATGTCAGAAATGTTGGTTGGAGTAAAATTGTGGATGGGAGAGTCTGTATGGGGAGGCGGGGACACCGGATCGTGCTCGGGGATTGAGTCAGCGCGAAAAGCATTCGACATGGTGGTGGTCAACGGTAAACCCACACGCACTCTTCGTGATGCATTGATGTTTGGTTTACCATGCTTAGCCAAACATAGCGGTTTTCCGTAGCTTCAATCATGATGAAGTGGCTCTCTGAATTCCCGCGTTTCAAGCAAAGGCGTGCCTACTGCTCACCATTTGTTCCGCCAATCCATAATTTCCGCGTGCAGGTGCCAGGATAGTCGAGTATGAGAATTCTACGTCCTTTATGGTTTCCGAAAGCTATCGTTCCGACAGCTTTGAAGAGGAGCGCAATTGGATTGTTCTCCAAGCGGCGCCCTTTGGGACGCAGGTATATAACTATTTAAACGAGACATCGTCTCCCGCTTTCCATCCGCGAGGAAATCGAAAGATCGTGTCATAGATGTAGTGCTTATCGCGTAAAACGAACTCGATAATTTTATGCCGAGAATTTTATTCCCGGAGTGGCCGCTGGCGAATCAGAGTTACAGGTACAGATCCCTATCTACAATACTATGGGCGGAAGATTGTCTTCAGAATTCCACACATAGCCACGTGGGATGCGAAAGATCGGATCCCAGATATACCCTTCATCGCTCAAAGAAACTCGATAACCTGCCATGCCCTGAAAGATGTATAAGGGTTGTAGGACATTATATTCCACCCCTCGTTGACCAGAGTCCCCAACCCATACTTCATGAATTGCGTCTTATGGAAGTCGATAGTGATCTCCATATCCCTATTATGTTGTGAACCCTTGTATATTCGAGGCCATCCACTGGTGAGGGATACCGCTTTGGGGGGGTTTGGGTTGGGAAAGAGATATCTGAAGAAGGCATCGGTTCTCTGTGGGGCGAGAAAGTTGTCATGAACCCATAGAACTTTGAATTGTTGCGTTGTCAGGCCTTTTCCGTAGCTGAATCAATGGAATGATTTCAAGTAAGTCCCTCACAGGATGCGATACATTTCTCCTGCTCACCATTTGTTCAGCCACTCCTTGATTTGCGGGTTGCACGACCACTTTTGTGGACGGGGGTAAGGTATATCAAACATCAGGATTCTCCGTCCTTCGTGGTTTCCCGAGGCGATCGTTCCGAGCATTATTGGTTGCACTGGTTTGACTCTGAGAAACGGGCCTGGGTTCTCTTGAATGAGGCGCCACCCGTTGGGACACAGGTGACATAGAAGCTGTTAGAGATGTTCATAAAGGCCACTCGATGCGAGGACGAATTGAACTGCAGCGTTACCTCTACCCTTCCATCATTTTCAGCACCAGCGAGCCTTTGCAAACATCTGTCAGTGAACGCTGCTGCATTAAAATAGATCATTCAAAATGACGCACACGATTAAGAAATCACTCAGTCTCGCGTCCTCCAGATAATCATCGCCGTCTTTGTAAATGTGGAAGTGAGATTGGTCGATGCGATGAACAAAAGACTGGGCCATGGGGCGTCTGGTGGGAACTTCCCGTGGCCCTTCTCGGGTTCAAATACTTAGTTGCAGGGCACGCGGGCCCAATGTTCAACTTAGTAACTCTTGACTGTGATGTCTTGTGACGCTGACAAGAGGTCAAATTCGAATTCTTTGAAAGACGAAAAGTCCCATGCGCTGTCAGATAAGAACAAAAATCCTCGCTTCTTGGGACCCACAGATGCATTCTGCTTTGGCACTGGTCATGCAATGTCGGTGTAATGGTGGCTTAGATCCGGAGTTGAGCCCGCAGTCGTGTCATTGTTAAAAGTAGAATTGGGGATTGCGTATCGTCACATTGCACAGCTGGTGTAGTTCAGGGGGAAATTGTAATCCGACTCCGAGTCGGATTCTGCGCGCATTGAGTGGTTCCTCAACCAAGCGTACAATTTTAAATTCAATGCAAAGCAGACGTCGCTTCGATACATCCATACTCAGTATACCTAGTATGTCGCAATGCGAACTGCCAGGTTTCCGTTATCCCATGCTGCATTTGCACCTTTGACACAAGAAGATGCAAGTCATTCAGCTTCAATATGAGCTGGACAGTTATGTTCGTCCTTACCTTCTTCTACAGTATCAACAAGTATCAACAGGAGGGCTGGTCGGGATCCTCATGCCGCAATTGTTAATGACCCATGCTCCCCCACGCGCAACGTCGCGGCTAGGAAAGGTCTGGTCAACATACGGACGTCAACAGGAATTGAACCACTAACCAGGTAGACTGGGTAGTCGTGCCGTCCACGCTGGTGCCGTACCAAGCAGCAGGTAGCCATCCACTTGCTGTGCAGAATCGCGAACCGCTTGGAGGAACGACGCAGGCTGTATCTCCCAGAGCATAGAGGTAGTTGTAGCAGCTGAGAGCGTTTGAGAGCGTAACAACACTGCTCCCACCACACCACGGCGTGTATCGTTTGGCGAGCCTAGGTTCTTCTTCGACTGTGGCCACCAGGTGAGTGCGCATATGTAACACGAACTTCAGAGCGACGGACCTTCACCAAGAGATGCGATGAATTCTTCCGGTGGCTTACACAAGTCCGCCGATGTGAGGTTTAGAGATTCCAGAGAGGGTAGTCCGGGCCCGGGGGTGACTTCGGGACATTCGTCAATCACAGGAAGTCTGTCGAGTGCGTCAATTGCTGGAAGGTTTCCCTGAGGCAAAGCAAACGCTGCTGAGGCCAGGAGTGCGAGGTGAAGAAGACGTTGAATCATGGGGAATCTATGCAGAAGGTAGATGATAAAGCGACTGGGAAGTTCTTTGACACTTGACTTGAGCCATTTCACCCTTTTGTAGGAAACCGATGGCTTTGGGCCCGATTCAACGGACTCCGACAGTCACCCATCGCGTACCTCCTGCTCGTCCATCATGATTGCAGCGAGGTACAGTGGGTACACGATGGGCGACACGCCAGCAGGAACGGAGAGTCACCTGAGGTTTGAGGGCCAGCCGCACCAATCGGAAGAGGGGAGGTCAACGGCAGTGAGCCAAGCTTAGCTCGACAGAGCTCTGCAGGTAGTATATGGACCTTGTTTATGCAACGCCGGACTTTAGGCCACAGCCCGCAGGGTGATTATCTGCACCACCGACTCCTCTTAACAATAAGCTTTATGTATATCAGACTTCCAAGACGCTCACCTGATTTTGGGGTTATGATTATTGTCAGGAACACCAATATGTCTGAGGATCATGGGAGGGGTCTCCACGGCGATTTGGGCGCCCACATCCTTCATTATTTGCCCTCATTTCTGGTCTTGTTGCTTTCGCCAATTGAAGCGAAGACGAGGAGTTCACGGATGCAGTGCACACTCTCTTTGTGAGTCAACAAATTGAAGGAAGTTGAAATTGCAGGCTTATCGGCGTGGTTCCGTCTGCCGTCGTCGCGACCAACGGCATTGCCTTCCGGAGCAAACATGTGCAAAGCTTCGTGTTGGAGAGCCTCCTGCAGGGGGCATGCAAACCACGCCATTGACCCATAACTGTCAAGAACCCTAAACAGCCTCTCAGAGGGGACCTTCATATCTGGGCCTCTCGGGTGATGCTGAAGGATGTACGAACCAGAAGTGCTCAATCCGTGACCATCAGCGCCGCCGGTACAACTGCTCTCCGAATACAGTTCGGCGGCTATTTAAGCGCCAGCCAACCTTTACGCATTCGACTTCTCTCCGAGTGAAAGAACATGTGAGATTATGGGGCCATACACAAAAATATTGAAGAAAGCTGAATCCCCAATTGCGCGTGCTACAAGTCTCCAATCCGCACAATGAGATTCTCGTTGTCCCAAGCAGCGTTTGTACCTAAAACGTTCTGCTATTAGATTACCAGTTCGGTTCATTTATAGTCTCATTCTTACCTCCAGAAATAGATAGGATATGATAGTACCCTTTCCTACAATTGTTTAGGACCCAAATTCCTCCCCAGGCAACTTCGCGGCTTCACAGAGGATCAAATTAGCTGGGTGATCGGCGAGGATAGGCGTCAGCATACCATGTCGACTGTGTCGTTCCCCAGCCAATACCGTTTGTACTCCCATACCAGGCTACATCATTGTAACCTGCGGTCGTGTGGCAGAACCTAGTACCATAGGGCGGAACCACACATGGGGTGGTATCAAGGTATTCGAGGTAATAGTAGCAATTCCATGCATCAAGCGCGCTAATTTCAATCCAATCGCACGTAGGGTTGTATCTCTTCGTCAGGCCTGAAAGGATACGTCAATTTAATCGATATCCATGGTAGAAATGTGATAACCTACTTGATTCCTCGTTGGGACTCGTGGAATGCAGAGTAACCATGCGTCCGATCGTCTTTTCGTAGAGATCGGCAGAGGTGATGTTGAGGGATTCCAAGCTAGGCAGGCCGGGGCCGGGCACTACCTCTGGGACCTTCTGTGCCCTCAGAAAGGCAACGATGTCGACATCGCTCTTGTCTTGAGGGAGAGACAATACGCCGGTCAAGGCAGAGGCAAAGGCAGCAAAGAGGGTAAGAGAATGTTTGAAGAGCCGCATTGGTACTAATGCTACAGGTTTGACTTCTTTATTATCCGCTTTTTAAGTAAAAGAGACTACCTTTTTGTAGACACCACTGTTGTGATCGCCCATGTCAGGGCTAATTTGCTGCTCCAAGGGTCCCCGGTCCAGAGGCCTGTACCCACGAACTGGACCAAGTCTCGGCGTGTATGACCTCTGACGAACGTCGCGTTCGAGGCTTCATGTTCACGACGAGCACTGGCTAAATTGCTAATAACGAGACTTGTTCCTGAGTTCAGGAAGCTGTAAAGTTCCAAATACCAACGCATAAACAATAGCGCCCACAGGGTTCCTGAGTCGAGGTGCAGGTTGTGGATACTCGTACAGCAGCACCGCGCACCTTCTAGTTTCCTTCGAACTTCTGATGTTTCTCCGCGTGCGAGATATGGTGCTTCAACAGGAATGAGCAATCACAGGAAGGGTACAAAGCTGCGGTTGCTGTTTAAGCGCCCACCGATCCGCGCCCACATCCCGTCAACGTCGCAAATAGCTCCGAGTCTTACCACCCAAGCTAGCCGAAAATCGCTGGAGCACGAGGAAGCGGCGGCGATAATCGATTAAACTCAACAGCACGTGGTGCATCGAACTTTCGACATCCCCGTTGACTTACGAAATGACTTCCCTCTGCACACAACGCAATGGCAGACGCCTACGTTCGGATACCGATCTCCGTTTCATCTCCCCGTGTCCCTCTCTTCATTGTTTCAAATGAGAACGTCGCAATTGTTATGCACAAATGGGGAGGTACATTAATTCTACCGAAGGGATAGTGGGCGAGTTCATGGGGTGACAACGGCAGGGGCGGCGTTTGGCGCAGCAGCGGCAGGCGTTGCAGCAGCCTTGCCCGTCGTCGAGATCGCGCTGCAGTTGGGTACCATGGTCGCTGGATCAGGGCCGTGCTGGATGGGGTTGCAGCCAGGGAGTTCATTGAGGTCTAAAATATCGGTTAGCGTTTGGGCGTTGGACGTCGAATAGGATCGGAAGGTACTTACACACTCCCTCAGTCACTTCGTCGACTTTTGGCTCCTGCTTGCATGAGTTCATCTCCTCGTCGGAGATTTGGGTGAGCTCGGGGCAGGAATCGGGGAGACCGAGGATGTCGGCACCACAGTTGTCCATCGCTCGCTGGAGTGCGTCACCTTCCCATCCGAAGATGTAGTCGCCGTGATGTCCATAGCCAGTTCTATGGGCGTCGTGATGTCAGTGGATTGAAAGGTATGAGTCGAATGGGAATTAGAGGGACTTACGGGTCTCCTTGGCTGAGAACGAAGGGCTGGCTGCCATCCTCAGGCCAGAGGTGGTTAAACTGGGCTGTGTCCCAGAGGGTCTCGAAGAAAAGCATCGGAAGTCGGACGGGGTGGGTCTCGGGGCACTTGCCATTCATGAGAATGATACCCATGTTCGGATTGACGGTTCCTTCCATGAAAGCCACATGGCTCTGCAGCAAAGGTAAGGATAGGTTGGGAATGGCTAAGTGTAGGCAACTTACGGAATGGTTGGGAGAATCGAGGTTGACACCGTCCCAGCAACTGAATTGAAGGAATGGTGCAGGAGGTGAGAAGGGGGTGTGTTGATCGGTCATTGGAAGAACTTACGAAGGGAAGAAGATGTTGGCGCGGATACCATATGGGCAGGGCTTCTTCGGAAGCTCGACAGTGTCATACGGCCCGGCGCCTGGAGGGTAGGAGTTGGAGTAGTCGAAGAAGCCAGGGGTTTCGTAGCATCGGAATGAGGTAGACCAAGCAGCAGGGCTGGTAGGATCGTAGTTTGCCTGCCTTCGCAGCATTGGGTTTCCGGTGATCATTCGGAATCCCTAGGTCGATCGAGTATTAGTAAGAGAACGTTCGAAGCGTCTGAAGCGCTTGCCTTTTGGAAGGCTACAGTGGGCGAAAGGTCGGGAGGTTGAATGTAGTAGACAGTCATACCGCCGTCGGGGTTGCCTGTGAGGTGGTTAGGCTTCTGGGGCACCTATGTTTCCGGCTATCGTTACTGCCTTGAGCCAGGTGGTAGACCGACCGAAAGTTCTTACCCGAATGAAGCTCCCGTTCGGGTGCTTGAAGTAGAGGACTGCAGTCCAGTAGTTCGACTTATTCTCCTTGAACTTGCATGTTGTGCACGTTGCAACGTTCGGGAGGTCGAGCGACGGGTCCATCGACAAATTGAAGCTACGGAATACTTGAGTAAGTTGCTCTTGAACTAGCAACATCGAAGCTTACGCATTCTGAGATGGTTGGGGGTGAGCGAAGGCGGAGATTTCAGAAAATAATGAACACGTACGCCACCAACGATTTGGTGAAGGTGGGGAGATACTTCACCGGGGGTGACCAGACTGTTTGGGGAGGTAGGTACGATGAAACGATCCTACGATGGAGCACATACGGATCGAGACGCTCGGTTACGAGCTGAGCGCACGGGAATCGGATGAGCGCTCGAGCATTTGGCGCAACAGCACCAAAAGCGAGAGCCAGGAGCCAGAGCTTCATCGTCAATCGCACAGGGATAAGCGTCGGTCGAAGATATCTGGCAGGCGATGGGTAGGGCCTAAATATGAAACCCACGTGGACTTAGAAGGGATGTTTCGAAGGCGATAGAGAATGACACTCACCGTTAACGCCTCTAGGCATGGCAGGGCCAAGTTGGAATAAAAGTTCTTCCTAACCCAGCTGCGCTTCGCGAAGACATTGCTGACATGGCCTTGAGGGTAGAAAAACCGGGAATACTCCACCCAGTAGCGAGGCTCGCAGCAATTACTGGAGGGTAGGAACTGGCAAGAAATTTTCCATTGTTGAGGGCTTCTTGCGAGTGCTAAGTCAGATTTCCGCCGGTGAAGTACCGGGAATGATGTCTAGAGTGTTGCCCTTGACTCCACCAGTACTGGCCAGATGACCTGACTTCGGAGACGGCTGAAATTCAATATAGTATGAGCACGCGTATTTGAACCAGCAGGCTTCAAAGCTTCAAACTTGAAGCCCAAGTTCCAGGTCGTAATTCATCCTGATAAATTATACCACCATCGTAGGGCGCGAGGTCAGCGTGGGTCGTCGACGATAAGTAAGACACAGGTCGTACCGATCATTGACTGCAAAATTGAAAATCGCGTCGAGTTTTGGGACACGCCTCTGTATCCTCGAGTTCGCGGCTGTGTAGCCCTGCAGCAGTCAATGGCCGAACCCGTGTAACGGTATTTGGCGCTGTGCAATGATTGCGATTTGATTGGCTTTGTTATTTGTTGGGGCCCAAGCGGATCGAGGCAAACTTAACGCCCCGATTCACCGCTTCTCGCCAAGTCCTCCAAGTCCTTGCTCTCTCTTTATGGCCTCCAAACTCCTCCAATGTTCAACGTTCGACACTTGGTGGGTCCTTGGTCTGTATTGGCAAAATCTCCAGAACTCCCCTGGCCTGAGGAGGCTTCTGCTATACATGGCAAGTCCGATCAGGACAATTACCCTTGGTCTGGCTTTACGACATACAACGTATGCGCTGTGCCTGCTAAGCACTAAGCCAAATCGCCATTAATTGTCTGTCCCCTGCTTCAGCGCCCCATCTCGCCTCGCTGTGCGGTACTGGGAAACGTCCGGGACTTGTAAGTCGAGACCTGGGGTGTAGTGAGCAGGATACCTTTACTGAGGCGAGCCAGAGGGTTTTGAGAGGATTCCTAGACAAAATAGAGACCCCGAGAAACGGCGGCAAATTTGCCTCCGTTGAGCGCTATGCACTGGAAATTACCCTTACAGGTAAGAATTGACATTTCTCCGTTCTTGGCTGGAAACTCGCTTACCATCCGACAGTTTATTTTGGTTCCGCTGACGGTGATCAGTCAAGACCGCGGCACCATCAGGCAACATTGGCGGTCATGGCAGCGGCTTAGTCTGCCCAGAACATTCGGTCGCTCAGTTGGGAAGGACCCTGAAACCCCTATTCAGTCAGTGTCGCTTGGATGTCGAACGCAAACCGGCGAGGTGACGGTGGCACACATTGGAGGTCTCCTTCTTCCCTCTCATTCGCTTTCACATCTGTGACTCGTTTTCGTGACCCCAACTTGCGCTGGCCTTCGTGAACCGCGCACCCACCTTCGTTGTACTCACTTTCTTTCCGAAAGTCCCTCCATCACCGTGCTTCTACCATGAGCGACGAACCGGTCGTGAATAAGATGGATGGGGACCCTCGGTTTCCAATCAAGTTCGAGCCATTGTTCGCTCGAATGCAAGGTTCTCAACTGATTGCGGCTTTCATTAACTCTTTGTAAGTTCTGCTTCTTATCTAAGTTATCTAATTTGAGCTGAACCTGCTTGTAGCCTTTATGCAATAGGCATGGTATGCGCTCCACTGGCACCGGAGCCACTCTCGGAACAGATCATCGTACTCACCCGACCGACTCGCTCAGCTAATGGTCTCTCGGTACTTCCGTCATCACTCGAAGAGGGATCGTAAGACATTACAAGGCGTTGTTGGAGTGTTGTGGTGAGTTCTAGACTGTCCTCAGCTGTAGGATTGAAAGTAACGGGGATCGTTTAGCACGCTCGCAACGCTGGAGACGATATTCACTTGCCACCAGTCCTACGACACTCTGATTACGAAGTGGGGAAAGGTCGATGCATTGGACGAGATCATTCCGTACGTTGGTCGATCCTGGTCTGGAGTCACGGTACTGATTTACTATGCGGTGGTAGCTCCGTCCCAGTAAGCTCATAAATCCATGCCAGTCTCGTTGTACATGCTCACCTACACCGGAAGGGCAAATATGCATGCGTTGTGGGTAATCATTCCGATTCATTAGTACCTAAATTGACCCAAAGGTTTCTCAAGTATCTTACGGCGTTTGTGGCCCAGGTGTGAGTCTTCAAAGCGTCATCATCCTCTTATCATCCCCTTACTGATACATGAACCTATAGCTTCCTAGGATCGCGCATTTGGCTTGGTACGTGGGTCGCGGTTGGGGATGCCAGTATCTGATCATCCAAATGCAACTAGTTGGAATATCCAGTGGATCTCTCTGGAGATACATGGTCTTCCCGGTCGTACGTGAAGCCCCACTTTCGCCACCCAGTGTGTTCTAAGCCAAAAGCTCCATTCAACAGGTCTTCTTCTCGGTATTCCAGCTCGGTAAGTGCCTGCTGCTGTCGAAGAAAGGCTTTAGTCCGATATTAACCGGTAACCCTTCATTGGAAGCGGGTGGCTTAATGATTGTTATCCTCATGTAGGTCTGGTCATCTTGGGTGCGGGGGCTTGTCTGAACGAACTCGTCTAGGATCAAAACTGGATCTTTCTCAACGCTTTCACGCAACACCGCCATTCTAATTGTGAGTACTGTCGTTGTTGCAAGTGCGGGTACTAATGGGTGCGTAGGCGGCTAACGCGATCCAAGGTGCGGGTGCAGCACTCGCCGACATCTTGATTACAATCGGCCTCGTCGCAATTCTGAAAGCAAATATGACCGGTTTTCGACGGTAAATAGCTTTCGGGGGAGTCTAGTAAAGCGTTCATGCGACTAATGACCGTGTGTCTCTGTCTCCAGTGCCAGCACATTTCTGTCGAGGATCACGTCGCTTTTTATCAACCGGGCTCTGGCGACCAGGTAGGCTTTCAACGCCATCATCGCTATATTGTATGACTCACGGTTACTTCCCAGCATTCTCGCTGTTTTGAGTGTCTTTTTGGTACCTGTTTTACTGGCGCTTCATCCACGTTGTGCTGGCTGACTAGTATGCTTTCAGTTCTATTTCTGCTCGGGGACGTATTACTTGTGAGTCGCGTTCGACGTCTCGTATTGGGATCCTCCGCTAACCTGACTGAGCTTAGTATGATTCCTTTACTTGCTAACACCCATGGTGAGCTGGTCATTGAATATCAGGCATGGCTGCGCGTCGACTAACCTATCGTAATCTTGTCTCAGTATATGTCATTTCCGTCCTAGCGATGTAGGTTTCCTCTCGTGGTCTCGGTCATTTGCTGACTACCCGTTCACAGCCTGGTATCTCGCGAAGGGTTACGACAGGATTTGGATCGTTCAATCCATGTTTCTGAAATGTTGCTTGAAACTATGGGCAAGGTTGATAAAGATTCGACTTCTCAATTGGACGTTCCAGCGTGCGCTCAATCGGTAAGTACCAGCGAAGGCTGTCCCAATACTGGGTGCAGTGGAACGGTGTTGATCGATACATCGCCAGGGTCTTCAGGTGTCGATTGGGTATTCGGCTAGTGACATAACTAGTGCTACACAGAAGAGTTGATCCCATCGGCGTCTCGATTTCGTTTGGACGGATCTGTATCCAGCTCCTACAGCTCACTGAATCAATTGATTGACTTTTGTAGTGTCAAAGGTGATTTGAGGTGACATCCGTCCAAGGCGGACTGCCGTTGGATTTCCACGACGACGGAGACTGCACCACTTTGCCTTGGAATCACCGCGAGGTTCTTGATGAATGTACACTCGACGCCCACAGGCAACATAACATGTCCTTTGAAACTGCTTGTTCTCAGTCGGGGTCAAATACCTGCAAAGTTCTGAACAAGCGCCCGGAAGTGGTCATGATCAGTTAGGTATTGGAATCTGGAATCCAAGATAGACAGTAGTATTAGGAACCTGATAGCACAAGTATTCGACTCACTTCGGTAAGATTGTGTACCTGGAGGCTGCCCTGGCTGCCAGAGTTGGTGGTCACAAGCCGGCGCCCGATTCCCGAGAACGGATTATCCGCCCACATTTAGGCGCCTCCTCTGATAGGATGTGTATATGCCGTGCCTTGTGTGAATATTCGAGCCCTGTTCTGCAGAGCCCACGTAAAGGTACGTATTGTTAGCTCACCGTCCAAGGGCTTTCGGGCACCGAACCGGTGTGTAGGTGAGTGTGGGTGAGGGTGTAGTATAAAAAGGTTGACCTTGCCACCTCAGTAACCTTAGGACATCTCTCCTACTAATCTTTAGGCTCTGTTCCGTTATAGATCGCCATGCGTGTACTCTTCTACCTCGCCTCTGCTTTCACCCTGTCGCTCGCTCTTCCACAAGGCTCTCAAGAGCTTGTGGCGACAGACGATTGTCCGGAGGTCGTCCCAGGGCCTGGCCTACCAAGTTTAGCCTCGCTCAATCTCACATCCGCCGACCTCTGCAAGTCACCTGAAGAATTTCAGATGAGTCTCTATGGACAAGGTACGAGCTTGAACGTCATTCTATGTGATGTGTAATAGCGAACTAAATTATCGCTTTCAAGTGGAGTCTCCGTCATCGGCTCAGGACTCGGCGAACGATGAGAAGCAATTGGTCAAGAGCACTATGAGACCGATCCCCAGGAGATTCTCCTGGGGAACTCCTGCGGGTCCTGCGCAGGCGGGTGGATTCCTGCCAACGCAGGATGAGTCCCGCGGAGGCAGTTTCGTTGATCAACCCCGCCCTGGCGGTAGGGTTGATCCCGCATGGGCAGGAGGAAAAGTCGGCCCCGCCGGTGCAGTTTTGACAAACCTGCACAAGCAGGACGAAGCGCCGGACCCGCCGGTGCAGTTTTGACAAACCTGCACAAGCAGGACGAAACGCCGGCCCCGTCTGTGCGGTTTTGACGAACCTGCGCAAGCAGGAGTCCCTAGGCAGGGCAAAAACGTTGGCCCGCCTGGGCGGTTCGACCAACCTGCGCAAGCACAAGGGAACGATATCGGGCCCACCTAGGCGGTTTCAACCACAAGATACCAGCGACAACAGGCCGCCCTCGTACGCGAGCGCGAGATCATGAAGGACGTTCTGGCTGGGAGGTGTGTTCATTCATGTGGATGAATTGGACTTGGAGGGTGGCTAGCCACACTGCACAGTAAATAGACTTTGTGAATAAAATGTTTGTATGCGCCATCGGCCCATCGACGACAACGGCCACGTCAATGACGTCACGCGTGTCGATGGTGTCATACAAAACGTGCTTTAAGTCGACTCCTCGCTCTCACCTTCAACCTTCAACGTTCAACCTTCATCGTCAGCCTCCCTTTAGGCGTTTTCCTTAAATACTCGCGTTCCTTTCAAAACTCATTTCGAGTTGCCTTGATGGAGTAGAGCATGCCCCTTCTCAGACCACCTTGGATAACTCCCCCTCTGGCAGTTGGCTGGGTCTGCAGACACCCGGCGAGTGGGTCGTCTTGTTTGGCAAGTTCTTCAGGTGCGCTTATTCCACCCTGGTACCCATGGTTCGTCGTCTGAGACCTTGATTCCTCTAGCCTTCTCGTTTATCCTCTTTTTTTTCTCATAGGTCCGAGTATCTACGTAAGTAAATAATCTAATCACCATCAAAGAGATCGATGACTCCACTGACATTAATACATACTGTCCTTGCAGTCCGCCTTCCATGCCTCTCTGGGCCTCAGATCAGATCCCAGGCTTTGTTTGGAATGTTATAAGCATTTATTCGTGTCGTATATACCATGAATACAGTCATTCTATCTTTCCTGCACCTCCAGTTAAAATAAGGAATTACCTGCTCCCGCAGGTCGATGAGAACCCGCTCCCCCGGGTGCACCGTGTTCCAGCCTCCTGGGTAGGCAGGTCCTGCACCCGCGCTGGCGGAAATCCCGCAGTAAAACGGCAGATTTCCCCAGGAAAATCTCCCGCGAGGTGTATGGGGAGCAGAGGGACGAGACTTCGGGATTTCCTGCCTCGGCAGCAAATCCTCCCGCACTTGCAGAGGAACCTCCTGCTGGAGCGGGAGTTCCCTTCCTGCTCGGGCGGGAATTCCCCAGGAAAATCTCCTGGGGGGCGGACTTACAGTGGAGATACACTCCTTGGTGCTCCGGGACTCACATATCTGCGCCATACGCCGCGTCGTGCTTCAACTACCTATATGCCCTTGGGAGCACCGCTTGCGAGGTTCCACAGGGCGTGGTGTCTAGGTTCTGCCATTCTACGGGATCTGGGACACTATAAGTATTAAACACGTAAGACGATGTACCACTGCAAGTGGGGAAGAGTTCGATAATATTAGTACAGATATAAATTACAATGAGGACATACCTGCAAGTGGGGAAGAGTTCGATGGGGGAACTCCCACTTGCAGTCACTACCTATATACGTCTGGGGACAAAGGGATGTCTATATACGGTAGAACAATAAGATGTCCGAATTGGGAATAAGGGATACAAGAGAACAATAGAACTACTTAATATATCCGAGATCAGAGAACAACAGAATGTCCGTATAAGGATACATGAAACGTTCGTACATAATTGGGCATCCTTGTACCCGTAAATGGAATAGATGTGACATGTGCATGTGTATTCCAACACACCCCCTCCAATGTAATGTCACTAGATAATTACACAAGTCCCAGTGCGATTCGATGACGTTCAACATCTTCTCGATGGAGTGGTTTTGTTAGAATGTCGGCGACCATGTCTTTCGTTGGGCAGAAATGGATCTCGATCTCCCTGCGCTTGATCTCTTGTCTGATCCAGTGCATCTTGATGTCGATGTGCTTCATTTTGCTGTGATGCTCTGGGTTTCGAAGGACTTTAATTGCTGACTGGTTGTCTACCATCATCGGTGAAGGTTAGTATCGAGTGAGAACCCAATTTCCCTCAGCAAGTTCCGTAGCCATATAATTTCTCGTCCTGCTGATGATGCAGAGACATATTCCGCTTTCAGTTGAAGAGTTGGCCACAGTGCTGCTTGCTTCTTGGCAGACCAGCTGATGGCTCCTGTTCCCATCTTGATGACGAATCCACTTGTTGATCGTCTCGTGTCGAGGCATCCTGCATAATCGGCATCACTGAATGTGTGGAAGAGTTCAGAGGCGAGTTGGGGGTTGTTGTCCATGCGATATGTGAGTTTGAGATCCATGGTGCCCTTGAGGTAGCGGAAGACGTGTTTGACGGCTGTCCAATGTGTCATTCCGGGGTTTGAATTGAATTGTGCTAGCTTTGCCACAGCGAAAGCAATGTCAGGTCGAGTGCCGATTGCGAGATACATGAGTGCTCCCACAGCGTTCATGTAAGGAATGTTCCGCATCTCTTCTCGTTCCTCTTCTGTCTTGGGACACTGATCTTTGCTTAGGCGGACGCTTGGGTTCATCGGCGTTTTGACCGTGTTAGCCGCATCGAGGCGGAAACGGACGAGCATGTCCTGGATGTACTGCTTCTGTGATAGTTGCAGTGTCCGTTTCTCTCGATCGTAATCAACCTTAATTCCCAGAAGGTAGGATGTTGGTCCAAGGTCTTTCAGTTTGAACACCTTTGCCAAGGCGTCCTTGACCCATTGTATCTTCTTCTGGTCTTTCGAGATGATTGTGATGTCGTCGACGAAGACGGGGCAGGGTGACTCGGATGCCGTCTAATTCCCAAATGTAGACACTGGGATCGGACTTCAGTTGTTTGAATCCGAGTCGTTCGAGTTCCTCTGCCAGTTTCTCGTACCAGAGTCGACCACTCTGCTTTAGCCCATACAGTCCCTTCTTGAGGCGGCAAACCCATCGTCCCCCATTTTGGTTGGGGACTTCGAATCCCTCTGGCTGGACCATGTATACTTCGTATTCATCTTCAATTTCTCCATTGAGGTATGCATTGGAGATATCGATGGATTCGATGAATTCACCGTTCATGGCAGCTTGTGCGAGGATTGCTCTGATGGTGGCAAGGCGGGAGGTTGGAGCGAAGACTTGGTCATAGTCGATTCCTGGTGCTTGGGCAAATCCTTTAGCGACGAGGCGTGCTTTGTACCGGTCAATAGTGCCATCAGACTTTCGCTTGATCAGGAAGACCCAGCGTGATCCAATTGCTTTGCGTCCTTGTGGGAGTTGGACGAGTTCCCAGGTGCCGTTGGCAATGAGGGCATCAATTTCCGCTCGAGCAGCACTGATCCACTTGTCTCTGTCTGGTCGGGCCATTGCTTCCTTCCAGTTGCGTGGCGAGTCCTCTGGTCGTGTGGCCGCTCCGAGTGCTTTTTCCTTCACCTTGTCGAGAACCATTTCGAGTGCCATTTCACATGCTTCAGCCATCGTGAGGTACTCTCCACTCATCCCGTAGACGTGCAGGATGGAGTCGAGGACTGGTGTTGCTTGAAAGTCTGAGTGGAAGTCGGGTTCGTCCTCCTCATTAATGTCGTCGGCTGTGATAGGTGGTAGATTATCCTCTCTTGCACCCCCTTGATCTACTACCTGATCACCCCCTTGGTCCTGGTTCAGTGGATGACCATTTTCCTCTGCTGTTCGTCTTGGGGCAGGCGCAGTGCCCCTGCGTGAGTGTCCAGCTAAGGTGTAGTAATCCGTGACTCTTGCCGTGGAACGTATCGGACGAGGGTTTTGGGATGGCCTGTGGAGGTGGTTTTGGCTTGGGTTGCTCTTCCCTGTCCAAAGTTCGGTGCAGGGAGTGGAGCGGGATTCTCTACCAGTGGTTCTGGTGACGATGGTGGGACAGGTGGTTGCGATCGGCCTTGTGGTGTGGGTGAGGCTTCCTCTTCTCGATGATAAGGTGCGTGGCGTGCGACTGGAGGTTTTGCCGTTTGGGGTAGAAGGGGTCACTAATTCCTCTTTCACTTGTGGAGTGTCTGTTCCAGAGTGTTCTTTCTTGACCTGAGGTTTTGGCGTGTATGGAGGAGTGTCGTCATCATCGGAATCAGAGTCTGACTCGTGCGTGGTTGTGCTCGGAGCGTCCCCCGTACTCCTAAAGCTTGCTGGGGGAGCTGGAGGATCAGGTGGTGCTCCCGGACCATGCGATGCTGTATCCCATTCATCGTCATCATCATATGGCCAGATGTCTCGGATGCCGACTGGTTTGACCGTAACCGTGGTTGACTTTGTGGATAGGCCAGGAAAAAGGGTCTCATCGAAGACGATATCTCGAGAGATGATGAATTTCTTTGATTGTGGGTCAAAGCATTTCCATCCTTTGTATCCTGGTTCAAAACCGACAAAAATGCAACGGGTCGTATGGGAGTCGAGGTTCCGTCTATCCTTTCGCTGGATGTTGACATATGCTCTACATCCGAATGTTCTGATCATGGACAAGTCCGGTTTCCGACCTTCCCATACTTCGTAGGAAGTCGTGTTGGAGACCGATGCTGATGGAGTCATATTGAGGATGTCGACGTAGTAGAGAAGGGCGAGTGACCAGAATGATGATGGGAGATTTGCTTGGCAAAGCCATGGCTACCACTCCTTCAGCTGCGGTTCGGTTGAATCGTTCACTGACACCGTTCTGTTGTGGTGTGCTTTTTACGGTGTGTTGGCGAGTGATTCCAAGTTTCTCGCACCACGCATTGAATTCCTTTCCAATGTATTTACCCCCTTTGTCGTCTCGGAGTTCCTTGACCTTTCGTCCGTGTTTCCTCTCAACTTCGGCCACAAATATCTTGAACTTCTCGAAGGCTTCGTCTTTGCTCCTTCAAGAGGTACACTCGTTTATAACGTGAGTAGTCATCGATGAATGTAATCCAGTATTTGTGTCCGGGCAGTTGTGCGGGTGAGAGGGCCATGGAGGTCACTGTGGATGCGTCCGAGTAGTTCAGGGGAACGGTTGTTGGAGTGAGTTGGGAAGGGATCCCGATGTTGTTTCCCATCCTGACAGTGCTCGCACACGTTATGGACTTCAGTGTTTGGTTTGACAAGAATGCCTGTAGCTAGCTCCTTGTTGATGAGAGTGTCAAGTCTCCCTTTGCCTATGTGTCCAAGTCGACAGTGCAGGGTTTGCTTATCGACTCGTGCGATGTATGCCTGCTCGTTATATGCCAGAGTTGTGCCATTTAATGTGCCAATAGTGCCCTTGATGCTCGCTGTGAATAAGACCTTGTTGTCTCTTGAAAACTCGAGACTGTTTCCCTCAATAACCACTCGCATTCGACTCTTTGTAACAACGGTGAGGATAGAAAAGAGGTTATTTTGCAATGCTGGTACATAAAGGACATTCTGGAATATAACAGGACTCGGCGGGTTTGCCATCTACAACCGGGGAGAATACAACACTTCCCTTCCCGACTGCCCACACTACGGTGTTTGTTGGCAAGCTCGACGGGAATTCTGCATGGGACCCATATTTCGGATCCACCTGCGGTGTGGTGTCATATGAGAGGTAGCTCCTGAGTCTGTGTTCCAAGATTCGTCAGCATTGGTGTTAAGCGAGCGGATACGAGGGGGACTTGCGAGGTGTGCGACTTGGGCCATCTGGGCCTTGACGATAGCGGGAGGTGTTTTGTCATCCTCTTCAGCGATTTGAGCCTTCTGCTGCTGAGCCCTGCAGTCCTTGTCGTTATGGGACTTGTTGGGGCCATGGACCGAGCAGTTGAACTTGGCCTTCGGTTTCTTGGCCGCCTTTTTAGAGGCCGCGAGGGCAGATGCAGCTGAAGCTTCTGCAAGGGCAGTGTTCTTGTCGAGAGTGTCTGCTCGGCGAAGGTGCTCAAGAATGTCGCTGGCCGTAGTGCTCTTGAGGTGGGCGAGGGTGTGACGAAGAACCTTGTCCTCTTCAGCTATAAGGCCAACGGTCATCATAGCGGCAGCAAAAGTCGTTGACGAGGTCAACAGCACTGTATCCCTTGTCGAAGGTGGAACCGGTGACCACAGTCTCCGCTGTCACTGGTGTTGCGCCGGTCGCTTGTGACGTGAAGAAGGAGCCGGATGCTGTGGTTTCCTTGACGTAATGGGACCAGAAGGGAGGCGATTGATGAGCTGTTGTCCAGCAGCGACGCATCGTGCACCATAATCCGCGTACGTCTCGTCTTCCTGCTTTCGGAGTGTCATGAGTTCTTGGATCGCGGAAGTCCTTGATCCAGAGTCCTTGGGCTCGTATGCAGTAAGGAGAGTGGTCCAAATTGTTGGTACGTCTAGGATGTCGACATCACCAAGGAGGGTCTCCGTCTGCGCATGGTCGAGTGTGGAGCGGCAGGTAACCGGCCATCTTGGAACGACGCTCCTGATAGTGCTGGCGAGCCTTCATCTGCCCGCTGGCCAGTTGGCGCCGTTTCTTCGCCCGTGAGGATATCATAGGCGGCGAACTCGAGAGCTTTGTTGATGCAGACCCGCTTCCATTGTGAAATGGTCGTGGCCGACAGTGGGTTGTCGGTGGTGACGGTGGTGGACGACATAACGGAGTGTGGAGGTAAGGGTATGCGTCAATTGGTTGACTTGGGAGCTCCCAAGTCAGCAACGACGAGGCACGAGGTGGCAAGTGGGCTTAACGAGTCCTGGGAGCTCCCAAGACTGGTTGTAGGCACAGGAAAGGGGAAGACACGAGGCAGGGTTGGTCTCAAGGTCAAGTGGCACACTTGGACGATGAGAGAGCAAAGGGGGAGCCGTAGGCGAGGTGATCGAACAGATCGTCGTGAGTTGTCAGGCGGCGCGAGCAGTAATACTGATAAATCAGTTATGCCCGGGGCTCATAACCTATTAAACACGTAAGACGATGTACCACTGCAAGTGGGGAAGAGTTCGATAATATTAGTACAGATATAAATAAGTACAATGAGGACATACCTGCAAGTGGGGAAGAGTTCGATGGGGGAACTCCCACTTGCAGTCACTACCTATATACGTCTGGGGACAAAGGGATGTCTATATACGGTAGAACAATAAGATGTCCGAATTTGGGAATAAGGGATACAAGAGAACAATAGAACTACTTAATATATCCGAGATCAGAGAACAACAGAATGTCCGTATAAGGATACATGAAACGTTCGTACATAATTGGGCATCCTTGTACCCGTAAATGGAATAGATGTGACATGTGCATTGTATTCCAACAATAAGTCCGCCCACCAGGAGAATCTCCTGGGGAACTCCCGCGGGTCCTGCGTCGGCAGGAACTCACCCGCCGGCGCAGGATGAGCCCCGCCGGCGCGGGTTTCGACGACCGGCCCTGCCCTGGCGGTTTTCTTCGACCCTGCGGAAGCGGGAAAGAGGTGGACCCCGCCCTGGCGGTTTCTTCAACCCCGCGTCAGCAGGGGCAAAGTCCACCCCGCCGGGGCGGTTTCTTCAACCCCGCGCCGGCAGGGTCTGAGTCTAACCCGCCCTGGCGGTTTCTTCGACCCCGTGTCAGCAGGGGTAGAGTCCACCCCGCCTGGGCAGGGTCGCGTCGTCGCCCTCGTCACCGACTCACCGTCGTCGTCGCTCTGTCGTCGTTGTCGCAATTCATGTACACATGATGTTTAACACGAAAAGCATGTGTCATTAGTCAAAAAATATACATATTTCAACGAAAAAAGTGTTTTCTACGCAGGCGGGAGAGGTCAATTTGTGTTACTCAGAACCGTAACGTGCAAAGTGGGACTTAGATAAATGGCGCGAGTCGAGATCTGCGGTGGACTGTGGGAAGATATTTGATAGTCAGCCTCCAGATCACTTTTATGGCGTCGTCGCTCTTTTATCCTTCTATTTTAATGTCTCCCTCACTGTCCTCTCAAGTTTACCTCAGGTTTCTCCAGCCAGTTGTCAGGTCCTTCGTAGCTGCACTACAATGAGCAGGGGCTCAGTTTTCTCATAGCAGTGAGTCTCAATCTTTTTATCTCCGGGCTGTTGCTGACATTTACGCGTACGGCTTGCCTCCTCCACCATCCTCTGCGCGCTCATCTGCGCCATTGGGACCACCCATACTTGGAACCTCACTAGGCGGGTTCTCCTTTCCTCACTGCCCACGTCATTGACTGATTAAATTCCCAGTTTGTCGACGGTCGTCATGCAGATTTGGAAATTCCCGCTCTTCTCGCTCTCTTATTCAGTTACTCTTCAATTCAATGATCGTTCGAAACCGTTTTTTAATACGCATTTTGTACTACATACATGAATATAATCCATTTTGTGTGTATCCTGCACCTCCAGTAAAGAAAATTCAGCTGAGCCTGCAAGCCTGCACCCCCGGGGAAAATGTGGTCCTGGGACAGCAGTATTGCTGCCCTGCACCCGCGCTGGCAGGAAATCTCGCAGTAAAACGGCAGATTTCCCCAGGAAATTCTCCCGCGGGTTGTATGGGGCGTGCTCGACGAGGCCTCGGGTTTTCCTGCCCCGGCAGTGAACTCTCCTGCACCTGCAGGGGATTCTCCTGCGGGAGCGGGAGTTCCCTTCCTGCGCCTGCGGGAATCCCCCAGGAGGTTTTCCTGGGGGGCGGACTTATAGTGGGAGCAATGTCGCTTGGTATGGTAGCACCATTGATGGGCTTTACTCTTCGTCCACTTGGTGCGTAACTTCTGTTTTATGGAAGGAAAACTTTGCTTACTCTCGGGGTTGGGGAAATTATAGCATGGATGTCGCTCGGGGAGGAGAATGGGTGTTTTGGAACTGTATTGCTTCGGCTCCCGGTGCTGGACCACAGTTTATTAGGGAAGGTACGTCGGGCCTATTTCTGCGCTTATTTCTGTGGTGTTGGGTGCTGAATATGTGGATCCCAGGTGCAAATGCTGCTTGGGGAAATGCTCGCTTAGCCGTTCGTATCGGTCCAATGTAATCCGCAATAATCCTTGTATTTGTTAGAAATCTTTAGTAGTCATGCCATACTTATGGAGCTTGAGCACCATTTCAAAGTCGGTCGGGACGCCGTAAAGAGTCGACAACGGCGAAGTACTCAGACCCATGGACCCCGGCGTTTATCTAAGCGCCCACATATGACGTTAGCTCCTGCACTGGTTGTGGGCATGCCTTCCCAGCAACAGAACAAAGACGCCCTGATTTATTCCCCAGGTCGGACTCAATACCCGTTCCTGAAGCATAAAGGCCGGCAATAGGCCCTTTCCCTCATTTGGGGAGTGATATTTCTGTGATAACCACAAAAACAATGAAGCTTCCGTCACACATAGGGACTGTGTGAAGGCCCAAGGAGAACCACTCCATCCCAGTCGAGCCTAGGACTGAATCCGCAGAGACAGCCATCCACGAGGCTCAACGTAATCAAAGCCGTTTTCCATGTATTCATTAGAAGGAGAGTCTGGAATCTGCAACAACGGGGTTCCCGGGCGGCTAAGCGCCCACAGTACATAACGTGAACTGCAAGAATAGCCAGGGAGCGCGCAAGTCCGAGCGCGGCGGTGGAAATCCGCCAGGCGTCAGACGACCTTTAGTAGGCGAATTGTTTGTGTTAACTTTAAGTCTCGCGGCGACCTGGCTCTTGTCGCGTGAGGATCTCCGTGAGCTGTATCAAAGGCCCAGAATGCGAGTCGGGCAGCCGCTACGGAGGGGAGGTGTATAAAAGGGATGTCCTTAACATCCAAAAGAGACGGAATTTCTCGTCCTATATCAACCACTTCCCAGAACATGATAGCTCTTGTCTACCTCACCATTACTGCTCTCCCTCTCTCTTTTGCTCTTCCCCAGAGACCTCCAGTAGACCTGTCTCCAGAAGGCAGTTGCCCAGACATCGTCCCAGGGCCGGGGCTCCCTAGCCTAGAGTCGTTGAACTTGACTTCCGCCGATCTGTGCGTGTCGCCGAAGGAGTTCCAAGCTCGCTACAGATCTCTACATGGTGAAGGTGCGATCCTGTCCATGACCTGTCATAAGCGCCGCTGACTCCGGATTTCTAATGTGAACATTGACCTTCCAGACGATGTCTCAGTGGAGGAGTCCAAAGAGGAGGAAGGTCAACTGGTTAAGCGCTACACACCGTGGTGTAGCCTCAACTGGCTCTCACATCCCGATAAGGCTAGATCGTGCTTCAATTACCTATGGGCGCTTGGAAACACCGCTTGTGAGGTCCCGCATGGGGTGACGATAAGGTTTTGTCATTCCACCGGTGGCTCAGATGTTGCATGGTATGGAAGTACGATCGATGGGCTTTATAACTGGTCTACTTGGTACGTTGGTTCTGAGTCCCCTGAGTATGTGTAAACGAGAGCTGATTAACTTCATGCTTATCTTATAGTCGCGATGTTGCTCGAGGAGGTGAATGGGTTCTTGATAATTGCTGGACTACGTGGCCTGGGATGATGTGGATGACGGAAGGTGTGTAATGTGTTTTTTATGTTGACCTTTGGGATATGTTTTCAACAAAATTCCTGAATGTAGGAGCAAATGCAGCGTGGGGAAACCATGCTTTGGTTGTTCACATTGCGAATATGTAGAGGGGACGTGTAGGGAACAAGCCCATGATTTATGTGTACAGCGAATTCTTTGTCTCTTCCAGAGTCGGTATTCATCTACGAAATGTACTTGCTATGGCTAGGCGCCTTGAGGGGTTTGGTGTGCCTTGCAAATTGCGCCAGCCATCCGACTCCAACATTGCTCGCACATCGGGATTCGGAGCTGAAAAGGGTATCATAGAGAATCCAAATCTTTACATACAAAGGTAGTAGATACTAGTAGTCTCCACTCCCTCCATCCCTTGGTCGACGGCAAAGACGAAATAGAAGGATGGCGAGCGATCAGGTGCATGGGAGGGGCGGGTACAGGCACTTGGCCGAGTCGTATCCGCCCCTGGCCAGCCCTGGCCCCTACATCACGCTGCCTATCGCCATGCCCAAAAGTTGAAAGAAACTGCAATATCCAACACGTACTCAGTATCCAAAACGTTACGGCAGCCAAAATCGCTGAGGTTTGTGGGATCTGCCATCTTGGATCGGTCGAAGTCGATGATCCGCCAGGGATGGACAACTCCGTGTCGAGGGCATAGCTGTGGCTCACTCTGCGGAGATGGCTTGAATGCCAGTGTGTTCCAAGGTGTAAGATTATCATGCACCACGCCGACTGCAGCCAAGTCGTCCATTACTTCATGAATTGCGTGTCTGGAGTCCAAGTCTTAATGTTGAGCCAGATATATTACTGGGAACACATGTGAACGAAGAGCACTCACTTGTCTGCAGCAGTTTTCCGCCCGGTACATGGTTCGCCCAGCAGCTCGAGGACGAGGACGGAGATGGTGGGATTGTCGTCGAGGTTCCGACTCCATTGGTACCAGGGCGAGTCTAGTTCGTGGTGCGTGTGCTCAAAGGTCCGTTCAGCGTAATATTCGGGCACGTCGTCGGTGAGCCAGTCTGGCGAAGGATACTCGTCGATGTTGTCCGGGGTCGAGTCCGTATCTTCGAATAATACCTGTCGGTCAGTCCAGGGCTCAAACTCGAAATCGACACCGGGGAATTTGGGTTGTTCCGAGGCGGTGGACGCGAAGAATCCGAATGAAAGGGGTACGGAGATGCCCTGCAACGATTCGAGCTGCTCGTAGAACCAAGCTTCTCTAGCTAGGCTCCGACTGAACTCTGGCTTGGCGAATTTGAGGCATAAGGTGGAAGGGATGGTTGAACGGACGTCACTGCCGCTTTGTGTGGCAGAAATAACTTGTGCCACGTAGGTTATGCCAATTCGTCCCTCCGAGATGCGTTCAACAAGCTTGATTTCGAGCGTCCCGTCGAAGCCAGAAACATCCTTGGCCGCCCATGTGGCTGGAACTGGTCTTTCCCAGTCTTGCTGATACCAGAGGGCTGCGGGGAAAGAGGGTGAGGCTTTGAGTGTAATAGTTGTTGGTTCGCCATCGATGGAGCCGCAGTTGTGAATCAGTATTGTAGAGAACATCTGGTGCGCTTTACGGAAAGACAGGATGGAGGGTGGAGTCAACACACAACTGAGGGATTGTCATGCCACGTGGAAATTTCGTCCACCTTGCGCCGTGCTCGTGGGACCTAGATTATCGGTATTAAGTTTGACGCTCCGCGAAATCCCTGGGACATGGAGGTTACATACCACGACTTGACCACGACTCTTTGTAGAGTGGCCGTTGTCTGATGGACAACGGTGTTTGGATTTCGGTGCGATGGCAAACACCGATCTTGCGGCCCGAGCTCTTTTTCTCCAATCGACCGTCTGGGCCTCGAAACCACTTCCCAAATGCCACGATACCCAAGGAGCCTATACTAGGGTCCTTCAAATCGGAAATTGGAATGTCTCTCGTCAAGTAAGGGTATCTGAATAGAGAAAGTAAATCTTTACATACAAAGGTGATAGACAGTAGTCTCCATTCCCTCCACTGTCCCTTGATCTACGGCAAGGAGAAGTAGAAGGGTGGCAAACGATAAGGTGCATGGGAGGGGCGGCTACAGGAACTTGATCGAGTCATATCCGCCTACAGCACGCTGCCTATTCCCATGCCCAAAAGTCGAACTCAGTCGCAACATCCAACATAGACTCTGTATCCAAAACGTGATAGCTGCCATATTGGCTCAGGTTTTTGGGATCTGCCATCTTGGATCGGTCGAAGTCGATGATCCGCCAGGGATGGACAACTCCGTGTCGAAGGCATAGCCGTGGCTCACTGTGCGGGGATGGCTTGAATGCGAGTGTGTTCCAAGGTGTTAGGTTACCCTGCACCACGCCGAGTGCAGCCAAGTCGTCCATTACTTCATGGATTGCCTGCCTGGAGTCCAAGTTTTGATGTTAGCCAAAAAGAATCACCGGGATTATATGTGAACGAAGAACACACTTGTCTGCAGCAGTTTTCCACCCAGTACATGGTTCGCCAAGGAGCTCGAGGACGAGAACGGAGATGGTAGGATTGTCGTCGAGGTTCCGACTCCATCTGTACCAGGGCGAATCCAGTTCGTGGTGCGTGTGCTCAAAGGTCCGTTCAACGTAATATTCGGGCACGTCGTCGGTGAGCCAGTCTGGCGAAGGATACTCGTCGATGTTGTCCGGGGTCGAGTCCGTATCTTCGAATAATACCTGTCGGTCAGTCCAGGGCTCAAACTCGAAATCGACACCGGGGAATTTGGGTTGTTCCGAGGCGGTGGACGCGAAGAATCCGAAAGAAAGGGGTACGGAGATGCCCTGCAACGACTCGAGTTGTTCGTAGAACCAAGCTTCTCTAGCTAGGCTACGGCTGAACTCTGGCTTCGCGAATTTGAGGCACAAGGTGGAAGGCAGGGTTGAACGGATGTCACTGCCCCCTTGTGTTGCGGAAATGACTTGTGCCACGTAGGTTACGCCAATTCGCCCCTCTGAGATGCGCTCTACAAGTCTGATTTCGAGCGTCCCGTCAAAGCTAGAGGTATCCTTGGCTGCCCAAGTGGCTGGGACTGGTTGTTCCCAGTTTTCCCGATACCAGACGGCGCCGGGGAACGACGGTGAGGCTTTCAGAGAGACTGTTATTGATTTGTCGTCGATGGAGCCGCAGTTGTGAATCAGGATTGTCGAGAACATCCTGTGCACTTGACGGGAAGGCAGGATGGAGGGGGGAGTCAACACGCAACACGCGACATGGGGATTGTCATACCACGTGGAAATTTCGTCCACCTTGCGCTGTGCTCGTGGAAGCTAGACTATCGATAGTTTGACGCTCCGCGAAATCCCTGGGACATGGAGGTTACCACGACTTGACCACGACTCTTTGTTGTAGAGCGCCCATTAGCTGATGGACAACACGGTGTTTAGATTTCGGTGCGATGCCAAACACCACCCTTGTGATCTCCAGCTGTTCACTCCTTTTCTCCAATGTCGACCATCTGGACTTCGAAACCACTTCCCTCTTCCCTTCCTCCAAGGCTTTATGAATGATGCCACGATACTATAGGAGCGTATACTTCGGTTCTTGAACTCAAAATGTCTCGGGAAACCCCAGTCACGAACCTCGCTACTTGCTGCTTCACGCTCCGACCAATTGGCAACGTTCCTCGATTTCATGTCGCTGAGAAGATATTCTGTCGTGTTTCTCTGAAGGACATGACTCGTCTGGATCTGTGAATAGCCGCTCAGTCTCAGGAGTCAATGAACGAATTCAAACTGACGTGACGATTAGTTTGGTCTGCCTAGGTCAAAACACTGACTCTGTCGAATGACTCTGTGCGTTCCTTGCTCAATCCTGGAGCTGACAGCACGAGTAGTGTGTAACTTTGTCAAGATTGTACGTTCAAAATCGTGTCTCACAGTTTCTCACTTCCTTGACTTACCTTTGACCACCAGGCTATGGAACGAGATGGCTATCAGCGTACGGTTACGGGACGATATAAGCGATCGGCGTACGTAGCCTTCCCCATGATACGGTGCAGAATGAGAAGGGAGCAACATCTTCGACTGTGCAGGACGTGCTGTCCTCATGCCCATACCATACCACAGTCAACTTCGTCAATGAGTAGCGAAATCGACGGCGACTTACTAGGCCAGGTAAAAAGTTCCACTTCTGTACTTTCAATGACACGTTGACGCCTTAATTAGCGACATAGGAGCTCAAAATACTCAAGCGGTTTGGGTATGGCAACTCGTCGACGAATTGAGGATTCAGAGATTGCTCGATGTGGTGTCGTTGTCCATGGACCTCCATGAACCATGGGATGTGGCTCGTCCCCTCGGTGAGGTGAACCACACCCGTGATATTCTACACCAATCTAATTTCTATTAATGCTCTTCAGTGCGACTGCAAAGTTTCACAAGTCAATCACCTAGCTAGGATTGAGTCACGCGAGCCCACCGCCCTGCTTGACATCCTGAAAGCGTCGGATTCGAATCAAGCGTTTCCGACCGACTCTCCCTTCCGAATGCACGATATTTCGAGATCCATGCCGCCTGTCCTAAGATTCCACGTCTTTCCGGCGCGGCCGAGTACTTCGACACGACTTCGAGAGAGTGCGATGCAAGGCCCGTCCTTGCCAGCGCTGGGTCGGCTCCTGGTACTGTTCTCGTGCAGACAACGAGACGCCCAATGCTACCGCAACACCAGCCAACGGCCCAACCCTGTCGAGCTCGGGGATAAGTTCAGAATCGAACTGGTGATTGCAGCGGGTAGGGCGATATCTGATGGCTAACGCAACGCACGTACTGGCTGTATTGTGCTGTGCTTATCGACAAGCGATCGGCTGCGGTGGGGACTGCGATTGGACGGTCCTTGGTCACACTGTCACGGTGCTTCTGATCTGTCGCCCAAAATAAGACTCGGAGGTGTCTGGAGGTTCCATGTATATCCCGAGTGCGTATTCATGCTATAGGACCTTCTTGAATGGAAGTTTCATTTCCAACGCGATATAGTCCGATGTTACTGGGAGTCGAAAAGTTGTGGCAATTGTCACGGACAGCACGTGTTCATTAGTCTGGAGGTTAAAATTGGTTATCGCAATCCTACCTATCAAATTAGAGTGAAGAAGTTGATAGCTTTACAGCTCTGCGCAGTTCCATTAGCGCCCTGGTCGCGAGGCTTGAGGTTTAAGAGCGAGTCGACCTCATGTTGGACATGCTCTCTAGCCTCTCTTAAAGTTCTGCTACTGATTTCTTGATGTCGTCTGCAGCACAATCTGGTACAGCTGGCCTGCATTTTCGCCGTCGGAGAGGGTTTCGGTGGGATTACGCGACATTTGGTGGGACCACGGTTCCGCTTTCCGCCCCGAGTGAAGAGAGTGTGGGGACAGTCGGCTCGGGAAGCGTGGAGGACGGTGTTGGCGGACTCGTTCCACCGAGCGTTCTGAGCGCTCCTGATAGCTCAGAAACCGGCTCTCAAACTCCTACATCCATGACAGGTGTAGGCGTATCTTTGTCAGCGCACCAACAACCCTCGGTGCAAACAACGTCTCCAGCTGTTCCCGACTCGGACTTGTTGGTCGCGGATGCAATCGACTCTTTGCCAGGCCCACTCGGTGCGGAGAATAGTGACGAGGACGAGGAACCAAGGTGTCCTTTGACGCTGGAAATAACTGCGAACAAGGTGGCTCGGTGGATCTCCATCATTGTTCTAGGCTCTCTGGGAGGGTGGTCCCTTTTCCCTTCGGAGGATAGGATTCCAACTTCGATGCGCTGGGTTTTGTGCGTCGCGTTCCTGGTGAATTCGTGAGTGTTTGTTTTCTGGAAATGAAAAGGGAGGTGCTGATCATTTGAGTTAGGGTTGTTTGTATGGCGTCTTTGGATACGCTGTACCCTCCCGCCGTTAGTTGGTACTTTCGAAAATCGTTGAACAGGTCTAGATTGTTGAAGGGTGGGGGAAGCACAGCTGGTGCAGATCCAGATCCCATTCTCGTAAAGTTGCGAGGGTACGAGATTGTCAATGCGGGTTTAGTTTTGGTGTATCTTGCGTTCAAGTACTGGAAGAGAGAAGATAATACCGCGCTGGCGTGGGTGGATATTGCGCATGGCTTGGTTGCTGGAGCAGTGTAAGTATTCAGCTACCCTTGATATGGCTACTATGCCTTACTGAACGGACTTTCTGCGACTTCAGATTGTATCAAGTCAATCAGATTCAATGGCCAACCGGCTGGAAGAGATTTAATCGCTGGATGTTCAAGAAGAATTTCGCAAAGTTGGCGATTAATAGTGCGTAATTTTCTTATTGCAGCGTTTAGTGACTTATTGGGTCTTTGCCAAAGTCCTATCCGTGATCTATGGCCTCAGTACGCTATAGTCACATACCTGACCGTGCATCGGCTGATGGTTTCCTCGAGGCACCTGGTGGTGGACCTACCTCCGCATCATAGGCGTCATCAAAGTGATTCGCCAAAGGCGCGACCCCTCCGTCCGGCCACAGTTCCTCATCCTGATGGCAGGGATGGTCCTTGAAGCGACTGCTATTCTCCTCTTTGTGTTTTCGGCTGTGGTGTGGAGGTTCATTGAGAAGCTGGGTGATAATGGCGTTCTTGTTAGGTTGGGGAGGGAGGTTGGTGTGAGGAGGAGGTTGGGCGAGTTGGATGAGATATGGTACTCGCATTTCGTTCCGATGGTTGCGGTTGCGTATGGGTGGGTTGTGGTTATGATGGCTGGGTTTTGGGATGGTGTTCCGATGGGGTTTGTGATACCTTGCTCGCAGGGAGGATGGGTGGTTTGCGAGAAACTGGCTAGATATGTATGAGTGGTATATTTTTTCCGTTATGTACATCCACGGTGGTCTGCTCCTGGGGTTCTGGCTGGATGTTGCTATATAACTGAGAAGAGAAAGGTCGAGGTACATGGGACTAATGTAAGAGTGTGGTAGACTTACAGACGTTGGAGAGCGATGAAACTTTGAAGGGATGAAGGACGGAGGCATTGGATACTAGCATTCACGATCGAAGGAAATACATAACTTCGGTCTTGAACTTTTGAACTTTGAAGTCGAAGAAGAAGCCGATCAAAACATCGATTCCTGCTCGTGTCCCAAGCTAAAGTCATCAGAGTGACTCGGAAGACCGGTTGGCACATTGAATATTGATCACTCGAGGGAGGGAGGTGCCGCTGAAGGGATCTTCGAAGCAAGTCGGAGAGAAGTAGCAATGACGAAAAGGTGGAAACTGGAGGGCTAGAACACCTGTTAGTGTGTCAGTTAGCAAGGATCGCACCACCACCGCTTCCAAGTTCCTCGCGAGTCCGACCTAGAATAAAACGCAGAAAAAAAGAAGGGGTATCATAGAGAACGTAGTAAATCCTACATACACGGGGGTGGTAGATAGATAGATGGTAGTAGTCCTAGCAGGGGGTAGATAGTAGTCCGAGTAGCAGGGGGTAGTATGTACGCGGCAAACAGCAACAACAACAGAAACTGATAGCGCAACAGGGTTCGATTGCAATTAGAGGTATATGCAAAGGAAAGGTGTATTTCACAACACGACACAACATGGACGAACGAACGAACGAAAGTAACGCAAGAAAGGAGGCAAAGGAGGAGGAAGGAAGGCAAAGGAAGGGAATAAATAGATTCAAAAAGCTACAAAATGATAGAAGGATTACAAAAGGACAAGGGGACGAAAAAGAGTCTTGTATTCAAACGATGATGCAAGAGAACGGAAATGGTCTTTGTGGGGTTTGATATTAAAGAGATAGATAGATAAGTTCGCGTTGTCACTAGGCTAGGAGTTGGATGGGGCGATGGGATGAATCGGAGGATGGGGATGGGCTGCGAGTGGGTGATGGACAACGAGTATAACGAGTGGAGATGGACAACGAGTGGTAGTGGGGATGGTCAACGAGTACAACGAGTGGGGATGGACAACGAGTGGGGATGGACAACGAGTGGGGACGAGCATCGAGTAGGGATCGACAGCGAATGGAAGAAGTTGAAGAAGAATGAAAATAGCGAGCAGTACCGTAAAACGGGAGAAGAGCAACGGGGTATCGATTTATCGAGGGTGGTATCGTCCGGGGCTGGGTAGTCGAGATTGGACCGAAAACTTTGAGATTGGACTCAAATCGTCGAGGTCGGAATCAAAAACAGCGAGATCGGAATCGAAGAAGGACGCTTGGATCGGCGGTGGTACCGATTGAACAAAACACGAAGAAACGGTGTGACGCATCCTGCGGTGCAACAACGAATGGTGGTGAGGCGACCAATCTTGCGCGCTGGATCTTCGAATTCGAACTCGGCCTTTGCTTCCTTCGCTCGCCAGTTCGTCTTCCCCCCTCCTCCTTCGTTATTCGATGTGCCATCACCGTCTGCTGCTCATCGTTCCAGGCTCCAGCAATCCTCCCACCATTTCCAACCACTATTAACCGGGGTGGGTGTTATCAAGAGAGCGCCCCTCCCCCTCCATCCATCCGTGTGTCCAACCATTTTCTAGCGGAACCCGGGATCTATGCATCGCTTCGTTGGTTCATCGTTTCATTGTGCCCCTTCGTCGCTCATTGTTCGCCGCTTCGTCGTCCACTCACCCCTCTATTCTCCATTTCCACCTCTACCCCATCCCTTCTAACCCCAACCTCCACCATCCCCTCTCCCACCTTCTCCCACCTTTCCACTCTCCCTTCCACCTCCACCTCCACCTCCACCTCCCCTCCATCTTCACCATTCTACATTTTACATAATAACACACTCCTTATCCTCCGCTTTCGCACCCTGAATCCCCATCTCGGCAAACGTGGCGGGGTGCTTCTTGCCTGGCGTTTGTGTCTGACCGGGAGTGGCGACCGTGCTGGGATGGGGTGTTGGGGTTGGGCCTGTGTCTGTTAGCGTTGTTGGATTTGCTGTTGATTCCGACGCCTAGTCGGGCTCCGCGTTCGAAGCATTCTCGTGCGTGTTTCAAGTCACCGAATGTTTCGTAGTCTCGTCCGAGGCGGAACCAGGCACCAGCGTAGCCACCCCTCGCAGCCGTCTCGAAATCCCGGAAAGCAGACTTGGGATTGTGCGCGATGTGTGCGGGGAATGCACCGGTTGACTGGAAGAGAGCACGCATGTACACCGCTTCGGCCTGCCACGCCTCCATTTGGGAGCTGGTGGACGACGAGTGGGGCTGGCCTGGGGGAAAGGGCGAGGCGATGCTGAGCACCATCGGTACGGCTGCGTTGAGCATTTGGGCGAGATCGGGGTCGAGGGCGGAGAAGGGCATGGGCCCGATGATGGGGTCTGTCAGCGAGGGCACTGTACCGCCTTGCGTCGTCAGTGTGAGGTGCAGATGGTGCGCCCGGTCGGCGAGGAAGAGCACGTCGCGCGCCCAAGTGATCTTCAGCGACGGGTCGAACTGCGGCTGCTGGATCGCTGGCAGGGCCTCGAGAAGGGTTTTTATACTCGGCAGTTCGGCGGTGAGAGCGTTGCTGGATGAGGGCGGGGGCAGAGGCGGCGGTGGGTGCGCTGCGATCGTCATCGGCGCGGGTGTGGGTGGGAGGGGGGTTTGGCGGGCGATGTTCCATGGTGTCCAGCCAGAGTCGTCGTGTGTGGTGGCTGGCGCTGAGATCGGGCCTGCTGGGCCGCCGAACGACGGGGTGGGCATCGTGAATCCGCTCGTCGCTGGCGCAGCTTGGCTGTCCAGTGAATGCCCGATGCTGGGATCGATCCGTTGTGGGCGCGGCGCGGCTAGGGGCGACGACGCTGCGTAGCGGTCCTGCGCGAGTTCGTGGCGAAGATCGGGCGGGACTGGAGGGCGGGGAGGCGCTGACGAGTACGACATGGTCACCGTCCGAGAACAACAGCAATTATCGAACAATCAAAAACAAGCGCGCACACATCTGCATAAACGCCAAGTCCCGAGCCTTGGCATCACGGACAATCCCCCGATGGCTGTGCACTGGCACTGCCGACCTTGGCACGACGTCATAAATCCTTCCATGTTCCTACGTTAGTGGTAGTAGGTCTACAATAGAGTTGAACCGACAAAACCCTTCACAGCCACAACACAGCCACCTCCTTTCGTAACCTGTTTTCTTGAACTCGAGTAATCAATCCCATTGCGCCGTTCGAACAGAAATCTAATCATTGCATCCTGCACCGCTTCTGGCACAAGCACCTTCAAATCCTCTTCCAGCCCTGCCCCCCATGGTTGAGTGCACGTCGGCCAAGCTTCCCTTGCTCGACGCTGGCCAACTGGTCTGCGGACCGCCACCATACCCAGCCCCGTGTTTCCGTTCTCAGTTTTTATTAAACACGTAAGACGATGTACCACTGCAAGTGGGGAAGAGTTCGATGGTATTAGTACAGATATAAATAAGTACAATGAGGACATACCTGCAAGTGGGGAAGAGTTCGATGGGGGAACTCCCACTTGCAGTCACTACCTATATACGTCTGGGGACAAAGGGATGTCTATATACGGTAGAACAATAAGATGTCCGAATTGGGAACAAGGGATACAAGAGAACAATAGAACTACTTAATATATCCGAGATCGGAGAACAATAGAATGTCCGTATAAGGATACATGAAACGTTCGTACATAATTGGGCATCCTTGTACCCGTAAATGGAATAGATGTGACATGTGCATTGTATTCCAACACACCCCCTCAATGTAATGTCACTAGATAATTACACAAGTCCCAGTGCGATTCGATGACGTTCAACATCTTCTCGATGGAGTGGTTTTGTTAGAATGTCGGCGACCATGTCTTTCGTTGGGCAGAAATGGATCTCGATCTCCCTGCGCTTGATCTCTTGTCTGATCCAGTGCATCTTGATGTCGATGTGCTTCATTTTGCTGTGATGCTCTGGGTTTCGAAGGACTTTAATTGCTGACTGGTTGTCTACCATCATCGGTGAAGGTTTATCGAGTGAGAACCCAATTTCCCTCAGCAAGTTCCGTAGCCATATAATTTCTCGTCCCGCTGATGATGCAGAAATATATTCCGCTTCAGTTGAAGAGTTGGCCACAGTTGCTTGCTTCTTGGCAGACCAGCTGATGGCTCCCTGTCCCATTCTGATGACGAATCCACTTCGTGATCGTCTCGTGTCGAGGCATCCTGCATAATCGGCATCACTGAATGTGTGGAAGAGTTCAGAGGCGAGTTGGGGGTTGTTGTCCATGCGATATGTGAGTTTGAGATCCATGGTGCCCTTGAGGTAGCGGAAGACGTGTTTGACGGCTGTCCAATGTGTCATTCCGGGGTTTGAATTGAATTGTGCTAGCTTTGCCACAGCGAAAGCAATGTCAGGTCGAGTGCCGATTGCGAGATACATGAGTGCTCCCACAGCGTTCATGTAAGGAATGTTCCGCATCTCTTCTCGTTCCTCTTCTGTCTTGGGACACTGATCTTTGCTTAGGCGGACGCTTGGGTTCATCGGCGTTTTGACCGTGTTAGCCGCATCGAGGCGGAAACGGACGAGCATGTCCTGGATGTACTGCTTCTGTGATAGTTGCAGTGTCCGTTTCTCTCGATCGTAATCAACCTTAATTCCCAGAAGGTAGGATGTTGGTCCAAGGTCTTTCAGTTTGAACACCTTTGCCAAGGCGTCCTTGACCCATTGTATCTTCTTCTGGTCTTTCGAGATGATTGTGATGTCGTCGACGAAGACGGGCAGGGTGACTCGGATGCCGTCTAATTCCCAAATGTAGACACTGGGATCGGACTTCAGTTGTTTGAATCCGAGTCGTTCGAGTTCCTCTGCCAGTTTCTCGTACCAGAGTCGACCACTCTGCTTTAGCCCATACAGTCCCTTCTTTGAGGCGGCAAACCCATCGTCCCCCCATTTTGGTTGGGGACTTCGAATCCCTCTGGCTGCTGACCATGTATACTTCGTATTCATCTTCAATTTCTCCATTGAGGTATGCATTGGAGATATCGATGGATTCGATGAATTCACCGTTCATGGCAGCTTGTGCGAGGATTGCTCTGATGGTGGCAAGGGCGGGAGGTTGGAGCGAAGACTTGGTCATAGTCGATTCCTGGTGCTTGGGCAAATCCTTTAGCGACGAGGCGTGCTTTGTACCGGTCAATAGTGCCATCAGACTTTCGCTTGATCAGGAAGACCCAGCGTGATCCAATTGCTTTGCGTCCTTGTGGGAGTTGGACGAGTTCCCAGGTGCCGTTGGCAATGAGGGCATCAATTTCCGCTCGAGCAGCACTGATCCACTTGTCTCTGTCTGGTCGGGCCATTGCTTCCTTCCAGTTGCGTGGCGAGTCCTCTGGTCGTGTGGCCGCTCCGAGTGCTTTTTCCTTCACCTTGTCGAGAACCATTTCGAGTGCCATTTCACATGCTTCAGCCATCGTGAGGTACTCTCCACTCATCCCGTAGACGTGCAGGATGGAGTCGAGGACTGGTGTTGCTTTGAAAGCTGAGTGGAAGTCGGGTTCGTCCTCCTCATTAATGTCGTCGGCTGTGATAGGTGGTAGATTATCCTCTCTTGCACCCCCTTGATCTACTACCTGATCACCCCCTTGGTCCTGGTTCAGTGGATGACCATTTTCCTCTGCTGTTCGTCTTGGGGCAGGCGCAGTGCCCCTGCGTGAGTGTCCAGCTAAGGTGTAGTAATCCGTGACTCTTGCCGTGGAACGTATCGGACGAGGGTTTTGGGATGGCTGTGGAGGTGGTTTTGGCTTGGTTGCTTCTTCCCTGTCCAAAGTTCGGTGCAGGGAGTGGAGCGGGATTCTCTACCAGTGGTTCTGGTGACGATGGTGGGACAGGTGGTTGCGATCGGCCTTGTGGTGTGGGTGAGGCTTCCTCTTCTCGATGATAAGGTGCGTGGCGTGCGACTGGAGGTTTTGCCGTTGGGGTAGAAGGGGTCACTAATTCCTCTTTCACTTGTGGAGTGTCTGTTCCAGAGTGTTCTTTCTTGACCTGAGGTTTTGGCGTGTATGGAGGAGTGTCGTCATCATCGGAATCAGAGTCTGACTCGTGCGTGGTTGTGCTCGGAGCGTCCCCCGTACTCCTAAAGCTTGCTGGGGGAGCTGGAGGATCAGGTGGTGCTCCCGGACCATGCGATGCTGTATCCCATTCATCGTCATCATCATATGGCCAGATGTCTCGGATGCCGACTGGTTTGACCGTAACCGTGGTTGACTTTGTGGATAGGCCAGGAAAAAGGGTCTCATCGAAGACGATATCTCGAGAGATGATGAATTTCTTTGATTGTGGGTCAAAGCATTTCCATCCTTTGTATCCTGGTTCAAAACCGACAAAAATGCAACGGGTCGTATGGGAGTCGAGGTTCCGTCTATCCTTTCGCTGGATGTTGACATATGCTCTACATCCGAATGTTCTGATCATGGACAAGTCCGGTTTCCGACCTTCCCATACTTCGTAGGAAGTCGTGTTGGAGACCGATGCTGATGGAGTCATATTGAGGATGTCGACGTAGTAGAGAAGGGCGAGTGACCAGAATGATGATGGGAGATTTGCTTGGCAAAGCATGGCTACCACTCCTTCAGCTGCGGTTCGGTTGAATCGTTCACTGACACCGTTCTGTTGTGGTGTGCTTTTTACGGTGTGTTGGCGAGTGATTCCAAGTTTCTCGCACCACGCATTGAATTCCTTTCCAATGTATTCACCCCCTTTGTCGTCTCGGAGTTCCTTGACCTTTCGTCCGTGTTTCCTCTCAACTTCGGCCACAAATATCTTGAACTTCTCGAAGGCTTCGTCTTTGCTCTTCAAGAGGTACACTCGTTTATAACGTGAGTAGTCATCGATGAATGTAATCCAGTATTTGTGTCCGGCAGTTGTGCGGGTGAGAGGGCCATGGAGGTCACTGTGGATGCGTCCGAGTAGTTCAGGGGAACGGTTGTTGGAGTGAGTTGGGAAGGGATCCCGATGTTGTTTCCCATCCTGACAGTGCTCGCACACGTTATGGACTTCAGTGTTTGGTTTGACAAGAATGCCTGTAGCTAGCTCCTTGTTGATGAGAGTGTCAAGTCTCCCTTTGCCTATGTGTCCAAGTCGACAGTGCAGGGTTTGCTTATCGACTCGTGCGATGTATGCCTGCTCGTTATATGCCAGAGTTGTGCCATTTAATGTGCCAATAGTGCCCTTGATGCTCGCTGTGAATAAGACCTTGTTGTTCTCTTGAAAACTCAGAGACTGTTTCCCTCAATAACCACTCGCATTCGACTCTTTGTAACAACGGTGAGGATAGAAAAGAGGTTATTTTGCAATGCTGGTACATAAAGGACATTCTGGAATATAACAGACTCGGCGGGTTTGCCATCTACAACCGGGGAGAATACAACACTTCCCTTCCCGACTGCCCACACTACGTGTTTGTTGGCAAGCTCGACGGGAATTCTGCATGGGACCATATTTCGGATCCACCCTGCGGTGTGGTGTCATATGAGAGGTAGCTCCTGAGTCTGTGTTCCAAGATTCGTCAGCATTGGTGTTAAGCGAGCGGATACGAGGGGGACTTGCGAGGTGTGCGACTTGGGCCATCTGGGCCTTGACGATAGCGGGAGGTGTTTCGTCATCCTCTTCAGCGATTTGAGCCTTCTGCTGCTGAGCCCTGCAGTCCTTTGTCGTTTATGGGACTTGTTGGAGGCCATGGACCGAGCAGTTGAACTTGGCCTTCGGTTTCTTGGCCGCCTTTTTAGAGGCCGCGAGGGCAGATGCAGCTGAAGCTTCTGCAAGGGCAGTGTTCTTGTCGAGAGTGTCTGCTCGGCGAAGGTGCTCAAGAATGTCGCTGGCCGTAGTGCTCTTGAGGTGGGCGAGGGTGTGACGAAGAACCTTGTCCTCTTCAGCTATAAGGCCA